CGGTACCATTACTTTTCAAGTGGATAGCACATACTTATATTTCTCTTGCGCCTCCTAGCTGCAGCATGGCTTGAATGGATATCTGCATGGTGCACATACCACCTCTCATTGGCACAGGTGCTACACGGATTCATTTTTGCTTTGTCTCTAGGCGGTGTTTATTGGCTCGAACCGACCGGAATTGAGCGAAGTAAATTTTCATCTCTTTCCCCCGAGGAGACTTGCATTGGCTGCTACCACCCGGAATAAGCCCGAAGTCTTTCAGAGTGCTAAAATCTGCCTGAAATTCAAAGTTTGTTTCAAGTGAATAAAGTACTTATATGAGCAGATTTGTGAGTGCCTACTAGTAGTTGTGGCGAGAATATCTCCAAAGGCTAGAAGGCCTTGCCGTAAATTGCAAAACTGTGTGTCCATGTTTTTGAAATGTACTATGGACGCTATGCAATTTCATCATCAGTTGAGGTGCTTTGGCAATGCCGCGAAACCGCCGATTCATGCTGTGTACTTAGCTCCCTTAACTGGTATAAGCAAATCTGCCGACTCAACCGGTATGCTTAGCGCCCATACTTGGTTCCGTCGACTCACCCTGTATACAAAGTGCCCATACTCGGTTCCGTCCACTCACCCTGTATACAAAGTGCCCATACTCGGTTCCGTCCACTCACCCTGTATACAAAGTGCCCATACTCGGTTCCGTCCACTCACCCTGTATACAAAGTGTCCATACTCGGTTCCGTCCACTCACCCTGCATACAAAGTGCCCATACTCGGTTCCGTCGACTCACCCTGCATACAAAATGCCCATACTCGGTTCCGTCGACTCACCCTGTATACAAAGCGCTCATAAGCGGTTCCGCTTGTTCACCACCATGGTATCATTTGCATAACCTCTATAGTGCCGTTGCTCTTTGCCCGCTTCTGTTACTAGTTCACAGCTAGTGGAGGCCCCGTGGTTGCAAACGCCATGTTGAATTGGCTCGTGAAATGTGACATTTTCATCGTCACACTGGTTCACTCGTATACCTGCGTTCTACTCTCATGTTACGTGTTGCATTGCATTTTGTGTGTTTCAGGAGGTACGGTGTCACAATCGCTGCACAAATGACTTTGTGTTCATGAGCTCAACAAGTTTCCTGGCCACTGCGGGTTATTCTAATGATGGAAAGTAAGTGCTGTGCTTGTAACACTTGGATAAGAGAGATATGAGCGTATGGGAAATAATAAAATCTCATCGTTCAGTGTAAGTTTAGTATCCTAGGGTTTACCGGGTGTTAGCGGACGTCGTGAGTTCCCTTCGGGAACGGACACGATAATTTACTCTCTTTTTTTAGTATCCAATTGAATGCAAGATTATAGGATCCGTGCACAGTATTTTAACCTCATTGCATTATCTGTGTCCTTTTTCCTTGTAGGAATGTTGCTCTGTATGATTTCCTTGTACCGCCACACAAGTCACTGATTCGAGGTATGTGCTTACATGGCTTGGATCAATGTATTTCCACTTGCATTGCGTGTGTAGTATATGCTGCTGCTGGTTCAGTGCAATGACTGTGAGGCAAGGGTATTACAGACTGCAAGTACTTGGTCCGGCTCATCGCAATTGTCGCTTATCTCCCACGCACTTTTTGACAGGTAAAACCCAGTCCAATCACGATATCTAACTTACTTTTGCTTGGGAGGTTGTGATGGCAAGATCAAAGGAGGCACCAAAGAAAAATGATCGCGACTAGCGCTTTGAATCGCGGTGTGTTCGACTTTTTTGGGAAGTGGGAATCTGTCTGTGTTGCCAAAAAAGCCAAGCACAGCGACCCGAAGACCGGAACTGTGATAGGGGCAACTGACATCCTGGAGAGCGTGACAGGCACGCGTGCACGGCAGAGCTGAGCATCATGCTGAAGAAGAAAGGTGTTTTTGATGCGATGCGCCCGGCCAACTTGTTGGTTGTTCCTTCGCTTGGTGGACCTAGCAGCAGCATTACAAGAGTCGTGGTCAGTGTATCCAGCGGAGCGTATGACAGCTGTTTGGAGGCCTGTATGCCTCATTCGAAGGCTTTGTTGAAACACACTGTGGCGACACACAGGTCACACTGCCCACGGTTCCTTCAAGCACCGAAGTGACAGCCACAACTGTTCCTTTCCCATTGCTGCCATACGACAGGCTGAGAAAGCAAGAGATACCCTACCAGTCTACGCCAGCAGCTAGACACCAGCAAATGTCAGCTCATGTAACGGCGCGGCAGTTCGAGTGATGCAGAGTTGAATGAACTCTGGACCTGGAAGAGTGTGAGTGCAAGAACGCGCTCCTTTGCTGATTTATTTCGTGCACTTTGCTTACCTTTCTTCCTTTCTTCGACTCGCTTCACCAGATTCCATCGCTGAAATTTTTTTCTTGTGGCGGAGAGTATTCGTGTATCATGCTTCCTCACTATGCCTATTGGAAATTTCACAGAGCGGTAAAAAAAACTCCTGTTCTTAGTGGCGATAGATAAGCGACAATTGGGATGAGCCGGACCAAGTACATGTAGCCACCAAGGAATGCAAACTGCACATTGGTGTTTCATTGCATTGCTTATCTCTTGTCAGTACTGTTGTGCTGACAGGTTGTAACTATTTGTTATGTTGTTTTGGCCTAAAAGCATAATATGGATGGCTTTCTGTCTTCTTCTATTTAGGCTTCACATGTCACGAGGGCGGTGCGAGTAGTATTATCTATGCACCCAGCCACCAACTGATCATCAGTGCAGGCAAGAAAGGCGATATCTGTGTCTTTGACGTCAGGCAGCAAGCTCTCTTGAACTCGTTACCGGCTCATAACGATGGGATCAGAAGCTTGGCAATGGCTGAGAATGAAGAGTTCTTTGCATCTGGAGGGGCCGATGGCAGCATTAAGGTAAGATGATGTGAAATGGTGTGGCGACCTTTGGTCGTACCAAGAGTACATAAACCAGAGTGTGCAACTGTGCATGTCAGATCTGAAACAGCGCAGTTCGTGCACTACGTCACCCTGATGAGGTCAGCCAAGCCGCGACTTGCGTACAGCTCAAATTTTTCGCATTTCACAGACCGGAAATCACCCAGTTTTGCATGATTTTAGGTGTCCTGTTTTAGAATTTCGGTGTTTTTGTGTGACTGCGTATGCTGCGTACATCCGCTGACAAGTAAATTCACCAGGCCATCTGTAGCGACCTGACTCACTGAGTATTACGTCATTCTACAAACGCATGCGCAAGAAATAAAATCATTCTCTTTGGTCACAACTTCTTCGTTGTCCGGTTGGCCAAAGTAGCCGTCGTCTAGGGCCCGACGTAAAATCCTAAATTGGTGACCCCCGACGCTGCGCTCTTCGGAGTTTTGAGCATGCCATCCCCGAGCTCGGCCCGCCGCAGTTTCTTGCTCGCCTCAACTCTCGGGATCCCGTCAATCGCCGGCTGTTGACGTAAAACTTGAGCCTCACCACCACTCGTCACTGGATCCGCCTCGGAGCTGCTGTGGCCCCTGCCACCCTCCCGGCCCACCTGGATACCCCGCTATCCTGCCACGGCACATCGTCCAGTCGTCTTCGTCTTCATCCTGGCCTCAAGCTGGAAATTGGCCACCTCCACCCGTCGTACCAGCTCACTCACTGTGCACGCACGTAGGCACACGCCCGGCACCGGACCCCATGGAGCTGCGCTCGCCTCCATCTGTCCCCGCCTCACTCGGCATGCCTCGCATCAGTGCAGCGCTCCTGCTGGTATCCCGCCAAGCCTGCAACATGCAGCCGCCTCTGACATGATAATACTCCTCTGTCACGCGTACATTTCCTTTCTTTCCGCCTCTGACACGATAACACTCCTCTGTCACGCGTACATTTCCTCTTTTCTTTCTTTCTGCCTCTGACATGCTCTCCACCTCTGTCACGTTAACACACCTCTGACATGTTAACCCGCCTCTGTCATGCATCTCTCTCATTTCCGCTTTCTGCATTTTTGATTTTGTTTCGGCCTTTGTTGCCACGTCACAAACAAATTTCACACACGCAGCGCTCTCGCTTGTACATATGTATCATATTATTATATTTTTGCCTTTCCGCCTTGTACATGCTGCGCTTCCTTTCTCTTCTCTTTCTTGTTTCTTGTTTATCGTGCTTCGCTCCTCCCGACCTCACCACTGGCGGGGGAGTACTGTAGCGACCTGACTCACTGAGTATTACGTCATTCTACAAACGCATGCGCAAGAAATAAAATCATTCTCTTTGGTCACAACTTCTTCGTTGTCCGGTTGGCCAAAGTAGCCGTCGTCTAGGGCCCGACGTAAAATCCTAAACATCCGTATCAAAAAACCGAAATCAGGACAAACTCAGTGACCTGCACCACCGTGACTAGTTACGCAACCTTTCACCGTACATGTGGCTTACCATTCCGTCAGAAATGACATACTGCACGAATTACGCTCCCACAGGAACCATCCCGAGTTGCACACTCTGGTTTATGTACTCTTAGTCGTACTAATTCCACACATCTGTATGGTGATGTGCGTTGTGGCTCCCCCAATCTGGGTTGCTGTAGTACCTCAGAATCTTGGTGTAATGTTCGTTGTGTTGTTTTCCTTCTTGGTGAAATGTGAAGAGGTTCGCATGGAATTATTGTCTCCTTCCAAGATGGCTGCTGCTTGTTTTGGTAGTGATTTTGATTACTGGTATGAATTTGCTCTCGACGGCGCTTATTGCTGAAGCATATGTCAGGATCCGCTATGACAAACGCTTTAGTATGCCACGAGAAAGGTCTACTACTCGTTCAACCATGTGGTTGTCTCCGCATGATAAGTGGGTAGGACTCAAACAAAATGTGGGTACAGCGCTCACTGCTAGTGACTCGGTCATTATACCACCACTATAGCATAGACACAAGCCTGCCATGAGAGCAATTGCAAGCTTGGAACCTATGACTATGAGAGCACCAACTCTCCCGGGGGTAAAACCATGTCCCTTCCAGCTTGAGGAAAGAGTTTAGAATTGGCTGCCAGCGACTCAAAAACGGGTGTGTAAGGAACTGTACTTTCTGAGACATTCGTATTTTGGGGCATGGCATTGTAAATCAGTCACCAACTAGCAACCCAAGTTTTATGATGAACCAATCGTACTTCCTAACACTGGGATCATCCACTACGACTGTTCACTGAGCCTAGTTCTCTGTGTTCCCTCTGTGCTTTGTGGACACAGCTATGGGATGTGTGCATCCCGCGCCAACGCAAGGCCTTTACTGACGAACACGTCAAGACTTCTTTCTTCCGCTCAGCTGGCTCGGGCGTGCAACAAGTACTTGTGACGGGCCGCTCCACGCAGCTATTTAGCTGTGGTGCAGATGGCCTTGTCAAATGGAGGGTCCTTCCTCCATAGTATGTTTTCTTTATTCCACATATCTTGAGTTTCCAGTGTCTCAATTGGAAATTTTAGTCTTCTCAAATCATAATTTAATGTCATTCTCCTGTTGTTTCCTAGAAAACCCACTTCCCAAATAGTACAAACAATACTTTGAACAACAAATTCTTTCGGAGGCATGGATTTATTCTGACAAATCAAAAGTAGGCAAGCTGTTGGCATGTTTTACTAGCTGAAAGCCCTACTCATGCAGCAATATTCTAATTTCAGTGAATTTTACCAGTGGTTTTTTTTATTAGGTCTGTCTAGCACTCTGCCAGGAGCATTAGATTTGCTGGATTTGTTATTGTTTTGGTGTCGATCTGTCCGTAGTGTATTTCTTGCTTGTGCAGGTGCTAGTAGGTACTGGTTACATCTAGTCCTTTGTGTCCGTGCCTTTCCCCACCTTCCTCTATTTCTCTTCCTTTTCACTTCTTCAACTATTTGTTTTAATACTTTTTAACCCTCGGCTGTGTGAAAAAACATTAACACTTCATTTCCGTAGTCTCTCCATGAACGTGTATACAGACTGACGGGTGAAATGACAGGGAGTCATACGAACAACTCCACCACGGATAACTCCCTGTTAATGCTATTTCATGCAGTAGCATGTTAGGAGCATACACCCTTATGCACATGTATAGCATGAACCTTGGACTTCGAAGTATGGGCGTGGCAGCACTTGTACAGTGGAGCATTCCCGTACACAGAATCTTCTTGGATTATGTGATACGTAAACCGCATGCATAATCCGCCTAACCCACTGCGGAGGCCTGTACTTCAACATAGGTGGTCGCCTACAACGTGCATAAAACTTGCTCATGTTGGATATACACTATGGCCATCTTCTTAGGGCATTCAACGTTTACCTCCATGCTCTCTTTACTTCTCAGCATGTCTCTTTTGAAAGCATGGCAATAAATCATTTGCCTGGGACAGAACGCACTGGCTCAGCGTCGACAGATGCATGACCCTCATTTGATTTTCCATTATGAGCTTTATACGTGCTGTATCAATAAAATAGTATGCTTGCATTACAAGTATCAAGAATATCCTTCATCATCGTGTTGCCAATACAAATGTATACTAGCAGCTAGTTGGCACTGGCCTCGTACTGCTGGAAAGCCATGAATGGTATATCACTAGTATAGAAATGCTCGTCAGAGTAGAATTAGAAGAAGGTAAAATATATGCGTACAGTGCCGACGCTGAGTGTCTCACACAATGCGTTCTACGGTTCTCATGTTGATGCTTGGAGCTCTGCGTGGAGGAAGAGCGGATTGTTGAAACCAATAAGTAGGCAGTCTTCTATTGGCTCAATGCTTTCTTCGTACAGTGGGTTGGCATCTATTGCAAATTTCAAATGCCCTACAGGGACACTAACTCTGTCTTCAGATCGATCATCAGCGCTGTTGAAGAGCAGGTCTAGATGCGGTGACACTTCATCTAGTCGGTGCTGATCTCTCAGCCAGGAGTCAACTGCCAAGATCATGTCACTGTAGCCAAGCAACGCAGAAAAACAGGAGCCAGTCAAATACCCTCTGCTCGTGTGCTTGAAGCACTGGCAGTCAAATACCCTCTGCTTGTGTGCTTGAAGCACTGGCAGTCATACCCGGTATGACTGCCAGTGCTTCAAGCACACGAGCAGAGGGGCTTCCAGGATATTCCCCGAGACAAAAGCTTGATTCTGATTCACACTTCATTTCGCATATGGAAAATGCTTCACACGACGGTTGCATGATGGAACAAACAAGTTGAGCTCAAGTCAACTTTTCGTTTCACGACGGGCGCTGTCACAATGCATTTCCCGTCCGCAAATGAAGTCTGAATCAGGCTGAACAAAGTGATCAAGCTATGCCATACAAATGACACCACACCGTAAACATCACAAGATGTGCACACCTACATACACATGCACACAGACACTGTATCTGCACGCGTGTTAAAACGCCACGGCAACTCACCGATGACCATAGAACATATCGAATTCATTGTGGTGGTTCTCCAGGACAAACTGCAGATTCTCAAAGGCTGTTTCCACAGATGGAAATCCATGAGCCTCGTCTGTAAAAACGCATCATGATAACATTAAAACATGGATCTCATCATCAGCTCATGATCATGGCAAATCACAGCGCATACAGCTACTCTAGGTCTTTGGCTGCACAAAACTCTTTCCCTGCTGATGCCGTCTGAGACCGGCGAAAATTAGGAAAGATGGAAGTTTCGTGTGTAGATACTAGGACTTAGTGCAGCTGTGCGCGCTGTAAGGTGCTATGATCATGACAAGGCTACAGTTAAAATGACGTCATACTTGTTAGTAACGGATCGGCTGAACGATTTTTACGTTGTAGCGCAACATTGTATTGACACAGTAAGGTGCATGTACGGCGTTGCTGTGAAAATCTTTCTCCTCAGCATAGGTGAGCCAAGGCCATGTTTGCAAGAACACTTCACAACCGTCTGCTTGCAAAACTCATGCTGGGGAGACTTGAGCGATGCGTCTGGGTGGATAGCCACTGCTGGCACGAAAACTTTGGTGCAACAAGACAACACTTCCAAGCACACCTCATACACTTCCAAAATGCTCTCTGACTAAAACTCTCTGTATGCTACCACTGGCACACTGCGGCATCAGCTGTGTCACTGCGTGCACCAGATAGTCATTTTATGGCACCCTGGGCGGGCTCACAGGCTCAACGTTCAGTCAATTGAGTGTTTTCATACTCGATAATCGATATGATGTTTCTAGGGGAAAGAAATATCGCCGGCCAAAAAGTTGGTCTGGCTATGGCTGGACCGGCCGGACCTGTTCTTCTGGGCCTGTGTGGGTTACAAGCGACTTTCATAGTTTAAATTCTGACCTTTTTCATTCACAGGAGCGAGATAGAACACCGTGATTGTATGCTCTCCACGATGTGGCTGAGCTTGAATATGAAGAGGGACGAACCGGGACACTGCAATCACGCAAAAAATGATGCGACAAACAGAAATACCCGGCATTAAAAGTATTTGATACTGAAAGTTTCACAGGAATTGTTACTTCGTTCTATAGAACATGGTTGAAGATGAAACAATTACATGCACTCGTTTAGTCCCCCGGGTGCTGAATAGAATGACAGGGTACGGTCACTACGGTATTGACCGTATCACTATTTGCCCAAGGTACCCCGTAAATCAATAAAATGCACTGATTTGGGCTCTAAATTTCCAAAATTTTCGGCTCAGCCATCCCTCCCCCACGAGTAAATTGTGCTTTCAGATGGCTGACCGTACCACACTAAAATGCCTTCCGACGCCCCTGAATGATGTTGATCTTTTTTTGAGGAGGGGGGGGGGGGGAGTCCTACTCATAAAAATACAGCATTTATCCCCAACTCCAATCAAACAAGGCCCTGGAGCACACTACACTCCCCAGCTGGACATATTGGCTCAACGAATAACAGAGTTATGGCCAGTAAAGTCCGGAGCTGCACAATAAATGATGCTATCCTCAGTATCCTGGGCTGTGAGGCACAACCTGCCAGTATCAATCCTGACCACACAGATAAGCATGGGATTTCAGATCATTTTCTGCATTTTGCTTAAAAATCACTCGCCAATACAAGTTACTACCATGAAAATGCCATTGCTCACTCGGCCCATCCCTACTGCTGTGTTGCTTCCCAGCTGAGGCTAAGAAAAAGATCAAGGTTGCCAAATGCAGTACAGTGTACTATGCACAACAACTTGATGCAATCAAGTTAACCTTATAAGCACGGTCACACATTCCGTGCGTGTAGCAAAGACTGTGACCCGGTAGTAACATCTCAGAAGGCCTAATAGTAATGCGATCAGTCATGTACTAAGAACATGGCACTTCAGAATCGCAGGACATGTGCTGCTATCCAATAGAACGCAGTATGGTTGGCTAGCCCCGTGCCTTGTCACTCAACCTTAACTAACATGCTGGATATACACAGACTACGGTTACGTTACCAATTGGCATGAAATTTGGATGAGTGCCAAATTTCTCAGCGTAGGGAGTCGGACTCACCCGAAAGTTGTGTCTGTGCCTTCAACTCCCTCTGTGCAACACGCTCCGGATGTGTCCCTGGCTCAACCACGCAGGTCAGCGTTCCACACCGCTCTGCACCGGCCTCACGCAACAGACACACCTCGTAGTTAGAGGAGTCATATTCTTCCGCAGCATTGGTGCGTCGTACTGGACATACCGAGACTGCAAACGTTGGCTGGCCCCGACTTGTTCCAGCACTGCAGAACACGTACACATTGTATCGAATCATATCATGCACGCATCATGCTGCTATACCTGCCCAAGTAATGAAGCCGGAGATATGCGCTTGTATTGGCAAAATTCTGGGAAAGCATCAAGCGTCAAGGTGTCACTGTCTTTGAAACAAGCATAGCCGTCTCAGCAAGTCAGTTAAAATCACAACCAACTTCCGACTTTATCAAACAAAACTGGTTGGAGTGAAAACGCCAGTGGACAAAGCCGGGACGGGATGTAATATTTGAATGCAGGCTACCACATTCACGAAGTGTTCAACCTGAACATGGCAGAAACATAATGTATACCCTTCTACGGTATCCTGGAGGAGCGACACAAAGGTATACAGATGCACAATCGGTGCATGGCCTGCAAGTGCGCTGCATACAACCGACCCAAGAGAACCTCCCGCCATGGCCTGTGACGTGGGATGCCTGCTAATCATCTGAAGATGAGGTTTGCAAGCCGGTAAACCAGCTCACCTAAAAGTGGCAATCCGCAGCCTCACCCCCAAGGTATGCTAATGTGTAATGAATCCTTCCGTACGTTCGTAAGGGGACATTGTAGCAGAGAGGTAGGTAGCCACCCCATGAAACATACAAGTCATGTACTTCTCAGGCTGCTGTCAGTCAGACAATAATAGAAATGCTGACAGGATCACTTTTCTAAAATTAATAATGATGTGACCAGCGGGCCTAGTCAACGCGGGTACTAGTACTAGTGTCAGTAGTGGCCGGCTGCAGTTACCTAACCAGTACAGGCAGTAGTGGCCGGCTGCAGTTACCTAACCATGAACCAGTGTTAGGTGTGGACTTTCTACGTCCACAGGAACACAAACCCTTTCAAGTACATTGTACATGTAATTTCATTCAGACTCTGACGATACTCTGAATCAGAGTACCGGTACATGTACCTTGCTGCGAGTGACTACCGGTATAGAGTGCATAGATCTGATACAATGTATACCGATATCTACCCACCTTCTTCTATCCTCCATGACACTGGACTCCCAAGGTATAAACTCAGCAGAGTTTGAGGCGATATCCTGATAGCGTTGTTCACAAATGATTTGTATTCCGATGTGTGCGACGGCTCCTTGTCCGCTAGCAGAACATACCAGGGCGGAATACTCATCGTAATGATCATCGATGCCACCCAGTCATTACATCTCCTGCGCCCGTACTGCGTAGCTAGGGCGTCTTCCGTTTTACATCGACATGACAAGCAGCGCCGCGCCGCCTATGTCACGCTGTCTTCTTTTCTTTCTCTCAAGTTTGGGCTGACATGTTATAATCATGCAGCCGCCGGGCCTAGCAGTGCCAGTACTAGCACGTTTCTAGCACGAAAGGAAATGCCAAACTCGTTTGTCCAGAAATAATGTTGTGTTCGTCGAGGACAAGATCTAGGCGGTCCAGGTTTTGCGGACCTCCTGGAAATGACAGGGCTCTGTCGTACAAATACCATGGTGGTTTCAGACATTTTTACGACTCCCTGATATACAGTAGTAGTAAACAGAAACTGAGACGCCTAGCTCGGCCTCTACTCGTACTGAGTCTCTGTCTTTATTTATTTATTTCACCTTCCCGTGGCCAGAGAATATAGGCCAATATGGAGGGAGGGGGGGGGGGGGCGGTAGCCAGCCATGGCAGTAAACAAAAAACTTTGCTTGCTTCTCAGCCTGGAATGTTTGCTGCTTGGCCTGTTGTTGCAGAGCATTATGACTCCCGAGTTGACCTTTTTTACTGTTTTTACCGGTACCCTAGCGCCTATAGCCCTGAGGCGATGGCCCTGTGTGACCCTGTTATGTCTGATCTTTTATCTGCTCATCGCGACACAGAGAAGCGTTGTCAACAGAGACGAAACCATAACAACGGTAATGGCGTCCCTTGGCGTCACATTCTCCCCTACATTTTTTGTGCAAAGAATCTGATTGACGAAAGTGGAATTCCGGAAGTGCATGCATTATGTGGAAAATGTAGATCTACTCTACTCAGTGCTATCCAGGCGAAGAAGATGAAGCCCCCTATGGCCGGGAACAGAGTGAATCTTTTCACAAGTAACTAATTACTTAGTTTTGGAGCACCACGGAGGTGCACAGCGCTCAACCAACATGAATATTATTGGTATGGGTGACATCGACTCACGATTCATTTCAATATTTGAATACATTTTTTGTTACGAAGCAATGATTCACATTTCTAAAATTTATGTCTTGTAATCGCAGTCCTGATTCGAGTGGCCCACTTATTTTCTTGTCACACTGGACAGAACAGACTCTTTCACTCCATATTCCAGGAGAACTAGCAACGTAACAATATTCGAGCACAGACTCAGCTGCTTTCCTTCTGGTCTTAGTATTGGAGAGCCATTTTTGAAACCTTTCCAAAGCTGCTCCTCAACTCGTCCTACTTGTGGTCGGATACCTGCTGCGGACTCTTACACCAAAGAAACATGCCGCCCAAACCTCAGTTAAAGTTCTCCGACGGAGAGAAAGTCCTTTGCTTCCATGGTCCGTTGATGTATGAAGCAAAGGTGAGGCATGCTGCTCTGTTTCCTGTTGTCTTCTTCCTCCTAGTCTATATCAAGCACTGGTTGTACACAAGAGTTCAGCAGGTATTAAATGGGAGCACATGTGCGTGGAGACTATGACGTATGAGTTACGGTAGTTTTCCAAGAAAGCCGTAGTAACTTGAAGTTGTAGGCATAGGAGTGAACGAGCGGTGTGTAGGCATTGGGGTCACAGTGAACGAACAGGTCTGACTTCTAGATGCACAGTGGTCGGTGCGGTGAAATTTAACCTCCGCACATGCTCGCATGCGTGTGTGTGTGATATGTGCACGGAAACACGTGCAGACCGTAGGGCTACAGCTGCATGTCTTTCACTGTTTTGTCAGTGGCCCGCACAGTACCGTAAATATGAAGGTACATGCATTGCACGCTTTCTTTGTCAAAACTCTGAAAGGCGCACGAAGAGCAAACAAGTCCGGTCTTACACTGACGGGCAGGAAACCCGGAGTCCGGTTTTACATACCATTGCCGAACCAGTACATAGCTTGCTGTGCTGTGGCATGTAAGAATATTGTGAAGTACAAATTAGGAATTCTAGAATGCCGTAATTATTTGTTTTCTTGTGCCATTGATCATTGAATACCAAAGTACTTTGTTTGTGTGTGTGCGCGGACGTGCTTGCAATGTCGGGTGTGTCTGTGTATGTGGACGTACGCGTGTAGTGCCTGAAAGCAGAAATCCGGGACAAAGTACCCAAGTACCTGATCCATTACAATGGCTGGAATAAAAGGTTTGTTCAGTAAATTTTGAGTTCATCGACCCTGGAATTCAGTATTACAATTGACTGTCCTGTTTTTGCAAACAGTGTAGAGCTTGGAGAATTGCAGAATGGCTCAGACCTCGCAGTGGTTGCCAGCTATTCTGGATTATATGAAGAATGCGATGTTACGAGTTATGACGAACGTAACCATCTCTTATACGGTCAGCGAGGACGACACAGGTTCGGAAAGCCTTCCAAGTTGGAAGGTTGTTGGTTTGCGCCTTGGAGAAGTGTTGGAGCTAGGTGTCAGGTCGCCGAATGTCTCAGTACTCCTTGTCAGATTTGTGCCATTTTGTCGCACTCGCTGACTGTATAAAATCTGGTTATGTTGGTGGACAGTTAGGCATAACTCGAATATTGTTTTGTTTTATTTTATTAAGAACTCAGATGGTGAGCCAAGGAAAATCGCATTACATTCTTCATATAATCCAGAATAACTGGCAACCACTGCGTGGTCTGATCTATTCTGCCATTATATTTCAGAATGCTCTGTCTCCATATCAACGTGATTTTGAAGCTTTACTGTCAGTAGCTGACAGCGTTTTTTTGCAGGATAAGACCGCATTGGCATATGAGATATCATGTTTAGGTTTATGGTAAAATTTCTGGAAGACAGACTGGCTACTCCAGTCAGCTGCTTTCAGGATTTCATTAGTTGTGGCGCCCGAGCTGGCAGCGGCCGAGGCAGATGCACCCCTTGTGGACTGTGCCTTGAAGATAGATGTATCAAAACCTGCTTGTGAGAGACAGGATTTAAGCCACCGTGCGACCGTAGAGAAGGGCACCACCTTGTGAGGCTGAATGGTCGCAAGGAACACGCGAGTCTCACCAGAATGGTGAGACTTGGTTCTTTGTTCGTAGTCCATCAAGGTTGTGACAGGGCAGAGTTTAGCCTCATCCGGAAATTTAGCAAAGAAGAATTCAGTCAAAGGTTTCGATTGTCGAGACTGTTTTGCAAGGGTACCTGTTTGAAAGGGTATGCCTTCTGGAGAGAAGTGTTGAAAATTAATATCATGATTTGCAAAATCAACCGGCCGGGATGGTCGAGTTGACGCAAGTAGCACTACAGTTGCGTGAGCAAGACCACTCAGTGATAGGTCATTGTTATTGCCCAAAGATACAATATATGACAACACCTGGGCAACATCTCAAGTGGGACTATATCTGGGTTGGGGGGATCTCTGATGAAAAACTCCCTGCAGAAGTCTTATGACCAGGAGATGCTGTCCAGCATCATAGTCATCAATTTTATCATGGGCAGATGAGATTGCAGAGCGGTAGGTATTGATAGATCGATACCCGTAGCCGTCTTTGACAAGAGACGTCAGAAAGTTGATTATGACGAGAGACGTCACTTGAAAAGGGATCTGAGTCCCGTTCAGAACACCGGCGACTCCATTTGTTAAACAAGGAATCATATGTCTTACTAGACTTCTCTCTCCACTGGTTGAGTGGTTTCCGGTTGACGCCGGACCGGAACTGATTGCCGTGACCATTGTAAGGTCGAAAACGGTTGTTGCTGAAATTGCCCCGACTCAAGTGGCCTCCCCGTGGGGCACCAGTTCAGCCTCCACGAAAAAAGACGAGCCAGGCGATGACTTGCCACGAGTGGAGCTGGAGGCTTGAGAGAGACACTTGGTCTCCTCGTTCCGCTCTTTGGCCCTCTTGGAGAAGCCCTCCCCGAACAACTGAGGGGCAGACGCCTTGTAGATAGGATCATCCTCAGCCATGTCGGCGAGATCCCGATTCATGCACAGAATTGCATTTCTTCGTCTGTCTCTGTTCAGATATATATTGGCGTTGCCGATAAAGGCCAGAGCAGTCTTGCATGCCTCAACGGTATCCCCCTCGGTCAGGATATCCTTATGTGCCTCTTCAAGCACATTAGACAAAGGACTCACACTATCAAGGAGCAAGGCATGTTGCTTTGACAGGGCCTTGTCACGCGACTTCGTCGCAGGGTGTAAACGAGATTTAATCATCTTGTCCATCAACGACGGGGTAGCCGCGTCAATCCGTGGACGCCCGAAATGACTACGCCATTGGCGCCGAACTTCGTTCGAGGTAGAAGCCATGAAATGCTCTTGAAAGAACTCCAGGTTTCCGAAGACACCTTGAAGTCCGTGCCAGACTTGTCCAGCACATTAGAGTCCTCCATCTCTTCCTCGGACTCGTAGTCTGACGCAATGTCAGCATCGCGGGTTTTACCCAGGGCTGACAAGGCGCTTGGTGCCAGAACGGAAAACGAGGCACTTCGTGCCGGGTTGGACATGGGTCGAGTCGCTTCCAGAGCAGGCACTCTCTCTGCAATGCCAGACATCCTAGATCCAATCTGCTCCACCACCTACGTCACCTTCCCAAGTCGGTAAATCATCTCCGTCATCATCTGTGTCTGTGATGGCTTGCCAGCGACATCAGAAGCGTTTCTAGTGACATCCATGATGAGAACGGAATGCAGGCGTTCAGCACATAAGCAAACAGGAGGCAATCTACAAGAATCACACACACCGAAATAGGTTTGAAAACACTACCTCCAATTCGAAAACCACCTCACAAGAAAGAACTAAAGCAAGGGATCACACCACAAGCGAGTAACTTACTTCAAGCGAGCTAGAAAAAAGGCCAGCTGGCTGAAGGGTAACGGGCCATTTTATGCAGCATTTCAAGCATGCGCATGAAAATGCATAAAATAAAGTAAAGCAAAACAATGTTCACCACAAAACGCTGTCACATTTTAGGAAACTAGGCCAAACACGTTGATATGGAGACAGAGCATTCTGAAATATAATTCAAACAGATAATAATAATAATAAACACAGCTCGCATCTTCCCTGAACCTGTTAGACAGGAGCAGAGTCGACACATCTGTCAACAGTGTCAAGCCAAGTTAGTCTATCTCCTGCAGCTTGGAGAGCGCTCTCCACGGAGAGATTCGCTGCCTTCAGGTCGTGCCGAATCGTATCTATCCACCGCAATGGCGGACGGCCACGGTTTTTTTACGTCGTTTGTGTTGATTGATAGCTCCAGTGCTTGGAACGAGGCGGATTCTGGACCCTCTCGCACCACATGGCCATACCACAGCAAACAGATAGCATACCGATAATACAGGACTCTGCCCCCACAGGATACCGCGATTCCGCGGTGCAATTTTCTGTGTAATTGGCTTTCATCCACGTTTTCGAGAAAATTTTGCATAAAACCTGCGTTATCCATAAGAATGTTCATGTACATGAAAATAGTACATGGTGCTGAAAATGTACTACAAAGTCGTACCCGGGGTACCCACCCTTGAGTTTGTACGACAAAGTTGTATACTTTTAAAGTTGTACCAATTACAGATAACTCGTGCATAATGACCGCAATAGAGAGGTTCCGCATTACTTAAAGTTGAGCAACTTTACGTTAGTGGGCGGGAAAAACCCGCGAGTTTGCACTCCACTTACGGAAAGTTGTCTACGTAGAGTACGTAGATAGGGCTCTGATAACGTAGGTGCTCCGTAAGTGGATTGGGGTACAAATTTATGACTCCTTCCCCAGGTCGACCCGGTCGTACACTGCCGTGTTCCGAGTTGCCAAGGGCAGCTACGTGATTCGAAAGCTCCGCACGGTGGAACACAGATCCGCATGCAGTGTACGTAAAACGTTCCGTAGATCAACTACGTTTTTTACTAACGTAATTACGTCATGTGGAACCTCTCTATTATACCGTATATTTGCCGCTTGATGGCCTGTTTTCGCCCGCATAATTACGCGCATAATTTTAGGATTTTGTCCGTATCATTCTGTGGGGACAGAGAACTATAGAAGAGACAGTACTGCGGTCGCTTAGTATTTTGCATATTTTGCACCTATTGTGTACAATGGCTGGTTTCCTTCTTCCGCGTGCTGTTCTTTGAGGCTATTTATTCATCGGGTTGGTTGTGTGCTACCGGTATCTTGCAGCTGGGATGAGTGGGTTGATGATACCAGAGCGCTCAAATACACTGAAGCCAATCTGAAGAAGCAGAAGGAAGTGCAGCAACAGCAAAACTCGTAAGGTTCTCGCTCTGTCCGGGTCACACACGGCTAGTACAATGTAGATGTTTTCTTTACTTGCACATGTATCTACTGTACATGTGCAGTAATTGCAGTAGGACCTGTGCCAGCACCAGTACCAATGACAGTAGTCATCAAGGGCGTCGCACACGGTACGGTCACTACGGTAATGACCGTACCACTATTTGACCCAAGTACCCCGTGAATCAATAAAATGCACTGATTTGGGCTCTGATTTTCCAAAACATTTCGGCTCAGCCACCCCTCCCCACGAGTAAATTGTACTTCGGATGGCTAACCGTACCGCACTAAATTACCTTCCGACGCCCCTGCTCATGGAAGTGATTGTTGAGTTTTTCATATATTGTTTGAATTGTCCGTAACCGCTTCACTCATTCCACTTTCACATAACTGTTATGCAGTTTGTAGTATCTCTGTTGTAGTCGTAGGCTGATGGTGAACTGCCTGTCAGTGTAACTAACCCCTTCATACTGCTCCAAGCTTGTCCTATGTGTAACACCATGTCCATGCTATGCAATGATACTTTGGTTAATACTTGAAACCATGCTTCATTGTTGCATTAAAGCCACAAGCTGAACACCCAGGCCAATGAGTCGAGGGGCACTGTCCAGGATACTAGTAACTAGGTCACCATTCCTGCCATTGTTGGCCAGCTGAGCCCAGCGCCATCTCTAGTGAAGCGCTTGTATGGATGGAGTTCGGATTGGCCGCTCAGTTGGTCCTTGACCGCCTGACAGCGTACGTGTACAGAATGGCCCTGGTGTGTATACATGTACAGTTTCTGTACAATGCATGTTCATGTATGTACTCCGCTCTGTGCTGATCGGTGATGGGTTATGCTGTCCTTGCACTATGTGTTGGTATGGCTGGGATGGTTATGTGCTATCACCATCTACTAGGACCATGCGAAAGAGGAGACGCATTGGTGCCAATGAACGCACTTCTGTCGACAAGCAGGATAAGCTGAAGAAAGGTATGGCAGTGCGTGCGTACTCTTGATTTCTAATAGGGCCAGGGCCCTTGTATGCCTTGCACCTCACCTACCAATCACTATTCTTGTGTATTCATTGTTGAGCGCTTGTGGCTCGCAATGTGCAGCAGGTGCTGCAATTAATAGCATTCTATGGGGCACGGAGGAACTACGTAGAACCTGTAGAGCCTTTAGAATCCACCTGCCTTGACTTCATCTGGATGTCCTTCAACAGGCACGGCCTGCTTGCCTTCTTTCTTTTTGAACAATGTCATCTCATGTGTAGTATGTTGAAGCATGTACATCATGTCTATGTAGAGTGAAGCCTGTCTAAGCCGACAACCACTAGAGGGACCTTCCAAATGTGGTCTCCTTGTACAAGTGGTCTTCTTATCCTGGGCCATTTGACTGGGGAAAATTATCCCTTGGTCCTAGTTTTGGTGGTCCTCTGAGGTAAGCAGTCAGTGGCCAGCTCAGGGTGGTGGCCTTGACAAGTCTCGCTGTTCGTCATAATGAAGCAGGGCGCATGCATCCTCAATGTATGCAAATGTTTGCATTCAATTCAAAGAACGCCACGAGTATCGTGCGAACTGGGTTTGCTATTCCTTCTCTTTATTGTGCTTGTGCAGGCACGGAAACACTCTCAGTTGAGCCTGCCCGAAAGCGGCGAAAACTTGAGCAGGGACAAGTGGAATCTGTAAGTTTTTTTAGTGAATGTAACTCCCAGGTGTGAAATTGCTTTTCCTGCTATTCTGGGATATTGGCTTGTTATGCTTAGTAATAATAAACGTTCAAACTGTCGTTTCATGTGTTTGTGTGTTTGCGTGTGTGTGTGGCGGGGGGGGGGGGGGGGGGGGGTGCTTGCATGCACCAGCTTTTGTATAATTTGCATACTTCTCCTGACATCAGGGATGGCTTCAAGCCAACTGGTGCGCTCATGAGTGTTTGCTTTGTATTGTCTATATCGACTTATGCTCATGCTGGTTATGTATGCTTTGCAGGAAGATACCTATGTGAATCGTATTGAAGTGAAGGTGACTTTACCAGACGTATTAAAACACTGTCTAGTCGATGACTGGGACCTGGTAGTACGACAAAAGCAGGTAAGTACCTGTGAAGGTGTCGTTGAATTTTTAATGCCGAGTATGGTTCCTCCCGTTCTCTCTTCTCTCTCTCTCTCTCTCTCTCTCTCTCTCTCTCTCTCTCTCTCTCTCTCTCTCTCTCTCTCTCTCTCTCTCTCTCTCTCTCTCATGCGGTCCTGTTCACACACACGCACACCTTGATTGTATTACTGTTACGGATGGAGGATAAGACAATGAAGTCAGTTCGAGCGACATTTGTGGCAGGAGAAAGTTGCGTCTGACTAAGACAACCATGTTAGTCAGTTAGGACACTCTATGAACGCTCTATGAAAACTATATAAGCAATGATTTTCAAAGCTGTAAAATAAGTATTACTTTCACCCGGAATTGGATACCTGTGGACGCCCTACAAGAGAGCATGCACTCACGGGCACTCGCTTTGCTGGCTGCCTCGTGATCTTCACCCACAGAGCAGCCTCCTTTGACAGCAGAGTACAGACTTCACCGGGCATTGTCCGTCACCAACAACGCTCCCTTTCTTCCGGACCGGCCCTTCTACTCACTTTATCAAGTATGCAAAGTGGTCCAAAAAATTTAAATATGCAGTTTGGTGCGTGGCAATGGACAATCCCACCAACGTGAATATGAATTTATGTACAATTTCTGTTATCTCTGGGCCTTTCTCTTACTTCTTCTCTCCATCCATTTCGTTCTCTGCTTCATAATGATGAGTTTCTAATTTGCGCCCTTTGTGCTAATCTTTGTTGCTGTTGTATGTGCCGCTGTCTAGCTTGTTGAGTTGCCAGCCAAGAATACAGTAGAGAGTATCCTGAATGACTTTGTTCAGAGCCGATCTCGGGGTGTATCTTCCTCTTCTGGTTCGACAAGCAGGTAGGACTTAACCAGTATGTGCGCTGTATTTCACAGGTTGTTTTGTCTTTTTTGGACAATAGTATGTCCGTCCTCGGGCACCATATCGTTGGACACACCCAGTCCCCCCCCCCCCCCCCCCTAGTTTGCCACGATATACAATAATTATACATGTATGTGTACAATGCGCGTATGTTTGATCTTTCCCAGCCTGCCAATACCCATTGTTCATGGAATATACACCTCCTCTATGTACATGTACATATGTGTGTGTGTGTGTGTGTGTGTGTGTGTGTGTGTGTGTTTTGGGGGCTATTGATCTTACTCTGCAGTCATGTTGCGGTATGTACTCACTGTCCTGTAAAAAAAATACTTCGAAGTATGATGGCCTGTAGTTGGCATGTTGATCTCTTCTGAAAGTTACTGGTATTCCTGTCTTTGCCATGTTCTGTTCTTAATGTGATCGTCATTTTTGTCGACAAATGGTCTGTCTCCTGTTTCTTCGCCATCACTCTGTACTGTCTCTTGTGCCACAGCGAACGAGAAGCAACCGCATCTGAGGTGTGTGAAGGTATTCGCGAGTACTTCAATGTCTTGCTCGGAACACAGCTACTGTACAAGTTTGAACGCCCGCAATATGCAGAGGTAGGTGCTGCATGCAGCACAGTACTTGAACAGAGTGTTGGAAGCGGCGACTACAAGTACCTTTCCTATGCCTTTCCTATGCCTTTCCTATGCCTTTGGTATACATCATGCTGCTGTGAACACGCTCCATCTCTATCGCATGACGGAAAATTGGTCGAATGGCTGATTGCACATGTCTACTGGCTTTCTTCTTGGGAGTACCAGTGAGTGTTGCTATTTCAAGCAGTTTGACTGTGTTCTGGAAATCAACAACCTCTGTTTGTTCTACATCCTTGCTCAGCTTGTACTAAAGCATCCGGAGAAGGCCATGTGTCAGATTTATGGACCGGAGCACTTACTTCGATTATTCGGTAAGCCTCACACCTACATGACTGTGCGCAAAGGCAGCAAGAGGCAGCCAGGCCAATAAAACATTCGTACACTGCATCACAGTGCTTGTCAGCTGGATATGTTTTCAACCGTGAAAATGCCTACTTGTTTGGAATAACACCCTCCATCTCACTTGGGTTCTGTTGGTGTAGTATGCTAGTGCTTGTCCTGAAACAATCTTCTGCACTCTTGACAATATCCTCTGAGAGTCTTGTGTTTTGTATGATGTGGGTGTGCCTGTGTACAGTTCGGATCGGCTCAGTTTTGGCCTACACTCCACTTGATAAGCACAGTATGTCAATTCTGCTCAGTCATATTAATAGCTTTTTGCGGTGAGTCAGTCCTTCATTCTGCTCGGTCATAAATTATTATTAACCGTTTTTTGCAGTGAGTCTGTGATTCTGCATACCTACTAACATGTCATGTTCGTCGTTGTTTTGTTGTCCCTCATGAGTCGTCAATATCAGTAGCCGTTGGCAGGGCGTGAGTTTGTTCCTAGTCTTTCGGCAGTCACACACAATACTGTCAATACATCTGGATACTTTGAAGTACTTGCATTGTGGCCAGGAACCACGCTCGGGAGTAAGCAGAATCCCTCTGTGTTTATCTTTCCTGCAGGTTTTTCTCCAAACTATCATCCAGTGGTTTCTCCGCTGATAACTACCACCCAGCTGCACCAGAATACTACAGACGGCAAGCAACGTGACAATGTGCCGTCTGTGTGCTCTGCCAAAATGGGGCATTGCTGACAGAGTCACTTGGGCATGCTTGGCTCTGTCTTGTCTCTTCTTGTCGTTTTTGTTGCTTTTTGTTGCTTTTGCTTCTTGTCGCTTTGTTGCTTCTTGTCGCTATGCTGCTTCTTGTCGCTTTGTTGCTTCTTGTCTCTTTTGTTGCTTCTTGTCGCTATTGTTTACACGGACCGTGATCAATAATGGTGAGGTGGTCGAGCATTGGGTGTCATATTTTGCCATCTTGTTAACAGTTTTGTTATCAAGTCAGGTTGATCCAACACTTTTTAATCTTATTTTTTTGTTCATTTTCTGTTCCGTTTTTATCTGGTTCGGTGTACCGCTAACCATCATATTCTCGCATTGTATTTTTTAACCAGTGTGTTCCTATTTTCTTGTCTTGTCATGTGTCAGTTCTGTCCTTAAAACAAACAGAAAGAAGTATGTTACATATAATCTTCTTTGGCGCCAGGCTTGATGTTGTGGTCACTGGCTCCCTTGCCTTGATGCTGTGATGATATTATTGGCCAACTGGCTGGTAGTTCTCTCTCTCTCTCTCTCTCTCTCTCTCTCTCTCTCTCTCTCTCTCTCTCTCTCTCTCTCTCTCTCTCTCTCTCTCTCTCTCTCTCTCTCTCTCTCTCTCTCTCTCTCTCTCTCTTCTCTCTCTCTCTCTCTCTCTCTCTCTCTCTCTCTCTCTCTCTCTCTCTCTCTCTCTCTCTCTCTCACACACATTACAAAAATTCTGCGCATTTTTTTCACCATCTGCACCTGCTTTCAGGCGTAAAAACCCTGTTGTAGAGGGATTATTCTTCATACCGTATTATCTCTAATATAAGCACAGTCTCCAATAATAGCACGTCTCCAATAATAGAACACCTTGGGGCGGCATTCAAAAAATAAAGTGCTCAGTCTCCATTATAAGCACACTGTGTAAATTCATCATCTGTACCGGTGAAAAAAACCCTGAAATGTGTGTGTCATACATGAATTTGGCATGGCAACAGGCCTCTGAAATGAGGTTGAAATAATAATGGAACAGTCTCCAATAAAGGAACGTCTCCATTAATAGCACGGGGTGGAGGTACATTGAAAAAATAAAGGACCGTGCTTATATTAGAGATAATACGGTAATCCCCTACTTGTAGGTGAGGGGAAAGAGCCCAAGACTTTGGACTGCTCTCACTATACCTAGCGAGAGCAGGCCAAAGCAAGCTAGCCAAACAAACCCCAAAGAGCCAGCCTGGAAGCCGCTGTGTGAAATCTCAATCAAATGATCTTGTTATAGGAAGGTAATTGAACAAGTGGACATATTTACAAAACTCTTACATGAGCACCGTGAATATGTTTTTTGTAGGCTTTTTATTTTTGTTTTCCGCTGTATTCATCAGCTTACAAGTCCTCTTCTTTCCTCAATGTTCACCCTCCAGTCGGCTGCTACTTGCACCGAGAGGCGCACTAAAGGGCAATCATTCTCTTCACTTTCTTTGCCCGCTGCTACCACTAGATATGGCATGTTCTCCATTTCTTTCCTTGGCGCTGATAGGTGGAATTCTCTGCCTGTCTCGTGTCGTCAGGTTGAGCATCTATCCGTTTTTGTTTCGCTCTGTAAAGAGCACTTAGGGTTCCCTGTAACAAGACGGCAACGTCTGTAGGGCCTTCCCTATCAAAAATTAATAATAAATTCTACTACTACTACCATGACTACTACTACTACTACTACTACTACCAAGAGTACATATTAAAACCACTCTTGCTACTACTATTACTTATTAGATGAACATGGATGTGAACGTGCAATTACAGCTATCATGAATAATAATTCGCAACAAGGTACATGACTTTTTGTACATGTGTTTGCAACGTCAACGACAACGTTGCCATGGGAACTGAACAACAAATGAAAGCAAATACATTGTATTGTATCGCAAATAGGTTTACTATGGAACCTAAACAAGAGAAATGTTGTTATTTGTATTTTGAATTCGCAAGAAATCCAACACGCCCACATTTCGATCTCAACAACAATGTTGCCATGGAAACTGAAGACTTGTCATACTGCCCATCAGGCATCATGATCAGTCATCACCCTCCCTCCCTCCCCCTCAAAAATTAATTGGCTGATGAATGTGTGACGTGACTGATACTACAGTGATGAATATCCCAACCCTGCTGTTACACACAAATTGTCAGTTCCTCTGAATCTCACGTAGAGAAATACAGCAGATACAGGCAATGCGCAAGTAGTGGAAAGAAGCAAAGATGTACCATCTCAACGTTGACCAGCAAAAACGGGAGACGCAAACTGCAGGGTATAATAATGACAAAGTCAATAAAAATGAGACGAGTCAAAATGTCATTAGGTTACACCGACAACACCAACAAACGACAGCAGAAAGATAAGAACAAACACGAGTTTGGTGCAAACCTGGCACTAGTAAAACAGACAGAACGAAAATTAAACAAAACCAGAGGTAAAAACAAACAATCTATACACAGTAAAGAATGGGGCGCGTATCGCACAGTAGGTTATCGCCGCTGAAATGTACACAGTAGAAAAGCAGCATGCGTGTTCTGCGATGAGCGCACACATATTGGCAATGGGAGATTGCCTCAGGTTTGAAGCCAGCCAGAGGGGCAGACGCGGAGTACAGCTAGCAAAGCCAGAAAAAGCACTTGTAACGCTACATAAAAGCAATATGTACGCAGTGGGGGTAATCACACAGCTTAGTACTAGACAATCAAAGCAAAAATGATCGGAGAATGTCTCTTCTTAAAACAAAAACTTTTCTTAAAGGAGCACACAAAACCATGCACTTCAAGAAAAAAGGTGAGATAACTAAAAGGCCGCTTGTGAACTACGGTGACCACTGCACTGTACTAATGCTGGGCCACGGGTAGGTAGGTGGCATTGCTGGCAGTGGTGGTAGCGCTGGTGGTGGTAGCGCTGGTGGTGGTAGCGCTGGTGGTGGTGGTGATGGTCCGTACCAGCCGGTATTGGAAGCACATAGGCAGCATAGGCAGATATGGGCCAGAGCTACCACTAACTGGATACATCGGGATGGGCATGGAGCGCGCGGCAGCAACACTGCCAATTATTGCACACCATCACCACATGGCAACACCACGCCACACACACACACGCACGTATGCACGCACATGTGTGCGCACGAATCGAGCAGTCCTGTTGAACTGCATACACGTATCGCGGCCACACCATGCTGACATAGCCTGGCAACAAGGCGATGCTGTTGGCAGGTGTGCAAGTAAGCAGGCACTTTGGCGGATGCCGGCACTGCTGAAGTAAGGTGAACCTTCACGGAAGCACACATTCAAGTCACGGCCAAAATAAAGGAGCAGAGGTGATGGCAGTAGCGGCGAGCAGCAGTAGTAGCGATGGCAGCGACGACGGCGACAGTGAGTATATATTGATGAGCAACTGTACAACTGATTCTGCTTCTCGGTTCAAGGATCACAACTCTCAGGATTCTACGTGGCGATGATGATTTGAAAGAAGGATGATACATCAGACATTGGTAATTTCTGCTAAAGTCAAGACTCCATCTCATCTGGTAGCTCGTGTGGGTTCAGGACACCGGGCACAGCATTTTGCACACGACGCTTTTCATCTGCAGCAACGCGTAGCTGCTCCTTTCTCTCTTCCAGGTAGAGATCAGTTGCGTCTTCGCCAGATACTTCCTACAAGGGTACATGGCAACAAGCAAGGCGAGAACAATAACTAAATACATGTACTCTAAATGGGATCGGCGTTAACACAAGCAAGCTGTGTGTTCACGTCTACATACACATGGTAAGGAATGCAACACAGTCATATCAGCAAGGCTAGATTTTCAGTATCAGGCCAGTGTCATTCTATGGAGTCGGAGTTCATACAGTGAAAGACACAGCTGTTGAATATAAGTAAAGTTCAAGTAGTATGGAAATCACCCAATTCCCGCAGGCCCACTTACTCTGATCTGGACGAGGAAATCTCGGAGATGGTCCTTGAAGCCACTGACGTTCGTGTCCAGGCTAAAGAAGCCTTCAACCAAAACCCGCCGCTGTTGCCTATCAAACACAAAACGTATCAGCAAAACCCATTGGGAATGAAGACTGTGGACACCAAAGACATGAATCAATTATAATAGATGGTTGCAAAGCTACTCCAAACACAGCTGTTGCAGTTAGCATGCAGCAGACTGAAAAGACCAGCACGCCTATGAGTAAAAATCTGTCGTGAAAGGAGCACTAGGAACACTGTACAACATGATGGATGCCATCCACAATATTAGTAGCCTCCGTTTACACTGAAGCCACAAATGCACACCTCAGGCGAAGGATAATGCAGTGTCCAAGTTTCAATGCAGCAAGTACATCTAAGAAGACCCTCAGTGGGTAATCGCAACTGCCAATGACTATAAGCTCTTACTCTTGTAGATGAGGGTATGCTTGGCCAAGCAGTTGGCCGACGAATTCTGCAACATACACCTGCATGAAGCATGGCAGTAAAGACACACCGAATACATTTATACAAGCCCAGTGAGTATGCCAGTCCGTACCACAAAATGATCAAACCCCATACACACACAGTGAGGATAATTCAAAACAGTACTACTGAAATTACTTCAACATACAGTATATATTTTCATCTGCCAAGGATCTGTTGCAAATACTGAATGTAACAAGCAGGAATGCACCCCACAGAGGACACTGACAGCAAAGAACAGGATACGATGGGGACCACAGGACACTAACCTGGTTGGTGGTTGGACCAGATACGGATGGGTCTCCTTCATACAGCGCACATGTTACAACATTGTCCTCAACAATGTAGAAAAGGCGAGCCAGGATTGTGGCATGCATGAACAAGTCTGGACAAGCACAAAAGTAAGATTAGAATAGTACCGTAAGGTTAGACAATGTAGTTGTGCTGTACAAACCGGAACCATGCATGAGACACATGTGAAGTTGATCCAAGAGGTGCGGCATTTCGTATTTTAAAATGTTTTCCTACTGCCGCGAGTTGAATTTGGAGGTTCCGATTTTCGGTTCAAATCTGACAAGGTCTTTTTTTGACTTTCCACAACCTGTGCTTCCACGAAAGTTTGACTGCTCCGCCGACTATCAAGTCTACCGTAGTGATGCACATAAAGGCACATGTGCTTATGAGTGAGTTTTTGCGTTATTTGCTATTTTTTTTGCGGGTCGTGTTGTCTCACACATAGGCGCATGCGCTTGAGTTGCTAGTGTACCAGTACCGTACATAATTATGCACATTGTGCAATACCGCAATGCACATTGAACTATGTGAACATGGTGTTTTTGTGGTGTCTGTGTGTCGCGGGATGGACAGCATTTAGGTTCACTTACAAGCCCATGCGCTTATTTGTGAGGGTGCGATAAGATGCGCGTCACTACGGTAGTAATAAAACAATCCAAATGCAGAACCTCTCTACAATGGACTACATGGACAACACAAGCTACACCAGGCACCAGCAGAGCAAGACAGCACCGTGCTTGTGCTGAACTACAGTACATACATACCTGCTGTGTGGGATGAGTCTGTCACAACAGAGAAGATGTGCTGGAGTACAAGCAAATAGTAGGTACTGTAAAAGCCCTGGGCAGCTTCTGTCGCTTCAACGTTCTTCAGCAAAGTCAGCAAAATATTCAAGCCTGGACACAGTGATCACATAATGACAAGAAAAACACCAGGAAAATTTCTATGACAAGGCCTTCAAATTTCAAAACAAGAGAATGGGTAGAGCAAATCTCAACATGAAGAAAGAGCACTTATGACACTGATACTACGCAAAGTACAGTATCCCGACGATCACGTGACTCAAGCCCCAACTGTCACTATCTGCTTGTACATAATAAGAGCGACAGTATGACAGTCTCACCGGTCTCAGCAACATTTCGCATGGTATGCTTGAATGCCCAGATAATGGAGTCCATGATGAGCTTGAACTGCATCGGTGGCATTTGGAGGAATGCTGCACAAGAAAAGCACACAACACAAACTAATTATGTAGAATGGTAACCAATGACCCACAAAGAAAACAATAGCATTCAAACAAGTTCAAGCCTTGCATACAGGAAGGCTCCCCTCGTGACAAGGCGCAGAAGAGAGCCATTCATAAAGCAATGGCGGCGGTTCATCAACAACTCATAATGGTACAACATGAAGAGAACTGGGCGTTACCTGAAAAGCAGTGCTCTGTGACAGCTTGCAGCATGTTGAAGAAGTTTGTGCGGTGCTCCGGGAACTCCTGGAAGTCTTTGTTGATCATGTCAAGCGTACACTCGAACACTGCATCGAATATTGCTGGAACATGAACTGTTATACAGTCCTGAACAATCAAAAGCACCAGAGAAATGAATCAACCGTAGGAAATAGCTATGCAATAAGTACTGCAGACTCTCACAATTTATCTCTTGAAGTCAACCATTGCACAGCCATAGATTGCTCATGGTTTGCCGACTACAATGATACATGACTTCTCCTTAGCCGTCATCTACACATTCTCCAACAAAGCGCTGGCAAAATATTAAATTTGAAAGGTGTCATTGGATCAATATGCTGCTGGCCAGAAACAAGAGGGCGATGACCAGCAAAGGACAATATCTGGGCATATCCAGCGTAACAACTTACACCAAGGTGATTGATGGTAGTTGCAAGTGCAGATAACACCAATGGCTCTCGTGCTGTTGGCACGTTGCGGTGATAATCGGCAAGCACAGCATCTAGGAAGGGAGGGATGAAGTTATCGAGCACCTAAAACAAAAATAAAGTAAGCATTCCAGGTTAGAGCATGTGACAAGAGTAACATCGGCTCATACTTCCCATAACAATCAAGAATAGTAGCCAGTAATCAGCCAGGCTAAAAGCAGTATTCAACGAGCACAAGATCAAAGTTGGCATCGGCCACTGTTACTCAGTGACTCACCATCTTGTGGTCATGAGACTTGCCAATCCATGTAGAGATCAGGCGCAATACATCTTGCTTTACAGCACGCATCGCCACAAGCTGTGGCTGCTTGGCTGCATGCTCTCCTGAACATGAACAAACAGAGGACAAGACTTAGTATAGAGGGATACGGGTATGATATATGCCGGCTTGGAGTATCAAAGCCAAGTTAGCCCACGTGGGCACATGCGCAGTGATGGTCTCATGATGCATATCATTAATTATTATTCTGTGCCGAGTATGATCTGTAATTTGCATTTTTTGCACTGCTGCTACTGTTGCCTTTATGCGCGCTGCAGTAGCTAGTTGAATGCAGTTTGGTTTGTCTTTTCCTTTGGACAAGAAGGGCTTTCCGTGTCAGGCTGGTAATTTCTCTAATAATAAAGGTGGAAGTCTGAACATCAAATACTGAGAACGGGGAAACTCGGCGAACAAATATACACACATGCGGTGGAGGCATAGGTGTGAGAGTTGGGACAAGATGTAGCCTTACCATGCGTGGCAATGGCTGTTGAGATGTTCTCACTCAACACCTTGTACACATTGAGCATGTCCAAGTAAATACGACCAAGCTGCAAGCAACATTCGCATACACACAGAAGTCAAGAAGCACAACCATAAAATGACATGTACATGTACTACTATGGAGCCAGGAATGTTCTATTTCACAGCAATCGACAATGCTCAAACCGACAGGAAGAGCTTATAAAAATGTCAGCGGTGCAGATACCGGTATTCAAGTCCCTTCCAGATACTAAACAAATCACAAAGGCAACCATGATCCCCCCCCCCTAAAATGTGAACATGTAATGAAGTTGAACGAATGTAGTAGGTGGCTTTGAATTTACCTGTGTCACATACGCATGACCGATTGCAGTACAGCCAGCAATATTCGTCTTCAGAATGTTGCTTAGCTGCTTGGCCGTTTCACGGTCTTGCAGTACCGTTACGTCCTGTCATACACAAACACACAGATAGCAGCTACATGTTTGTGCTCACAAATCTAGGAGCAGGTTATCGACAACAGTAACAACCAATTGACCCATGTCCGTTCTCTGTGACGCCTGGATTCATTTTCCACGCACTTGGGTTTGTCAGCTTTCTAGCCACATGAAATAAATCTGCTCCAAAAGGGTAGCAGCTTTGCACGATTCCTCTTTCACTTGGATATCCCCCCCCCCCCCCCCTCTCTTTCTCAATACGTGTACCAGTTAATCACAACATTCATAACCAAGCAACAAAATCAAGGATATACATACAGTACACTGGGAAAAGCTTACTTTTGTGGCTTGTTGGATGACATTGTCCCACACACTGTTTGGTAACTCAAAATACTTGTCTATGAGTGGCTCCATCATCAGACTATCCTATGTGGATATAACAACACGGGAAAAACACAAGCATGATCACCATAAATTATCAACAAATAGATCCATCTAGCAGGGGGATTGCAATGACCATACTCCACCCCCCCCCCCCTCAAGCGTGGCTTCATAAGTGAAACATGACTGGATGCCATGCAACGATGGGGCTGTCGGCTATCATTCAGTCAAAGGGCCGAACCTCCAAGGGTTACTTGGGCAAGTACACGGAGCCCCAAGTCTAGAGACTCAATATGCAAAGTTTCAAAGATGCCACAACATTGCACATAGAAGGCACCATGTACACAAGGACAATACTAGTGACAGTAGTTGTTGAAAGGTACTTGAACACTGACAGTGCCCCCCTATACATATGTAATGTTCTGGAAAACACACCCCTACACATGCACATTCCTCGCAAGACAAACCACTGCAAAGCGGAAGAACACAACTTGATGCTTTGTTATAATCACTTACAGTCTGAGCACTGATCATGTAGCCAACTGCTTCATAGAATGTGTGGACCTGATACACAAAACAGAACAGAGATAAGTGCACACCAGCATAATATTGGAAGACTAGTGTGCTTACATTACAAAGTGAGAATAAAGGGGGGTGGGGGTGTGATCAGGTTGTCATGCCCCCCCCCCCCCCCCCACGCATCTGATCACAATGATTATCATCCAGCTCACACCAGAAAATGCACACTGTAAAAGCCATTATTCTAACGAGGCGCAAAATTAACGGTTTTAAAATGGACCGGTTAACGTGTACAAAGGCTAACAACAAGAGTCCATAAACAAGAGTATGCAACTGTGATCTCTTTTCTATGGGCCAGATGCACTCCGCGCACTGCCTCCATTACATCATTCGCTCATGATTCAGCTGCACTCCGCGCACTGCGGAAAATTAAACACCGCAGTTTCCCTCTGATTTGAAATGAACTTTCGTACGGAACTGGAGTTCACGCGCCAACATTTAGAGATCGCGCAGGTGCTGAAAGGAATGGAGCAAAAACGGATGGGCGTGTACGAGAAATTGCGGGTTTGAGTGCAGCCTTTCAGACCGTGATGGAGGCAAGTTACGTCATGAAGGCAGCGCGCCACGCACTGACCGATAACAACAGTTGCATACTCTTGTTTATGCACTCTTGCTAACAAGTACTAGTACCACTTTTCTCACTATACTGGTAATACTGGTATTGACTTTCGTTCGACGTTTTAAAGACCGATTTCTTCTTCGCTAGATTTAGCACATCGTTACAGACAGAGCTCACTGACTTGTCAGTCTGAGCATTCTGGCAAGGTAAGTTCGGGCCTGGTTCAAATCTGGCTTTGGAAAATTTATTTTTCATTGTTATCAGGTTCGGCCTCATTTTTTCTGCGCTGTGCTGATGAGTCCACAAAGGACAAAACAGTTCTGTCCGCAGATTGAGTGGCTTTCACAGTATATATGTGTCTCCTACACAAGTCAATATACGAAAGAGAATCAAAACCTTTTAGATAACAGCATATGCAAGATAAACACGGTATTGTCATTCATTACCTGCTGCGGCTGAAGATCACAGATAATTGAGCTGATGGTCTTCAGGATTTCCCGGATGTACGGTTCTGTTTCTCCAACTTGCACCTACACAAAGTGAGAACAGCAGCAGCATAGTTGTCAACTAACTGATTAGATGCTATGACATACAGCTCATAGTGTGAATGAAATCAACAAATCTAGGACCATGTGAGGTTAACCCTTTGAGACCCCACTGAAAGTACGACAATTTACTCACCGTCAAATAACATGCACTTTCGCTCGTATCTCTATCAAACATTCACCGATTTTTACAAACTAACCACCATTGGAAAGGTATTTCCAAGACGAAGAGACTAGTACCACACTCAAGCCAGCTACCTGCACAGCCTCTGCTCTGCGTGGCCTATAATGCCGCCCAAAACAGCAGCCATGCGCGAACAGCTTCAGCAAAGTTCAAACAGCCGCCATTCCATACTCCTTCATCGCATCGACTTCAAACAAACTACAGCGGAAAGCTCGTTTCAAGCGCGAAATTTTGGTGTGCAGCATGCTTGAGTATGACGTACCATCCCGGGGAAATCCCCTGCCAAGTGCAGCGTGAAAATTTGAATTTTTCGATCTGAGTGCATTTTTCAGTTTGTCTCTGACTTCGAGTCTCACCACGGTGGCATCGTAACTCTTAGAGACTTCGGATAACTTCGACGTGATAGCCAAGGTTCTTTTCGAAACGTAGATCTAAGTTCGTAGATACTTTGTTTATGAAAATCGGTGAAGGAACACCAGAGATACAGTCAACTTCGCTAATAACGACTGCGGATATAACGACAGCATTTCCATGCCCAGAGCAAAGTCCCTTCCAACTGTAATACATATAATGAGACTTCAGGTATAACGACACTTCGCGAATAAGGACACTTTTTTTGATGCCCCGCCAAGTGTCGTTATAGGCGAAGTTGACTGTATAATTATTTTAGTGTCACTGTATACCAAACGATCGAATTCGATCGTTGGGGTCTCAAAGGGTTAAAGGGGAGGTTAAGGCAAAAATCAAAATTTCACCAGTTGTAGTCTTCGGGGTGCTGAGTTGAATGGTCTTGGTCCGAGAAAGCTGAGACGCTCCCTTCCTACTTGAATCCCAATCGAACTCGCGCACTTCCACCGAAACTGGGTGACTGCGCCCTACGAGATGGGGATTTGTATGCAAAATGTCACTAAAAGCGCCATTTCGTTCTTATAAAAGCACGGATGACCGCGATTGGCCCATATGTTGTAGTCTTTTGGACGCGGAGTCGACTGGTTTTGGTCCGAAAAGGCTGCGATGCAGCGTTCCTCCTTTATTCCCCATCGAACATGGTTGAACAAGCGGTCACGTGCTCCTGCGTACACCAGTCACCTGGTCACCGTGCCTGCAGGGTACAACTTACAGCCTGTTTTGACCTTTTTTGGGTGCAGTCCTGTCACTCGAGTTGAACCTTGTTGTGAAAGTTGTCGCCTGCTGGCGTGGTGACCAGGTGATTCGGGCACCCAGGAGCACGTGACCGCTTCTTCAACCATGTTCGATTGGGAATAAAGGAGGAACGCTGCATCGCAGCCTTTTCGGACCAAAACCAGTCGACTCAGCGTCCAAAAGACTACAACATATGGGCCAATCGCGGTCATCCGTGCTTTTATAAGAACGAAATGGCGCTTTTAGTGACATTTTGCATACAAATCCCCATCTCGTAGGGCGCAGTCACCCAGTTTCGGTGGAAGTGCGCGAGTTCGATTGGGATTCAAGTAGGAAGGGAGCGTCTCAGCTTTCTCGGACCAAGACCATTCGACTCAGCACCCCGAAGACTACAACTGGTGAAATTTTAATTTTTGCCTTAACTTCCCCTTTAATGCACATTGTAATAGTGGTAATAACGCTTGTGCTACAACCAATGGACACCATCTCGTTCAGTGCACTAATTATCAGCTAGGCAGCACACGCAAAATGAAACATTGCAAATCCTTTCTCCTGTACTCTGGAACTGGCTTCTATCCCCGAATATGCTACATGCCCAGGCTAAGTTGGCACAGCAAGCAAACACACTTTGTCACCTGTCTTCCATGTGCCGGATTGGGATTAACACAAGTCGGAGAGAATCGTGTTTCAAACAAATACTGTAAGCACCAGAATACACAGCTAGTTCTAACAACAAAAGCTTACAAACACAAAGTGGCGACGGCATTTCTGAGCTATCTTGATGAAAGTGTCGCAAGCCATGTCTTGTACACCATCATGTAGCTCTGTTCAAAACACACCGATGATTAGACAAGCATGTGAAGGTCATGACCAACAACGAAAAATCCACATTATGGACATATCACCACACTTTCGCAAACAAACACACACTGTGACACATATGCAGAACACACACACAGCCAACTGCTTGCTTCATCATCCAGAACGGATAACCACGGTGACAATAAATTGGTGACATCAAGAGTATCCCCCCCCCCCCCCCCCTGAATATGCACCTCTGCTATGGGATGCCCCGAAGGCAAAACTCACATCACATGGTGAAATGTTCATGTTGTATATCGCAACATATTCAGCATGTTTTAGTGAGCAATAGAGTAGTAAAAATAGCACTCCAAGACAACAAGTTACACAGCTTGCACGCTGACCTTCGTTGTACGCAGCACGACCATACTTGAAACGGATGTGAACACTCAATGCGAGTTTTTGCTGCCGAGATCTCACATGCAGAGTTACACATTCCCAGGGGTTATATACCCTTGGTGACATGGTATACACTCACCATGCATGAACTCGAAAAGTTTCTTCACGACTGTCTTCAAAAACTTCCAGTGAGCTCTGATGAAACACAAGAACAACAATCGAGAAGAGTTAAAAAGAAATATCAGATTTAGGACATTCCCAGGAGCGTTCAAGATCAGAGATGGTATAGCGTACTTCAAAGTGAACCTGCATGAGAGTTTCCCCCAAAAAATTGAAAGATCTCTTTTACTGCAGCACGCATACGAACATTCCACAGTTATGCAGGGATCCAGAAGAAAGCGAGAGACACCTGCAGTACTACTGCAATACGGACCATGACGACTATGAAAGGGGTAGGGGTTTCAGTTCTGCACTCCAAGGAGGAGAGACAGATAGTGCACTAGTCACATACCGAAGGAAACGAGGATACTGGCCAACGATGTACATGATGTTAGAGGCAATGATGGCCTTGTTGTCCTTGCCCCGCTTCATTTCGACCATACCGAGAAGCTCCTGTGTGACATGGAGAAATGCAAAATGAAGACCATAGATGAGGAACAACCCTGGGGAGAAACATTTTCAAACATGTCCTTTTTCCTTTTTTTCCTACTGGTAAGCTATATGAACGGGGCATTCTTCAAACGATCTCCAAGGGAGGGAGGTGAGTTGCAAGGGCATTACCTGTTATCAGTACACTACTATCTCAGCATGACCAAGAGTCTGCAGGGAAAGAAGTTGAAATTGGATTGCAACACAGAGCTGCCAACCAACTGGGTCTATGTTGAGTACCACAACTTCTGATTTTCTGTATTTTACAGTGTTTGCGTACTGCCAATGTACTGCCATGTGCATTGCTTGTATCGTGTTTTTTAACACTCACATCCTTCTCGGTTGCTGGATTAGCTAGTGCTAAGCATGTGTGACTTGTACCACAGCATTATTTTTCGTGTTACATGTGGTTGAAGCATGGCATGCACTTGCTTTGCCAAAGGGAGATTCATCCCTCAGCTTGCGCTTGCCATGCTTCTACATACATAGCTGTAGCTGATCGATCTTCTTCAATTTTCCGTATCATTTCGCTCAAGTTAAGTAGCGCGGACGAATGAGTGATTTTTCCCTTACAAATACGGAAGGTTGGAAGCACTGGCAACACAAGCTGAGCTGTACACGATGGCAGCAGACCTATCACCACTAGGACTCACCTTGATAACGGTAACCAGAAACCGCTTCTCGTTCTCTTCCACTGTGGCACCGCTGATGGATCCAATTGCCCAGCAAAGCTGCAAGAGTAAACAGGGGAAGTGGATAAGTTACACACTAGCCAGAGAGCATGGAGGTACAGTAGACTCGTACGCCCAAGAACGCGGTTTCAGAGGGCCAGCCTAGCAAAGTCCTTATTTTTCAGCGCCCCAGGCTACGTTCTTATTTTGCGTTCTTACGCGTCCAACGTGACCCGTGACGCTCATGTACAAAGCACTTTGCGCTACATGTACCGGTTGTACACTTTACATGCACGTGTAGTATGTAGCGCTGCACTGGGTGATGTTTTCGAGAGGACCCGACAAGAGTTTGTGGTTGCGGACTTGTTTTTCGTGTACTCGGACAAGATCATGAAGGTGCAATCCGCTTGCAAAACAAACCGGCGCTCAAATATCACATCTCTTTCTCTCTCTCCTTTTCAGAAGATTGCATTGTAGTTATTAGCTCCCACTTCGTTTGTCGAGCGTTTCCTTTTCGTTCCTTCAAGAATGGCACCCAAGCCCAAACTGAAGCAGGCGACCCTTTTCGGCGTCGGAGTGATGCGGAAATTCTCGCTGCCATCTGGCAGAGTTGTAGAAGAGCGGGGTGAGACAGAAACAAATAAAATCGTAGAGGTGGAGACATTCCGTTGTGCCCAATGTGATTTCTGCACTCACCATGCCCCAGCGCTGTCCGTCCATGTGGCGATGAAGCATCCATCTGCTGGAGAGAGTCGGTCAAGCAACCAGGGAACCCTTCCTTCTAGCTTTGGGACCAACGACGTGGAAACTCCGTGCGCTCCTGCAATTCCGTCGACTTGTGCCTCAGTTACTGAGGACCAGGAAGCTGTTGCCATTAGTTCATCAGATTCTGATGATGAGGATGACTGGGAGGATGTCCCTGATCTGTCAAAAAAGCGCAAGAGGAGAGGCGCTTCAAAGCGCAAGCGATACAATCTTCTCTTCAAGCAACAAGTGGTGGAGTGGCTAGATACGTTGAAGGCGAGCGGCCATGCTTCCCCTGTTATGACAACTGGCGAGGAAATTAAAATCTCGCACTCCCTGGTGACGAAATGGTTATCAGTGAAGCATCGCAAGTTGCTTGCAACGCAGCTGAAGTCCACCAAAAGAGACGGAAACTTTCGGTGTGACAGCAAAGCCGCCAAAAGACCACTCTCCATCCAGGTGGCAGGCCTAAATACTGGGAGCAAGAGAAAGCGCTGTTTAACTTGTTCCAGGCCGAGAGAGCCCAAGGCAAAGGCAAGAAGATCACTCACTTGTGGCTGCGGACAACAATGCGGAAATTGATCAGAGATGACTTGGGCGAGGAGATCGAGCAGGCGTTTCAGGCGTCCGATGGTTGGTTTAACTCTTTCCTGGCAAGGCATAAATTGTCGCTGCGTGCCCGCAGCAACAATAAATCGAGGTCTGTTGTGGAACGGCTCCCAGGAGTGAAACGGTGGCATGCCCGCCTTCGTCGACGACTTCGGAGAGGACTTGGTGCCAAGCGGAGTGGGAAGTGGGGTCGCTGGCTACCCCATAACCGGTTTAATGTGGACCAGGTGCCTCTGACGCTTTGTACGTGAACATGCATATTGCATTATACTGCTTATAATATTCTTCTTCACTACAATCATGTCATGTATATAATTATACAGATTCATTGTGTAATAGGCAGAATTCAACAGAAAAGACTGTCCGTTCTTTTTTTGCATTCCATTGCAGTTTTCTACGCATAAAATGGTCCGGAAAGCCGGTAGCATTACCATTCTGATACAGAAACGTGCAATACCAAAAAATGTCGCGTTCTTAAAAATCTTGGAGTTCGTTCTTAAATCCAGGCTGGGGCGTTCTTAGATTTCCAGCCTGGACGTTCTTGGGCGTACGAGTCTACTGTATGGCACCAAGTCATATTACTATGAAACAAAGCCAATTCATGATTCGTGTTGGACCCCGTCAGACTGAGTTTTCCGCATCTGTAGAAATGCCACCATTCTCAAGGATCAAGGCGCAAATGCAGCTCCTAAAGCGGTGGTAGGTGAGTATCCCAGACCCACCACAAAGTGGTCTTAGACCGAAAATCCCAATCGCTGCTTCCATATTACTATAACACAAATGCTAATATCTTCTGCCTTTTGCTCTTGCATGACTACATTACTATTGGGTGCTATTTATCCAAGCTACACCAAACCAGGCTGGTAAGTGAGAACCTTGAAGCAGGAAAGGAGACAACCAGAATGCTTTTGGCTGAACTAACAGCTTACCCGATTGAGGTTCTTCCATGACCACTCAGTACCATTCACCTGGCTCTCTAGTTTCTCTGTCATAATCCGTTCTGTGTCATACCAGTCAAGATGTGTCAGGTACACTGGAGCATACAAAAAAAGGACAAGTAATCTCAGAAAAATGCAGATTATGATGGCAAAGAACTGGCAGGGGTGACAGAATACGTGTTGAACGCATGTACCGTATGTTCCGAAGTATACGCCACACACTGTGTTTTTGTCCCAAAATATAGGAATCTACCATGAATTTGGTGTATAAGCATTGGTAATTTGACATTTTTTAAATAGATTTATGTTTGGGCGCGCGCGTGCTTTATAAATTAAGACCATCTTTCTTCGGATTATTGTGTGGCTTTGAAAAAAGCTGGTTGAATGAGTAGATGGGTATCCAATGTGCGTCGCCCATGCGCATAGTTACATGTCGCGGCGATGTTGCACTGTTTGTAGCAGGCTACCGCACTTTACTTCGCTCCGCTCATTTTACCACTGGAGTATAAGCCGTACCGGCTTTTTTGGGTTAATTTCGACTGTTCAAAGTGAGGCTCATACTCCGGAAAATCGGGCAAGGTTTTTACTTTGGGTGCACACCTGTGTGCAGGGTGCTTGGAAAGTAGATATTCACACCGGGGAATTGTTTCATGTACAACGGGGCATTGTTTCAAGCACATATGCAACCACAGTCTACTGCTCTTTTCTCTGCGAAACGCAAATGAGATACATGCACCCATTGTAAATAGAGCCAACAAATCGATTACTTTCCTATTGTCTTACCAAGAGTTGCTCGCATCGTCTTGTACAGACTGACCGCATCAGTGTCGACCAGGGTCTCTCTTACTACCTCTCCAGCCTCATTCTCAACGACTACAACTTCTTCTGGTTTTGCCATGTTGCTGATCATGATAAAGCGGACCTGAATGCAGGAGAGGAGCAAAACAGCAGGTGACAATGGTTATGGTGAACCCTCTCAATAATAGTGCAATGTTCAGTGCTGCATTGGTGAAGGACTTGTACAGATATAAAGGCAAATAATGTGACAGTGCCAGCAATACAATTCACAAGAACTGAACATCTTCCACTTGAGGTCCACCGACAGGGCAACACATGCCTGTATCGTGGCAACAAACATTAAGTTCTTGTTTGAGTGCTACTGAGTAATTGCATGTTCGTCGAATGTACCTTTGATAGGACGGGATAGTAGAGAGGTCTTCGCGACACTTGCTGCTGCTGAGACGGATCCCCGGCATATGGCTTCTCAAGGTACAGCTCAAAAGTGAGGGTACTCCAGTATTCCAGACAGATCTTGAAGATCTCTTTCTCCTCCACTTCGGAAATAAGAACCAGGAAGTGTAGAGCCTGCAGAAAACAGCATACAGTTCGAAGATAACTGGTAAATGCACCGACAAAAATGCCATAGCTTCTGAGCACATTAAAGGGGAAGTTAAGGCAAAAATTAAAATTTCACCAGTTGTAGTCTTCGGGGTGCTGAGTCGAATGGTCTTGGTCCGAGAAAGCTGAGACGCTCCCTTCCTACTTGAATCCCAATCGAACTCGCGCACTTCCACCGAAACTGGGTGACTGCGCCCTACTAGATGGGGATTTGTATGCAAAATGTCACTAAAAGCGCCGTTTCGTTCTTATAAAAGCACGGATGACCGCGATTGGCCCATATGTTGTAGTCTTTTGGACGCTGAGTCGACTGGTTTTGGTCCGAAAAGGCTGCGATGCAGCGTTCCTCCTTTATTCCCAATCGAACATGGTTGAACAAGCGGTCACGTGCTCCTGCGTACACCAGTCAGCTGGTCACCGTGCCTGCAGGGTACAACTTACTAGCCTGTTTGACCTTTTTTGGGTGCAGTCCTGTCACTCGAGTTGAACTCGAGTTGAACCTTGGTGTGAAAGTTCTCGCCTGCTGGCGTGGTGACCAGGTGATTTGGGCACCCAAGAGCACGTGACCGCTTGTTCAGCCATGTTCGATTGGGAATAAAGGAGGAACACTGCATCGCAGCCTTTTCGGACCAAAACCAGTCGACTCAGCGTCCAAAAGACTACAACATATGGGCCAATCGCGGTCATCCGTGCTTTTATAAGAACGAAACGGCGCTTTTAGTGACATTTTGCATACAAATCCCCATCTAGTAGGGCGCAGTCACCCAGTTTCGGTGGAAGTGCGCGAGTTCGATTGGAATTCAAGTAGGAAGGGAGCGTCTCAGCTTTCTCGGACCAAGACCATTCGACTCAGCACCCCGAAGACTACAACTGGTGAAATTTTAATTTTTGCCTTAACTTCCCCTTTAAGTATACATTATCAAACAGACCTGAAGGGTCCACTGATATCAATGCTACATGCAGTTGGTTTTTGCTTTGAAATATTTGGTTTGCATTTGACAATCTATCCATGTATATAATATATTATTTAACGTCTTTTTTTACCAGTTTGGATTGTATTTATTGTATTTTTGCCTGTAAAAGAGTTTCCCACTAAGTATGGGCAAAAAACACAGAACTGAAGCAGGTAGAATTTCCCTGGGTAGCGGATACTAACTTCCAATTAGCACGCATACCTGACCAGATACGACACTGGCAAAAGTATGTGATCAGAAGTACCCAGACACTATAGTTTGCACTGCACTGTACAGATCTGCTATCTCGAAGCATACAGGCTCAGCGGGTGGGTGCTGCCCATGATGTATGCTTGAAAGGTTCTTGGACACCCCAGGTACACAATGGCGACCCAATGATGGCCCTTATATCAAAGGAACAGGTCGATATCGTAGAAGTACATGACTCACCTCCAGCAAATGGTCGTGCATACCAGACTGCAGCCCAGAAGAAAAACGATGAGAAAGCAGAACATTACAGAGGAATAAGAAAAGAAGGCATGGTCTTATTCATCACCCTTGAAGTAGTCCACCAATAAACACACGAGATTCATTCCACACGGCGGCGAGTATAATACAATCTCCCTAACAAATACCAACTCATCATGAGCACCAGATACAATGTTAGTATTTGTGAAAGCTTTCACAGGATACATGGATCCCATGGGCACCCAATGTCTATAGAGTATAGACTAAAACTGTACTCTCCCCAGCTATTTGCCAAACTAGTCCAAGGTTTCTTCGAAATTTTGGGAACATATTTCCAGGATTCCAGGTCTGATCTGAAAATAGACCGTGCAAGATTGTTTTGACAGACATTAAGCTTGCACATCAAACAACAACCAAGAATGCACAGAAAATCGCAATGAGAAATTATCTACAGCGAATAGCCATGCACCAAACAGTAAATGAGCACCTGCTTCAATGTATGTACGTACGTAGCTATGCCTACCTTTGCCTCAAGCAGCATTCCGTGCACTTTCAAGAATGTGCACAGGAACATACTGAGATTGAGAATGAATGCCTGTTCTGGATCTCTTCCATTCTTGTATGCTTCTTTGATGTTCGTTGTAAGTGGCAGCATCTACAGGAAAGACCACAGAAATCAGAGAACCACAACTGAAATGCAAGGCTATTCTTGGTTCTTACAATTTCAGGTGATACAGGACAATAATTTTTCTGACGTAACCACACAGCATCTGCCTCATCAAACTAATGGAGGAAGAACATACAATGACAGCAACTGACCTGCTTCAGCTGTGACAGTGTTAGTGAGAACAACGTGCAAAACAGCTCAGCGGACTCCTCATCTTCCTTTGAGAAAGAGATACTTGCTGCACAAACAGAGATTCAAGACAATCCATAACAGCAAAGAAAGAATGTACATGTAAATTCTGGCGGGAGATTTAGAAATTCTGCCTTAGTTTTGGAATGGATACCCAGTGGATTCTGACAACACCATGTGTGGAATTCTAGAATGGACAGGATTGTGTGTAGATGTCCAATTCCGCTATGACTTCAACTCGGCAAGCACACAGAAGCACAAAAGTGATAGTAAGTTATGTTCCTGTACAAAATCCCGCATTGAGGTTGCAAATAGGCCTCAGAGAACAAGTCGAAACTCAACTTGGATAAAAAGCCCACAGCAAACAGACGGGTGATTCGCAAAGAAACTGCATGAAAGTTGTAGACCCATGACAGCCAACTTAACACAGGTTGGAAAATCCCGCGTGCAGACAAACACAACAGTTCTATCAGTTGGGGACAGGATTTCGCAGAAAGCGGAACGTACCAACTTCTGTTAAACACCGGAGAGTCACATTTCGAAAGTCCGGGACGTTGAGAAACTGGCGAAAACAAGAAAACACAAAGCCACCAACAGCACCTGAGAATTAGAATACAGCGGTCGAATACACTTCAGTCCGGTCTGATGAACCGGTACTGATAAAACATATGATCGGTGCCGACAAAGTACAGCCGATTCCTGATATAACAAGCACCATTGTGCAGGCGAATTAGTTCTTTATTCCCGTAGCTATGCAGAAGACGTTACTTCAGTAACGTCTGGCGCTAGCCAGGGTCCACACAGCTTTAATTTGGTGTTTGTTTGTGTGTTTGTGTCACGCCTGGCGCTATCCCGTATCTGTCCCGTACCGTACCATCAAACACAGCTGGCCACATACAGCTGGCCGCAATATTCAAATAGGGCTTTCAAACGCAAGATCATAACGTGAAGCAACTTGGAAGAATGAGTATGAAATGAATGCGAAGTGTATGGCGGAATGCATGTAGGGCGATAGTGCGGGTTCGAATCCCAGGTAATGCCTGAAAAAAATAGGAGAATTGAAAAATTTATTTATTTATTTATTCCAAGCAATACATGGCTGGGGTAGCCAATGACCACTTCGCGTGGCGATTGCAGGGTTTTTATAGCCAACCACGGCTAATTTATAACATCCGTTTTCTTTGTTTGCCGTCATCAAGGCGGTAGACGGTGTCGTATCACCCTCGACCGTACCTGTCCCGTACCGTACAATCAAAGACGGCTGGCCACATTGCATATTCAAATAGGGCTTTCAAATACAAGATCATAACGTGAAGCAACTTGGAAGAATTAGTATTTATGCGAAGTGTATCGGGGGATGCATGCAGGGCGATAGTGTGGGTTCGAATCCCAGGTTATGTCTAAAAACAAAAAGTAGAAACTTATAAGAATTTACAACATCCCAATTTTTTTTGTCTAGGTCATCAAGGCAAAAAGGCATAGCGTAGGGCCCTGAGCTTCCAAGCTCTCTCGTATCCGAAGTACTTTATGACAGAAATGTACTCACACCAAACAACAACACGTCATGACTCGCATGCAGCCCATGCCAGTACGAGTCCACTTGGTTTACATGCGGCCCTACAATATATGGTTCGTTACAAATGAACACTGTCTCGCTATATGCGAGTTTATTATACCGTATTATCTCTATTATAAGCACGGTCCTTTATTTTTTCAATGTACCTCCGTCCCGTGCTATTAATGGAGACGTTCCTTTATTGGAGACTGTTCCATTATTATTTCAACCTCATTTCAGAGGCATGTTGCCATGCCAAATTCATGTCAGACACACGCATTTCAGGGTTTTTTGCCGGTACAGATAATGAATGTACACAGTGTGCTTACCGGTATAATGGAGACTGAGCACTTTATTTTTTGAATGTCGCCCCAAGGTGTTCTATTATTGGAGACGTGCTATTATTGGAGACTGTGCTTATATTAGAGATAATACGGTAAGTGGTGTTGAGTGTAAGTTTAATACTAGTACTCATTACCTTGTAAATCAATGTTGGGACGAGCTTCGTCCTAAAGATATAACCCAGCGGCATCCAAGTGATGAACCTCTGCAACGTCTATTCACAAAACATAATCAGACCCATGGTTCAAAGAGCATGAAAACACAGTAAATCAGTCTAAGAAAACGATACAGTAACACTGGTACTGGCATCCTACACATTCATTTCAGTTCGTACAACACAGTAATCACAACTTGAAATGGACTAGTCGCACAGTAGCTGCGCACATGCTCATCCATGACGTGACCACATACAATTATGTGACCCGTTGTATGACTGTTTTTATGTGTGTGCAAGCACGGTGGTAGCATGCAAGCTTGCAATAGGTAAGGTGGCCTGGGTGTGACACAAGGTTCTGTAAATCAGAATAACCGTTATTTCGTGTCCTTAGCCATATGAAATAAGAACACACATATCAAGTGGCCAGCGGCAGTACAATGGCGCAGGAGACACGGTTATGCAAGCACATCGTAGGCCAGACGGCCAGGCAGATCACACAATCAGGACATGGATCAAACACACGCCACCTGAATCCCGCAATTTAAAAGAAAGGAACGGAGCAGCTGTCAACTGGAAGTCCTGAATACGCTACATACCTCTAACGTTTCATGTACGAGAGAGACTGATTGCGAGTTGTGCTTTACACACAAACAATACACACAAACCACACACAAAAGAGACAGCAAGTAAAGCAAGAGATGCACATGAGTGCAACTGCACAAAAAACTAGAGAGCAGACATCGTGAAATGTGAAGTTTAAAAAATGAATTACTCCACTGATACAATGCAGAAAGATTAGAGTCAGTCACCAATCCTGGAGTGCAGGCGACTGCATCGACAGAATTCGGCGGATTATATGTATGGTCAATGAAAAAGAGCCAAGTGTTAGTTCATATTCGAGTCTCCAGTACTGTCGAGCTTCGAAGAATGAACAGGCAAGGATCTCACCAAGTACATCAACTACACATGGACTTTAGCACATGAAAAATAAGAACGACCTAGGCTATGACGTTGATCCCCTGTTCTTCGACGCCCAGCAGTACTGTAGAACTAAGGCTGCGGTGCTTCATACACAGAGAGACAAGGCAAAGCTGATTCCTTACCATAACAAATGTGCACAGCTCAAAGATCTGAGGAAAGTCATCGCACATCCTGCAGGGAAAAACAAACCAAACCAGCAGAATCCGAGGGTTTTATACATTCAGAATTTTCGATGCGAAAGGGCTTATCACAGACAGAAACATATTTTAGAGAGAGAGAGAGGCTGAATGACACACTACTTTGCCAGGCAGCATCACCGTCAGGAATCAAAGACACTTTATTCGCCTTCTAAGCGATATAGAATGTACAGTAAGTGATTTCAGTTGACATGTTGACCCTCACACCGATAGGTATGCGTGTACAATTGTGCTCGGTGAAATCCGACCCTGGGCCAGTTCTGATTACTTCACTGTATTCGTAAATGTCTACGTCCAGCTGCATTCGTACCACACCCAGGGCGTCAAGGCCGTGCAAGTTGAGGACACCAAACGGGCAATTTCAGTCGGAATTCACCGAGCACAACTGCATAATTATCAAGTAGCTCCACAGGAGTTATTATTTTTGGGAAGGGACTACAAGACAAGACATCATCAACTGCGTTGGGAAGGCGTGAGCTGGAGAAAGTCACGAATTGCTGTCAAGCAGTCCTTCTTGGCGGGACGACAAACACCCTGGATGGCACAGAGGAGAGCAGTACTGGCGACTCCTGCCCCCCAGCACTGTCCAGTACGCATATTGACTGCACCCAAGAGAAAGATGGATCTGGTGAAGTGGGCGGCAACTTAGCAGATGACGGTGCGAGAATGATGACGCGACGAAGAAGTGTGTATTGTGTATGGACAGTGACGACAGCTACTGAGAGGACACATACTGTTGTTGGATAAATGCCGGGTCACTCCAGATTTGTTCTTGTGTGTTTGAGGAAGAATAGCGTATATGTGTGCCTTGTGACTGAAGTAGCTAGTACATGTTGATTTTGTGAGCTAGGAGAGTGCATTGGCTACTGTAGGAAAATGCCCTTCCCACGATGGCATGAGATACACTTTAGAGTTAGTCATGCACTGCACTGTAGCTGGTGCGTGGAGTCAGTGCATGCAGGCCAGTTCATTACGCACAGGGGGTAGTAAGAGTGGTCTTACGGTATCATCGCCTCTCGGCCAAACTTGGGAATACCTTAGTAATCACATGCAGTTCTAACTACTCACGTGTCCTTGAGATGCTTGGCCTTGTTCTGCGTCATTACACCAGCCGAAAAGTCAAAGATCTCTTCACTGCAAACAAATAATCACAACCAAGCAAATACCATCTGTAGCGAAGTTCATGACATCTGTGTAATGTCTTCTACCAATAAAGAAGCAGAACTAGTTTCACAAATATCCTTGCACCGCCTATCTTCCTTATCAGTAGAGGTTGAGAAAGGAAAAAAAGAAAGCCAAGGTATACATACCTGAGGATCTTCAAGATGGCAAGGTTGTTCTGGCATAAGCTCTCATTGGTTTTGCTGGCGCCCACAATGTCAGCGATAAAGGTGGGCCAATTTCTCGGCCATTCATGCTTTACGATCTGCATGTTCAGTGCATTGACAAAGCAAAACAAACACATACTTATAAGCAAGAGCTCCCCACAAGACTACAGGTACCCAGTCAAATGGTCAAAAATGGTGTGTGTCTGGGTTTCATCTGACCTTAGATAGAAGTGGACTTGGCTTGATGCTGACATAATTATTCTATTTCACCTCCCCCTGTTATGCTACCCATTCAATAACGCACAAGTGGAGAACCCCTGGATAGGCTACCCGCCTCTGGGTCAATCCTCAAAAAAAGACAATAAATAATAATAATACGAAGTAGAAATAATAATAATACGAAGTAATAAAAATAATAATGGCAATAAACAGAACCAGCTGAACCGTCATTTCACGAAGGTTTTATTGAAATGTCACGAACAAATTCTAGAGAAAGTGGTGATGGACAAAGAATTTGAAAGAAATAACTATGATGGAAATGTAATTCTTTGTCCATCATCACTTTCTCTAGAATTTGTTCGTGACATCTCAATAAGCCTTTTGCGCGTTGTACAGATGCACGAAATCCCGTAGAATCCCGTAGAACCTAATGGGTGCTGAATGTGCAGGACCCTATTGTGTTTTCTGCTATTTCCCTTAGAAATGGGCCCTGAAGGCCGCATTTCAAACGAAAACCTTTTCTGACAAAGATCTAGCTAGTCATTAGTTCTAACCAAAGTGAAGAAGCTGGAAAAGGAATTGTTTGCCATTAATTATGAGGCGAAAATTGGTCAAATGCGCATGCATAGCACACAATGAACACCCAATCGGTTCTGTACACACCTACGCCCTAGTACTGAACTTCGTACATCTGTACAACGCGCAAAAGGCTTATAAAAACCTTCGTGAAATGACGCTTCAGCTGGTTCGGTTTATTGCCATCCTTAAACTTTCGTCACCTCGCCACCTTTTCAAATAATAATAATATGAGGCATCGGCAGCAAGAACCGGGGTCCTGGCGATTTTTCAAAATGCCAATATTTGCGAAAAACCGAACCGATGTCGTTTTTTAGTCACCGTGATCAAAGCGGAAAGACTTCTTGCGATATCGCTTTGAAAGTGCTCTCCTCTTGGTGGCTTCGCTATAATTTGTTGTCATCGCCGTTGTAGTTTATCCACCAAGCACTTGGGATGTCCAGGTAGGCGTTTGCGCTCTGGGTAGCGTCTGCAAATCATGCGCTCAAAAGAGAGCGGAACAAATAATTTCTTGGCGAAACGATCCCGTCACAAATTCTTGATGGAGAACGAGCGACTAAAATATTTGGCAGCTGGACCTCCAGAGATACTCCGCTGCCTGTGATAGTCCCCCACAAGAAGAATCAGGTGAAAGTGAAGAGGTTTCGCTCAGATGACAAACCATCAGCGGAGGCAGCGAAGGCGATGAGTTTGAGAGCTCCGTGACACGAAGTGGCGACGCGGACAGCAGCGCTGAGAGTGACGAACGAGATTCAATACTCCGTGGCGATTATTCGCAGCTGGATAAGTTGGTGAGATACGGAGACAGCCCTGAATGAACTAAACCTTACTTGATACAAGATATTTTGTGAATAAAATTGTTGCAAGTATACATGCACAATTGCGGTGCGCATGAAATTTGTCACAGTATAATGCATGTATCTACGAGCTGCTGTGCGTAGGAGAGCAAGACATGCTTGGTGGATGTATCTGGCTTGGCCCAGCATGCATATTCTAGTCTTGTACTAAGTTGCAGATTCTTCCCAGCCATGTAAATCGTCAGTTGCTTGGCTTCTTTCTGTCTGACAAGTCTGCATACAACACCAGACCTGCACATGACAGGGATTGAGTTTTCAAGTAACATTGCAGCAAGTGCAGGCAACAATGTTACTATAAATTAGTACAATATCAACTAGAGTACTCTGTGCTTCCCTGAAGACCTATAAATATGCTAAATTATTCTCAGTCACTCCATTAGAGCTAGCTGTAACTGCGTCCCATTTTGCCTTTTTTGCTGACCATTTTTGTTGACCGTGACCCATCATTTCGGGCGTTCTTTTTACCATCTTGGAAGGTGCCCAGAGCTCCAAAATTTGGCCCATAGATCACTCATTTAGTGGACAGTTCAAAGCCATCAAAAACTCATTTTTGCCAAATATCACCTAACCCTGGTTTTTGCTGCCCATGCCTCATATTGTGAATCTGCACACATTTTTTAAATACATTTCACGCCTTTGTTCGCATACTAGATGCTGTGAAAATATTTATAAAAAAATTAAAATCCGTACCTGGCAAACCAAGGTTATCAAGCATGCACACCATATGTAACGCATTTGTTTTTGGTAAACGGGCACACGGTGTGTTATGGAGGGAGACGAGCAACAGTTCGCTTTCAACACTCATCAATCTTACCTGGACAAGGATTGCATTGAGCTTGTTCACATAAAGGTTCTCACTCTGCACAAGATATAACCATACGTGTAAACAAACAAACACACACACTTGAATTTACTTGCCATCACAGTATGTGAATCGGGGATGCAAAGCCTATTTCTACCAGTATCAAGATGAAATGGAATTGCTGCTGAAAACCTATATCTTGCACTAGTGTGTGAGTGTGTGCACATGCACGTACGTATGTGAGCATGTGTTTGTTATACGACAGCTAGTCATCTTTGGCAAGGTGTTGCCGACTCAACCGAAGCACGATACCAGGAAACACTGGCGGGTTGTCATCATTGATGACCTCCATACGCAGACATTCCGGAACGGCAGTGGTTTGACATGGCACAAGATACATCGGATTGGTGGTGGAACATCATAAGCGAGCGACTCTCTCCTCCTGTTTCTCCACCTGACAAACCCCTCAACATGCAGATGATGGTTCCTCAGAAGTGGGGAGTTAAAAACAACATCAACATGTCTGCCTAACTGCTCTACAAGCCTACCATCGCCTTTGGGCTTCACAAGGTCATAATGTGTGTGTATGGGATCAATTCACACGACTTCGCCAGATATACGGGTTGGGCAGTTATCTGGCACAAGTCGTGATCTGTTTCAGTCATATCCTGCTTGCTATCATTGCTATAAGAGACAATCTGTGGGTGTACATCCAGTGCATTAGCAAAGTTGCGCGCTTGTGCGGTGGTGGTGTGCGCGTTTGTTGTGTATCGAACGAATCACATGCATACAGACACTCGGAGTTACAGCTGAACAGTTTTTGATTCTTCTTTTACAGGTATCCTGCACTGCAGCACAAGACGAAACTTGACTGGTGCCGAAATGACCAGAAATGTGCCGAGTTTGCTAATTCTACAATAGAAATCTGTGCAGGAATTGTACCACTCAATAGTTTGCAAGGCTGACAAATTGACCACCGCAAAACAATTTCACTAACAGCAATGAATGAGCTAGTGGATCTTGCTGACTTTAAATACAGCCATGCCCAGAACTAAGCAACAACTTACAGAAAGGCTGGCTGAGTCAGACGACAGCTTGATAACGAGGCCAACGATGTACGTTTTGATACCTGATAGACAAAATAAAATTTATAATGTTTTCAATGTGCGTTAGCAATACATCTCTGATATCATACAAACCAACATGAATCAATCACAAACACCAGGTAAATGTACACCACAACGGCATGACATATATTACAGAAGGGACACGGCAGACTTTTACTACACAGTCGCACTTCCAAAAATCAAATGTGCATACAGAATTGAAGACATTGGATGAGTTTGATTGATCACACTGATCAGCTCACAGGTAAGGCACAGCATGAACTTCTTAATTAGAAACCCACTGACGGCAGGCAAAAGCAGTACTAGGAATGCCAGGAAGTTACAATTTCAGGAGAAATTGCCTCACTCACCTTCACATTGCTCCCTGGATAACGCTTTCCACCGAGACTTGATCACGTCTTGTAGAATGCCCAGTGCATAAAACTGAGCACGTATATTTGGAAATCAATATTCAAACAAGACCAAGACAATTAGATGATTGTCAATTATGCTGAAGTTAGCCAATTTCACAATATTCGATTTCGAAATTGGATGATTGATGTCAAGGAAAACAAAATGGCGCCCCATTTCTGGGCGTAAAATTTACCTTCGTGCTCTGACTCTGGGAGAACTCCAAAATCATATCAACTCTTGTCCAGGCGTCGGGGTGGTCCTTCAATTGTGTCAATACTTGTTGGCATACTTGTTGCTGTATCACAAAACAATACATTTTTTTTAGGCGTTGAGCTTCGAAATGGACTTTGGTGATAGACGGAAATAAATCCAGACCTCAGCTCCCTGAACAGCTCCTTCAAGTCCATAGGCGACAACATCATCGAGAAGAGGTACATCGAATTTCTGGCTGAAGTCCAACAGCTGTGCAGCTCGATGCTGTGCCGACATTGTGAATTCTTACAGCAAATACCATCACACAACCTAACACATTTCGTTAGAAGTTCTTCTAGCTGGGATCATGCAAAGCTAGCTCGCTCAGCCAAGTATGCGAGCTTCAGAGCGCCACATCTCAGCGACAGAAACTCAAAACAGGTTTGACCAGCACAACTCATTCCCGTTCGAACAGGGAAATAATTCAAAAAATCTGACGTCATGAAACCAGGCCCCGCGCGTCCAGTCCATAAAAAAAGTTGAAAAAACCCGATCACCCACAAAATCCGTTTGTGTCACGTCAGTGCAGTACGGCCATGCATGCCAAGTGCAACCTCGCTTTATCCGTTCTGATGGAAGGCTGGCCACATTACAAGCGCACCGCGCCCGCGCCCCACGCACCGTGCGCGCTACTTGTAGTCCGACGCCGCGGTGTCCGACGCCGGTACCGGTGATCGTGAGTCAGCCTCAGTCAGATCAGGCCACTCGCATACGCGTAGAGTCGTAGATCTACTCAGCTCAGATGTCTGCTGACAGTGACAGTCTGACTCGCTGAGCTGAGTGAGTCGGTCTGAGCAGCGAGTAGTAAAATACCGGTATTTTGCTACTCCCAGGTTGCAAATGCAACGACGTAGAGGCTGCATCAGTGTGCATGTGCATGTGCTCAGCGTGCTAAAATAATGATCATTGAACTTGAAGTCTACCAGGTACGTAGATCTACTACTAGTCTACACAGCCTCACAGGTCGTGGAACAAAGAAATTTTGAACAGCGTATCATCAACTGATCAAGCAAATATCACACTTTCACAGCAATCAATTTTGCAAACTGAACGATAACAAGTACATGTAACCTGGGCATGATTTCTCCTAATTGTTTAGAAGACTTGGTGGTAAAGCTGCCGATTGTCGTCCTGGAAAAGATTTTAAGTTGTAGCCATGTTCAAAAAGTTGAAGAAGAAGGTGGCTGAGGACCCAACCCTTGGGTTGCCCGAATCGAGTGGCAAGACAACAAAAGGAGTACTACCATCTGGCCCAAATGTGTTGAATCGTCCCACAAAGACGATTGGTTTGTCCAGTGATGACGATCAGTCCACGTCGGAGTCTTCACTTTCTCCAGGATCTGCCATTCGAATTCAGGTACAATCCATCGCTAAGGGCTAAACTGTTATCATGAAATGTTGACCTGAATACCTAACTAGTATTTAATTTCTGCATTTTCATACCTTTTTGCGATTAGGCTTCTACCCCTGCGAAACTTGAACCCGATCCTTCACTAGCGTCTCAGAAGCCAGGGGAGAATGCAGTGGAGACTGGCGGTGATTCCCAGGCACAGTGTGAACCAACAATATCCTCTCCGACAACAAAAAGCGAGGATTCTACTTTGGAACTTCAGGAACAATTGAAGTATTTGCAGCAGCGTTTAACTACAGTAAGTGTGTAAATCAAGATGCCTGCATGAGCACGTTAGCTTAGAGATCCGGATGCTGAACACGAAGTGTGTATTGTAAGCCGGGGAACCTTTGCGATCTGGAAAATTTCGCGACTTTCGCGATGGCTGTGCAATCGCACAGTAAGCCAGCGCGAAGTGTCGAAAGATTAGGATTCCCAATCTCTCGATTTATCAACACAGGTCACAAGTCCGATCTCACCTCTACAGGTGGCACACATCATAGGACAAAGGAGTCTGTAGTAATCGCTCTTTCCAGAATAATACTAGAGAACAACAAAACTGAAAACCACTCGTGTCCAAGAAGAGCCGCATAACCCACCACCGTGGGAGAAGAAACAACACATTCCCAAAAGCGCGCCAAACTGTGCTGCATGCACGTGCCTTGACAAGTACATGTACAGTCATGCATACGTGGGCCAGAACAAGTCATACAAAGCACGGGAACGTGGGCATGGAACTAGCGTTTTGTACTGAAACAAGAACAGGCACAAACATGTTACAAATCGCGCGACAAGGTCGCCGCGACACTCCAGCCGACCGGGAATGTACACCGGGAGGTAACTTATAGAGCATAAGTAATGCAGATACACACGCACACACACACACACAAGCAGTTAAACAGGCATACAGAGAGTTTTATGTGCTTGTGAGGTCACTGCCAATTGGACCAAGCACCACCTAATCCTCACACTCTGACACGGTCAAACTTATCAGGCGTGTGGGATGTGTACGTGCAGCAACGATACAGCTGTCCACTTTGCAATATTCTGCCGGGCCTTGTCAGCTGCCGCACGAGTTGGTCGCTGGGGGTTTCGGAGACATTCGGAGACGGGACGACTGGAGTGGCTGGAGAGCCAGTAGCAGGGACAGGACTAACAGCAGTCACAGGAGGGCTCGCAGGAGCGGAAGGTGGACCCTTGGAGTGGACCACCACTGCTGATGGGCTGAAGGATACGCTGGTCAAGATTCATTCGGAGACGGGACGACTGGAGTGGCTGGAGAGCCAGTAGCAGGGACAGGACTAACAGCAGTCACAGGAGGGCTCGCAGGAGCGGAAGGTGGACCCTTGGAGTGGACCACCACTGCTGATGGGCTGAAGGATACGCTGGTCAAGACAGCGGCTGGGGACGTCGTGGGGGAGGGCTGTGGGCACTGGATCGACTCGAGTTGGCGATTGCCTCCAGTTCCGCATCTGCTGTGGCGAGTCCGGACGGGTTCTCCCTCTGTAGAACGGTACGTGCGTCCCTCAGGACTTCCAGGTCATCATCGAACTCGAACTCCCACTTGTCGAGTTGCTCCAGGCGGTCCTCAACATCCGAGGAAGTCGCCTGTTCGGTCAGATCGCGGATTCTAGCCTGTGTGGCATTGATTTCAGCTGCAAGGCGTTCAGCCTGCTGCCAATCTCGTAGCAGGTAGTGTGGTGATGGAGCGTCTTTGGCAAGCTCCCGGGTTAAATTGTGGCGAAGGCGTGTGAGTCGTCGCTTCGTGTTTGCCCTACACTTTACAAGCTGGGCGATAGTCTCCATCACTCTGGTCGGAATTTACTAAATAAACTGAGGAAAATCCTGGTCACAGCACCATGTCGAAAGATTAGGATTCCCAATCTCTCGATTTATCAACACAGGTCACAAGTCCGATCTCACCTCTACAGGTGGCACACATCATAGGACAAAGGAGTCTGTAGTAATCGCTCTTTCCAGAATAATACTAGAGAACAACAAAACTGAAAACCACTCGTGTCCAAGAAGAGCCGCATAACCCACCACCGTGGGAGAAGAAACAACACATTCCCAAAAGCGCGCCAAACTGTGCTGCATGCACGTGCCTTGACAAGTACATGTACAGTCATGCATACGTGGGCCAGAACAAGTCATACAAAGCACGGGAACGTGGGCATGGAACTAGCGTTTTGTACTGAAACAAGAACAGGCACAAACATGATACAAATCGCGCGACAAGGTCGCCGCGACACGAAGCGTAGAATGGACCCGGTAGTCAAGCACAGTCTAGTCTGTCTGCACCATACTGTGCTCGCAAATTGCGAATTAAACCATATTCGAATTATCAGGATTCCACCTGTACTGCAGACCAGGAAATGTTTGCACCGGTGTTAGAACATACTGCTTGATTAGAAGTTTCTTCCGGGACCGATTTCTATCAACACGATTTCCGCGTAACATTTTCTGAAAATTCGAACCTCGAACTGGGTATATCCGGTTTTATTAGAAGTCTCACGGTATCCACGTACATAGAAAATGTGTGGATAATTGGAATGTCCGCATATTGAGAAGTTTTTCCTGGCATTTTGGGGTTCGAATTATCAGAATTCCACCTGTATATTATTCAACCAGTCGGTGCTTTTGGGAACTGTGGCAATATGAGCCGACCTGTCTTTGGAGACAAGTATCCTCGGGCACCTAACCATGCTTTGTGGTAGGCATCTCAGTGCGTGCACTGCGCAATGTTTGCGCATGCATTGTGTCACTGGATTCCGAGTGGAGCTCGCGGTCACCTCTGGAAAATGGCGACTGCACTTTGATTGCAGGCCCAAATAATGAGAGGCGCTTGGAAATTTCAAAATTCTGCATATTTTCCTGATCTTTGGATCTTAGCTTCTGTTATACTCACTCAATCTTCACAGTCTTAAGGCCGATTCACAATACAACTTTCTGCGACGCGACTTGCGACACATGCGACGAGCTGCAACAGCGACACACGGTTCACAATATTCTTCATGTTTGCGACATCCTCATGCACAAGTAGTACTATGCACGTGCACTGCACGTGCACCCAGGGTCGAAACTGTACTCTATTTGTGTATGTCGCGTGTCGCATATCGCAAAAGTTGAACTTTCTTCAACTTCTGCGACAGGTGCATTGCGACAGCTTGCGACAGCTCGCGACTGGCAGTTTCTTGTCGCAACTGTCGCAAATCGCGTGTCGCGTCGCAGAAAGTTGTATGATGAATCGGCCTTGAGGCTTCCTGGAAGGTCTGACAGCAGAGTTTCGATGTTTTCACTGTGTACCGTTGAGAATCCTACCATTAAAACCCATGCAAATTTGAGCAACTCTGAGTGAGGGAAAGTCTCAAAATCCTCATCTTCGCGTCGCGCTCCACGCTTGTCAAGTTGCTGCGATCGTGGCTCAATTTGCGAGCGGTTTATCTCAGGAACCGGTCATCGCAACTGTACAGATTGAGAGCACGAGTGGAAGGCTGAATACTAGTATTTTGATTTCGATGCAGGTTTTTCATTTCTTGTGAACTCACCATGTATGTAGGTGTTGGTTCTGTTTTCCGCTGCTGCAGTCGCCAAGGGGTTCATAGCATTCCTGACAAGCTCAGCAAATTGGCGGCAAGTTGCTGCCAAATCAGAATTTTTCCAGCGTGCCAAAACTGGAAGAGAGTCTTGGCCGGCTTTCTGCTGCAGTACCACTTTTCAACTTTATATGCGTCTTTCGTGCAGTGACCCTGTGTATATTTATGATCACTGGGTAGATCCCTGGGTAGGTTAGCTGCTGGACAAGCAGTTCACCACTGAACATGACATTCTTCTCTTCATGTTATTGAGGCAATGGGTGGCGTGCACTGTGTGTTTCCTCTGTGCTGCTTCTATTTGTCAGGCAGAGGCAAGTGAAAGTGCTGCCTATTTGGAGAGGGAACATTCAGAGCGCCAGTTGGCTGAGCTAAGGAAGCAAGTGAGTAGTCATCTTTGTCATTTTCTCCTGTGTGTTGGAAATAGCTTTGTTTGCTATCCTTACAACTGCAGTATGTTTTTTTGTCACTGGACCATCCGAATTTTGGGGAAATCGGTTTATTCGCATTGCAGCTGGGTGGTCGCATGCAGTTTTGCAGAATAACCTTTTTTCTTTTCTTTTTTCAATTTTGCCCAGAATAACAGGATGCATGCTCAAATGTAACCTTTCCTTAGTTAGGTTTTATTATGGGATCATGTTCTTTTGGTCTTCGGTCTTGTATTGTTTGAACTTGTTTCTGTGACTCTTGTCTCACCACCTCCACCTCCCAGCAGGCACGATAATGTAGGGAGCCAGTCTCTGCTGTCATAGGTCTGGACTTTGTATTGACTGGAAATACAGATAATTATGGTATGGTCTGTGTGTGTGTGTGTGTGTGTGTGTGTGTGTGTGTGTGTGTGTGTGTGTGTGTGTGTGTGTGTGTGCGTGTGCGTGCGTGTGTGTGCGTGTGTGTGTGTGTGTGTGTGTGTGTGTGTGTGTGTGTGTGTGTGTGTGTATGTGCGTGTGTGTAGGTGGGCGATCTATCCAGTTTGGTGGCTGAGCATCAAAACAAGTTTCAGACATGCAATGAGGTAAGTTTCCTTTGCTACGTACATGTGAGTGAGTGGTGCTTCCCCGAGTAAAGCTCCGGAAAGGTTTCTTTTTTTTGAGAGCCTGGCTACATGCTTTTGCGAAAAGTGAGAGAATCTCAAAACTGTTTACAGGGCCCAAGTGCACACACCTTTAGAAACACTGTCAGTATCAGGCTCTGCGCAATGAGTATTCCGCAAATATTTTCACTAGTTTTCCATCAGGTGGATACCATGGATACAGGTTTTAGAGAAGCAAGTATCAAAATGCAGAATATGCAGCATAAGTCATGACAACATTTCAACAGGTTGAAGAATGAAGATTCGTTTTGTATCCATATCAATGTGCACTATTGAAATCTGCTTCTTGCTTGTACTGGCTGACTGCAGTGTCTGATGTATGTTGAGTACACTGGGTGTAATGCCAGCACTAGTACTAGCAGTTGGGTAAATATTGAACGCGTTCGACTACACATTCTGGACGAAGGTTTGACAATTCTCAAATGACCAGAACGAGCGTATTACGGCCATGTAAACGGACAACTGGAATTCGTTATGAAATCTGTACTCACGATCCGCTGCACTAAACTGTATAAAGAGATCACATTGCAACTCTTTGTGCAAATCAGTTGTATATATGCAGCAGACGTGCCTGGTATCAAGAAAGCGTACACCGAATGCGTAAATTCTGGCGGGAGAATTAGAAATTCCGCATTCACTTCCAAATGGACTCGGTGGCTTCTGACGAAGAAATCAGTATACTAGTAATCGAACGCTGTGTGCATCGTTGGGAATTCTACTGTCGTGGACGGAATTGTGTGTACATGTAATCGAACTCGCCCATTCAGCCCTATTCTGCCGTGGTTAGATCAACTTAGATGCACTGATCACACCACCCGACTGTTCTTTGCCACTGGTATGTACTGCATTTACAGGATCTCTCTGCTAACCGGTTAGCTCTTCGGGACCGTGAAGCTACTATTGATGAACTACGTGGGGAAAGCTCAAGGCTTAGTGAAAAGCTGTAAGAGGTGTATATGTATGGCTTTCTGCTTGGCTCTTCTTAGAGGTTTGTACCTAGGGTCTGTGCTCCCTTTTTTAGTGGATAGCCAAATGGGAACCGTCATATTTTTAGCAGTGCTCTAATTACGACCTGTCTCTCTCTCTCTCTCTCTCTCTCTCTCTCTCTCTCTCTCTCTCTCTCTCTCTCTCTCTCTCTCTCTCTCTCTCTCTCTCTCTCTCTCTCTCTCTCTGCTTTAGGTGATTGGAGAAGTTTCACTCCTAGGACTAGATAGTAAATCTGTTTTGAAGGTGGTCATGTGCCTAACTTATACATCTCTCTCTCCGTTAATATATTCTTTGCTGTTAGATCGACTGAAGAGTCACGCCACCAGAGAGCTAGCGATGAATTGTCAAGATTGACAATTCGGCTAAAAGAACTGGAAGAACGGCTAACCACCACTGATGAACGTCTGAAGGCTATTTGTTTGGAGCGAGATGAGGTATGTGCAATGAGATATGCTGGGAATGATCGAACTAGCCTATGACCACTGCCACTGGCATGTTTGTAGTGCGTGTGTGCTTTTGAGATGTTCTGGAATCAACTGAGAGGAGTTTGTGGCTCAGTTTTAGTATGTACTATGTGTACTAATAGTAATTAGTGGTAATTAGTGCTGTCATTATGTACTAATAACGTTCATTTCAGATGCAACTGTTGAATTTGAGACCCGAGAATGTGAAGTCTAGTGATGGTATTGAGCCAGGCTAGCTACATGAGTGCTTTTTGATGCCCCAAACTGCATTCCTATTGGCATTTGTGCCAAAAAAAAGCTTACATACATGTATGTTCATGGGCTCACAACTCCACCGTTCTTTATCTGTATTCCTATACTTCTAGCTGCGTACTACACTTGATAGTGAGCGACAGGATGCCGTGTTGAAACGTCGCGACTTGCTCACTGCCCAAGAGCAATGCCGTCAATTGCAAGGGCAGGTAAGGACCATTCTTCGGTCTCTCTCTCTCTCTCTCTCTTTTCTTTCTCCCTCTCCTTTTCTCTCCTCTCCTTCATGCATTTCTGTTCATAGTTTCATGATGGTGGAAACGCAAATGTAGAGTTACCGAGTGGTGGAAAACTTTAATCTGACTGTGGTGTTTTCAGCTTAGTGAATACATGTATATACACTTGAGTCAATTTTCGAAACTTACCCGACACTGATTAGTCACACAGAGTCCAGCTTATACTAGCCTTTCTCAGTTTGTGCTTCAACTTCCATGTAGCTTTTAGCAAACCCTATGACATCCCATGAACGACTACTAGTCCTAAACATTCACGTCGAGCTTCTGGCAGATGGCTGTGTAAATCTGGGTCATGTCAGATTTTTAAAAATACGCACATCTAAAGTGTATGTGCTTTGTGTACTTCCCAGCCTGACAGGCAGAGCTGCCTATCCCCAACTGTGGTCCGCTAACAGCTTTAAAAAAACCTTCACCGCAAATCAGAAGTGTGTGATTTGGGGGAGGGGAGGAGACCTCCTTATGACACCACATTATATGCACAATGTATTCGTTGTTCTGAATGTATTTGCATTGCACAGCTGTCGTCACAACAGAATCTCCACTCGGAAGAAGTTGCCGGCCTCCGGGATAGGTTGTCAACCATCGGCCAACAGTACGTTCATGACTACAAAGAGTCTCTTGCATTAATGAATTGCTTTATAAATATATATTCCAGTTACATGGGAGCAAACTTTACTGCTTTTCGGCGATTGAACATAGCTGTTAATTTGAGATGAGCGATGATGGTCTGTGTTGGCTGTGATCTGGTTCTACTACAGACTTGCTGATAGTGATCATCCTGAAGGGAGTCAAGTAGCTGCTCTTGCTGCCGAGGTACGCTATCACATGCATGTGTGTATCACTCATTGACTTGCTACTTGCAGTGCTAAACCTTACCAGCTCTGTTGTCATACGAAACAGTAGAGATGTTTCTCTATTCTTTACGTGTCTCCTGTTCACACGAAGGAACACGTTATCTTATCTTTTCACTCCAAATACAATTACACCTGAAAGAGCAGCCTAGCTAGCTACACAACGCGAACCAAGGAACTACTAAAACCGAAAACATTCCATGTCGGTACACAACCGAAGACAAAAGGCAAAGATGAAGTAATTAATTTATGCCGCACTGTCAGCTGGCAAAACAGCAGAGGCGTAGCCACCGCACACGCGCTGTTGTACGGCACGAAAGCTAGCCATGATACTTTGCAATACAAATGTATGACCATGCACAGCAACAAGCAACAACACACAGCTAAGAAGTAGATGCATGTAATACATGAACGGCCAGTTGGAAATACTTCGAAGTAGTTATGACGCCACTTTGTAGATCGCCCCCATGAATAGAAAACCACAAGAGAGACAGGGAAGACTACAGCCTACAGTGTAGCTCAGGCCTTGATACATGAATCACTATTGCAGTATTGGCACAAGACAGAGAAAGGACTGCTCCAGCTATCAATAATAAAAGGAACCATTACTTCTAGTCTTAGTGATGCCATGCCAGAGAAATATTACGTACTACCGTCTGAACATCCTCCCCCTCGCAATATGCACCCAGATGTTGCATGATGCCTATCCTTACAACTACCAGTACCAAGCTAAGAGAAAAGTGAATCGAAAGGGCAAGTTCAGTGGTAGGAAGCTACAAAAAAAAACAAAAACAATGCATGAATCATTAATGGGGGTCGTCACTGAGCAGTACCTCCATTCTGGCATGTAGGGAGAGCCGTCTAACATTCCAGTGGACAGACTCGAGTGATGGATCTCTTCAGAGTCTTCCCGCCCACTTGCATGGCCACCACACGCACATGTCCGTCCGGACCAGGGAAAACTTCCGTGACTCTGCCGAGCGGCCAACGCCCACGCGGGGAGCTTGAATCCATCACCAGGACAACGTCGTCAACGGCCAGATCGCGTCGCTGGTGTCGCCACTTCATCCGCTGATTCAACCGTGGGACAAACTCTTTCAGCCAGCGATGCCAGAAATGGTCGATGAGCATTTGAACATATCTCCAACGTCTCTGCAGTTGACACCCCTTCTCGTCCGTTGTTGCAATAACCAGCTGGCCCTCGGCCATGCCATGAAGGAAATGGTTCGGAGTTAGCGGCCCTGGATCCTTCGGACTAGCCGATTGGTAGGTGATGGGCCTGGAGTTGACGAGGGACTCTGCTCCGCTGAGAGCGGTGACCAACTCCTCGTCCGTCACAGATGCGTCTCCAAGGATGGCGTGTAGAGCTCGTTTGGCGGCTCGAAACATTGCCTCGTGAACTCCCCCGAAATGAGGAGCTAATGGCGGGTTGAAACTCCATTTCACGCGTCTGTAGGCCATGGCTTTCCGGACGGTGGTATTGTTCAGTTGGCCAACAAGCTCACGTAGCTGGCGGTCGGCATTCACGAAGTTGCCTCCATTGTCCGACAGAACCTCCATTGGACAACCTCGTCGGTTGGCCATCCGGTTAAAGGCGTTCAGGAAAGAATTTGCATCCAATGCGTACGCCATCTCCAAATGGACCGCACGAGTCAGCAAACACGTGAAGAGGCACAGATAGCGTTTGTGGCGAGTCTTTCCTCTCCCCTGCACAGTTTCGAACGGCCCTCCGTAGTCAACGGCTACCCTGCTGAAGGCTCTCAGTGGCTCACACAATCGCTTTGCTGGCAACGGGGCCATGATTTGCTCTCCCGCACGGGCTTTTAGTCGTCGACACACCATGCAGTCTTTCTCCCAGTCACGGATCTCCTCCCGTGCTGCTTCGACAAGATAGTGATCAGAGAGAGCTGCCAACGTTTCATTCGTCCCGCCATGATGACGTTGCTCATGGCAATCTTTGACAATAAGCCGGGTGGTCGGATGTTTCCGGGGGAGAAGAATCGGGAAGCGCACATCAAACGGCAACCAGTCAGCCAGCTTGGTGCGACCATCGCAGCGCAATAGTCCGTCGTCGTCCAGTCGAGGCGATAACCTCGCCAAACGTGACTTCAGCGGAAGTGGTTGACCATTCTTCACTAGCTTCAGATCCTCCGCGAATGCCTCGTGCTGTGCCTCTTTGATGATGGAAAGGCTGGCAGCGTCCATCTCCTCGCCGGTTAGCTCTCCGCTCAACTCCTCACCTCCACGGCAGTTGGTGATGAAGCGAATTGCCCAAGCCCGTACTCTGACTACGCGCGTCCAGTCTGAGAAGCGCCGAGAGCACAAGCTGGGTACTTTCTCGGACATAAATGACATCACCTCGGGCTGTGCAGCCTTGCGAGCTTCCGCTCGAGCAGCTGGGTCTTGGCCACCCACGATCTTGGCTGGCCATTCAGATTCTTCTTTCTGCAGGAAGGCCGGTCCTTGCCACCACAGCTCAGTTGCAACCAGTTGCTCTACCCCAGCTCCCCGTGACGCCAAGTCAGCTGGGTTGTCGCTGGAGGGAACGTACCGCCATTGACTGGGCGACGTAACAGTCTGGATGTGGCTGATGCGATTCGCCACAAACGGTTTGAAACGTCGGCTGTAGCTGCGAATCCAGAGCAGCACAGTTGCACTGTCGCTCCAGAAAATCACCTCTGACATGGCAATGGTCATGATCTGACTGAACTTCCGGGCCAGCTGAAGGCCAAGCACAGCCGCCAGCAATTCCAGCCGGGGGATACTTTGTGTTCTTGTCGGCGCCACTCTGCTCTTGGCTCCAGCGAGACGAACGTTTCCCTCAGAGCCACGCTGCACGGTGGAGCTGTAGACCACGGCACCATACGCCACACTCGACGCATCACAGAAAACATGCAGCGTCACTCCACTGGCCACGTCCGGGATGAGACATCTTGGTACTCGAACTAAACTGAGCTTCGCCAGGTCATTGAACCACTGGCGAGCGCTGGTGTCGATGCCATCTGGAACCGGTTCATCCCAGTCAATACCAGCTACCCAACTCTCTTGCATGAGGATCTTGGCTTGGGTCACGAACGGTGCCAGAAACCCCAACGGGTCGAATACGGACGCGACTTTTGCTAGGAGGAATCACTTGGTGATGCGTTGGTTGGTGAGGTCTGGCGGTTGAACGCTGAAGAAGAAGCAGTCTGCCTGACCGTCCCATGACACTCCTAGCGTCTTCACGGATGGTAGCTCTCCTTGGGATAAGTCCAGCTGGGTAGCGCGAGCCTCGGCTGGAATTACCTTCAGGAGCTCGGGCGAGTTGGACACCCACTTGCGCGGCGTCATCTTGGCCTCACCCCACAGATCCATTAGCTCCCGATGAAGAATCTGACCTTGTTCGACATCTTTGGTGCTGTCCATCGTGTCATCCATGTAGGTGGACGCGAGGATAGCTTCTGCTGCCAGGGGATGCGACGCCAAATGTTCCCGGGCTGTCTGCTGAGCAACGTACTGGGCGATGAATGGTGCAGCATTGACGCCAAAGACCAGGCGGTTGAACTCAAAGTGCCGTAAAGGCTTGGCTGGATCCAGGTCCCGCCACACGAATCTGAGGTACTTCCTGTCTGCTGGCGCAACCGACACCTGCAAATACATTTCGGTCACGTCACAGCCCACTGCTATAGGCTTTTGCCGAAACCTGGTCAACACATCGAACAACTCACGTTGGAGCTTCGGACCAGGGTAGGTGGCGTCGTTGAGGCTGAGGCCATGACAGGATGCTGCAGCGTCAAAGACGATCCGCACCTTGGTTGTCGTCTTCTGCGGTCGGACGATGGGAAAGTGGGATAAGTACCAGGATACCTCTTGACCTAGCTCTTCCTTCGCGAGCTCCCGGATATAGCCGTTCCTCTGGTAGGCCTGGAAGGCTTGGCCATAAGCCTGGGCAACGAATGGGTCTTTCAGGAGCTTGCGCTCGGTGTGGCCTAGACGTTTCGTAGCCGCACCCAAGTTGTTGCATAATTCTCTCTTGCGATTGTTCCACGGCAGAGACACCTGGTACCGACCGTCCACCTTCTTCAGCGAGTGTTTGACGATGTCTAGGGCTGTCTCTTCCTCCAGCGAGCGCGGGCCGGGCTCACTGAAGCTCTCCTCCGTGCCGCAGCTGTCAATTTGCCAGAACTGCTGTAGCGCGGTCACTAAGCCGGTTGGTGTTGCTCTCTCCTCACTCTGAAACGCTTGGCTGTGGAACGTCCTTTGACTCGAGTGGGTTCCCGTCACTCTGCCAACACAGGTCCAACCCAGTGGAGTATGACGCGCCACTGGTTGACCAGGCGGGCCGACCACTTCCTGCTGTGACACAAGCAGCTCAGCATAGTCGCTCCCAATCAGCAGATCGACCCTGGCGGGCTCCGCCAGTCTTGCGAATGGAATCTCTCTCAGATGAGGATACTTGACTGCTTCCTTGACCCACTCTACCGGACGAAGATTCCCGGTGACCGAATCAGCCGTCAGCGCCGTCATAGATTGCCGAACACTGCCATCCATGCTGCCAATGGTGAAGCTTACTGGTCTGGTTGTGAATGAGGTCTGCTTGCCATTCAAGGTGTGGACTGTGAATGTCCTCAGCTCCCCGCTGACGCCGAGCTGGTTGGCAATGCTGCCGTTGAGGTAGCTCGTCGTGCTACCGTCGTCCAGCAACGCATTCACTTGCACTGACTTGTGGCCGTTCTCCAAGACGACTGAGACCGTTCGCAGAGCTATCTTGCTCGGGCCTTGGACCATCATGGTGGAATCACTCTTCGTGGACTCCGTCTCCCCCTCGGTGAACGACTGTGGGGTGCGCTGCTCTTGGTCTTTACCGGCGTATGGCGGCGTTACTAAACAGTCGATGGCGGGAGGCAATAACTGGTCCCCTGTCTCCTGACCTGAACCATTGTCTCCATAGTTGCAGAATTGTTCGGCAGGACTGAGTTGGGACTTGTCCTCCGTCATTCCTCCAGCTGCCGTGTTCCCCGATTTTTTCTTGTTTGACTGTGCGGCATCGGGGTTCCTGCTGTCCTCGTGTAGCAAGTCCCGGTGTAGCAAGTAGTGGTGATTGTTGTTGCAGCCGCTCACTGAGCAGGGTCTGGTTCGTGGACAGTGGTGACCTTGGTGATCGCCTCCAAGGCAGCGGTAGCACAGACCATGCTGTTTAGCCTGTCTCCAGCGATTGGCGACGGAAAGCTGCTGAAATGCTTTACACTGCCAGACACCGTGAGGTCCGCCACATTGCCGACATGAAGATCGTCCAGCCGCTGAGCCCGCAGGCCTTGACCACCCTGCATTCTGCGAAGCCTTTCCCCCGAAGTAGGATCGTTGAGGAGCATTTCGGGGTGCCGGAGGCTTGTCCTTCGCACCAACTCCATCTAGTGCTTCGGACGCTCCAACGGCAAACTCCGCTTCCAACGTCACCCACTCCAGTAGTGCTTGAATTCCTGGCTGGCAGGGCTTCTGATGACACCATCGATTGAATTGGGTTAACATCCCAGCCGGCAACTTGGCCAGGAGCTTCCGGTACAACAGCCCATCACCCAGCTCATTGCCTTTTCCGGAGTCGAGGAGGTTGACCACGAGTACGTCGAGGAGATCTGCGAACTTCTGGAGATCTCCTGCTCGGCCGGAACGAATGATTGGGCAGGCCTCGACTTGCTCGTACTGCAGCGACAGCTGTCGTTGGTCGCCTCCAAACTTGCGGTCTAACCGCCTCATTGCGGCCTCATACGCAGACGGGGTGTATCCCAAGCTCTCGATGGAAGCCAAGGCATCTCCACTCAAATACTGCCGGAGGTGCAGCAGCTTCAAGTCTGCCCTTGCAGACGAGCTACCAACACACGCCATGAAAGCAGCCTTCCATGAGGCATACGCCTGCTTATCGCCGCCGAAGACTGGGATCTGTATAGCCTTCAGTTGCTTGAAAATTTCATCTGATGGCTGCTTGACAGGTGGAGGCTGAGACACAGCACGCTGGTGGCTGGCGGACACACCTGCTCCTGGCAATGCTGAAAAGGCACCAATGCCCATGGCCTGATGACTTGAGGCTACCTGTGGTGGCCCACTGGCCTGGGTGTACAGATAGTTGGCGGACTGATATGGCAGAGATGATGTAGGGTGTAGTCCTGACACAGGAGCCTGAGTACTACTGCCCTGCTGGCCTGGACTCCTCGCGACTTGAAGTTGAGGGGCCTTGGTCTCACTCTCTCTAGTATATGCACTGGACACACATACAGCACTCCGTGTTGGCACAGCAGGCTGTAGTACAGGCAAGGCAGGGCTTCTTTCACGCTCTGACCTCCTACTCCCAGCTTCCATTGGTGGCCTTGTTCTAGCCCCAAGCTCTGCCTCTCTGTTACTACTGCCGGAGACACTTGTGGTCACAACCACTTCATCACTGTCTTCTACTCTTGCCTGGTTCTCCTGAACCAGCGCCACGCCATCACCAGGCTCATCCCGATCCTGGGAGCCTTCACTTCTGCCCAGCGATATCACACTCAGTGGACTTCCTGGCTCTTCCACTGGTGCCTGGGCATACTGATGATACGCTGGCCTGTCTGGGTGGCTGTTCCGTGCAGCCGTCCACGCTGGCTGGTGTTCTAGGAACTCCTGATACAGCCTTGTGACCTCCTTCATCTCTTTCTCCGCTTCCTCCATCTCATCGGTCACTTTAGCCACTGCGAGCGCATCGTTCATGCCGCCAGCCCACTCGAGTACGTCCATGAACACACCGTTCAGGGCATCCTCGATCATTTCTAATTCGCCAAACAACGACCTCGCAGCTTCCTCTTCAACTCCGTCACGCAAGGCCACGATCACGGCTCTGCGACACCTGGTGAACTTTCTCTTGCGATTCGCTTTTTCAGCTTTCATTTTCACGAACATCAGTTCATTCGATCGCTGGTCACTTTGACCATGTTCGTCCTCTTCGACTTCCTCGTCCTCCTCGATCACGTCGCCTGCCCTCTCTGCCATGGCACCTAAAAAGAGCTCAGTTCTCTGACTGCTAGCCCTGATTGTGCTCTCACTCTCAGGCTCCGGCGACGACATGATCTAAATAATTTAAATTTCCGAAACTGAACTGCTCACTCAGGCGATAACCATCCTCTGCTACCAGAATGTTCACACGAAGGAACACGTTATCTTATCTTTTCACTCCAAATACAATTACACCTGAAAGAGCAGCCTAGCTAGCTACACAACGCGAACCAAGGAACTACTAAAACCGAAAACATTCCATGTCGGTACACAACCGAAGACAAAAGGCAAAGATGAAGTAATTAATTTATGCCGCACTGTCAGCTGGCAAAACAGCAGAGGCGTAGCCACCGCACACGCGCTGTTGTACGGCACGAAAGCTAGCCATGATACTTTGCAATACAAATGTATGACCATGCACAGCAACAAGCAACAACACACAGCTAAGAAGTAGATGCATGTAATACATGAACGGCCAGTTGGAAATACTTCGAAGTAGTTATGACGCCACTTTGTAGATCGCCCCCATGAATAGAAAACCACAAGAGAGACAGGGAAGACTACAGCCTACAGTGTAGCTCAGGCCTTGATACATGAATCACTATTGCAGTATTGGCACAAGACAGAGAAAGGACTGCTCCAGCTATCAATAATAAAAGGAACCATTACTTCTAGTCTTAGTGATGCCATGCCAGAGAAATATTACGTACTACCGTCTGAACATCTCCCTTGTTGCAAAGATGTCTTGCTGCTGTATGTCGTGACTATCTCGAGTGTAACCTTGAAGCCGCTGTTAATGGTTTTTTTTCCCCAGCGGCTGGTTGAAATTCACTGCTGTTGCGTAACATTGTTTCTACTGTCTGCAGCGCGATGATGTGGAGAAGCGACTAAGTGAAGCTCGTAAGCTGCTAGCTGACCAACAGGCAGCAAGTGATGAGAAATTGGGGAAGCTGGAAATACTGGTGAGCTTCTGCTTTCTAGCTGCTGACCTGATACATAGAAACAGAGTGTGTGTGCGTGTGTGTGTGTGTGTGCGTACACGCGCGTACGTGTGTGTGTGTGTGAGAGAGAGAGAGAGAGAGAGAGAGAGAGAGAGAGAGAGAGAGAGAGAGAGAGAGAAAGAGAAAGAGAGACAGAGAGAGGGAGGGAGGGAGGGAGAGGGTGTACAATACATGTATGTTGTGGGAATTGCATTGCAGTGCATTTTCTGCATTGTGCGCTCAGTGGTGCTATAATGTTCTGTGTGTTTACAGAACGAAGAGAAAGACACTGAACTGATGCAGTTGCATCAGAAGTTAGAGGATGTTGAACAATCTCTTCAAGCGCATGTTACTTTGGTCAGTGAGCTGCGGGATGAGCTGAAGTCCAGTCAGCATCAACAGGAACTGACCCAGAATGACAATGCCGTTCAGCTAGCAGCCTTGTCATCTCAGGTATGATGTTGTGCATGGATGGATGTGCTCGTTCTCTGTTTACTTGTGATGAGTTTCTAGTTCTGCCTGTGGTGATGGAGCCCACCTGTCAGCCACTGTGAGGGCTGCTGAACAGTTTCCTGGTTTGGGTCGGGCTCTCATATACATGTATGTGCACGACGTTTCATCTTTGCTTAGCAACCTTATGGTTACTGAAGTTTCCAAGTACTAGTACTATCCAAACTGCCCGTTCAAAGGGACTCTCAAATTGTGATCCCGTGTGTAGGTGGTCCCTTTGTCCAGGGTCATTTGGCTGGAAGTCAAACCCTTGCATCCTGATACATTTGATGGTTTGTGACAGGTAGTCACATCATCAGAGTGAACTCCATGACAGGTTTTACTGTAGCTTAGATATCAATGGTATATGTTATTATGTCCATTAGGTATTTCGGAGTGACTTGATCATTTTCCAGCGAAGTGATGTGTGCATCTGTGCCATAACCTTTTTTCCCTTTGCAGCTGAAGGAAGCTCAAGAACGGTCTTGGCATGCGGAAGAAGAGCTCCAACAACTGAAAGATCGCTCAGAGAATAATCTCACAGAGAACGAGACACGAGTAAGTACTGCTTGTAGCTGAGCATGCAATCAAGAGTACATAACCCCCAAGAGTGTGCAACTGCCTGCACAACCTCTATGCTGTGCTGCGACGGCAGAACTTCACATCACGTGACATGGTTCAAAAGGTTATGCTGGCAAACAGTGCAAACTGCAAAGTGACCACAAGAGAGTTGTACCCAAAGCTGGGCTGCATACAACCCTGTTTATATCATGCACAGAGCGCAAATAATGTGTACGGGTTCATCACGTGATGTGAAGTTCTGCCGTCGCAGACCCCATAGCTGGAGTTGCACACTCTTGGGGTTATGTACTCTTGATGCAATTGATAAGAATATGCATCACTTATTTCCCCATGGCTCCTGTGTCCTGTCATGTGTCAAATCTTGAGTACATGGCGCAACTTGACGAAACTTCTTGCTTTATTGGTTTGTACCTGCTGTAGATCGATGAGCTTAGTGAACAGCTGGCTAAAGCACGTGAGCAGCTGGCTGATTCCATGATGAAGTCCTCTAGCCTTGTCAGTGAGCTGGAAAACCAGGTAAATTCTGTTCAATGTCATGGATTTAGCGGGCAATCTACATTGGTGCGTTGAAATCTGTGTTTTACATCTAATGCGTGGTCTTGTCAAGTATTGAGCGGGACCCTAAGTGTAATGTTGCGTTTGATTTGGTGTTTCCTTCTCTCTCTCTCTCTCTCTCTCTCTCTCTCTCTCTCTCTCTCTCTCTCTCTCTCTCTCTCTCTCTCTCTCTCTCTCTCTCTCTCTCTCTCTCTCTCTCTCTCTCTCTCTCTTTTTTTGAAGCTTGGTCAATTGCAAACTGCTCGAGATATTGACAAAGCAACGGCAGACAGCAAATTGGTAAGATGAAGCTGTGAGGAGGAGGGTTTGAGATTTACTAACCACTCTAAAAGCAAATCATGCATGCCATGTAAGATTTGCAGCATCACTGTTCCTTACTCATGCAATGCTCTTCTAATTCCCTTTTTTTTCTTTTGGCTTTCTTAACAACACAGTCATGTATGAAAAACCCTACACACACCATCCTCAAGTCAAGTGGTCTCTTCGCTGCAAATTACAGTTTCTCAATCAAATTGCCAGGAGCCATCATCAGGATTCATCCAATCCTGATGATGGCTCCTGGCCGAAAATTTGATTGTGAAATTGTAATTTGCAGCGAAGAGACCACTTGGCTTGAGGATGGCGTGTGTAGGGTTTTTCATGTAATGAAGTGGCTGCAGTGGAGTTTGCACACCTTAGGCCTTTTGATATACGAAGTACCTGTATTTGAAGCAACTTCTACTATCAAAATGTCTTTGATTGTATGATGTCAGCAACCTTCGTTCTATTCACTGCCCTGCTGAAAATGTGACTCTAAAATACTACTTTTTTGTTTTGCTTTGTTTTTGCCTTGTAAGGGTACCCTAAGACAAGAATGCAGTGAGTTGCGGCAGAATCTTGCAGACAATCGCAGGCTTGTGTCTGCTTCTGCAAAGGAGCGGGCCTTTCTTGATGTAAGTTGACCTATTGCTACAGTAAAATGCAGTGTAGATATCTTTGCTTGCAGAGCCGCAGGTCTGAAGAAAACGCATTCAAGACATCTGTGCATTGCTTTACATGTACTTGAAAGGGTTATTGTGGAGACCAGTACTATGCAACTACTACATTCATTGTTAAGTTTGTGACTAAAGTTTGTGTTTGGTGCACTGTTGTCTCAGGCGGATCTAACTGTTGCCGTTACATCCATCCAGACCAGGTATGTACACTGCCAGTAGAAATTGTCAAATTTTCCAGGCGTCCACGCAGTGTATTCATGCATGTCGTGTTAGTGCGAGTTGTTCAGACTGTTCTATCCGTAAACCAAGGTGGCCTACACATAATAGTTACTCAAGAGTCTAAAAATATATCTGGTCTTCTTGTTGCGGACAGACAGCATCAACTCGCTCCCAACAGTCCATTCACAAAATTGATCTCTTGCCCGTTTCGAATCCGATTTAGGTCGTATTAGGCTCTAACACCCAATTACAATTCCGGCAGAAATGGGATTTGTGCCAGCATGTCTGCACGATTATCAGTGCTAAATCAGGCTGAAATACTCACAACCCGGCAGGAAAATAACTTCAAGAGAAATAGACGTCAAAACGTTTTGAAGAGCACGACTGCACGGTGAAAAATATTTGAAAAGGTTGACCTATCTATGGTCAAAGGCAAAATTGTCATCTTTTCCAAGTGGATTGTAACTTAGTGCCTGGCTGCCAGTAATTCTATGCATTTGTGGCACACACTGGTATGTTCACCACGTTGCATTGAAATGCTTTCACAGCGAGAACGGAATACAGTACAAGAATTTAAAAAATTATTGTTCTGCATTCAGTTCTTAGGGTCCATGTATTTCCTTTGTGTTTGCAGAAATCAGTCTCTAATGGCGTTTGGCAGGGAGATTGAGTATACGGTGGATTCGGATCTAGCAGAGGTTAGTTACCGTGAGCAACGGTGATGTATCCGGGGCAATGCAAGTGCAATCAGGAAGTTCTAGCGAATTTGCGTGTCCCTTTTTTCTGTGCAAGCGCCTTTCAAAACACTGGCACTAATCAAACCACTGGCCAGAGACTTGGGCACATGTTTCCGTTTCCTCGCGTGTTTCTGTCTTGCTGTGTCCGCAGTCTTCCCTGTACTCTGATGAGGATGGTAAATTGCGTCACAGCATGCTAGACAAGTGGAGGGACGAGCAAAGGAAATGTAAGTACATGTGCACTGTGTATTATACTGTCAGCGCGTGCAGTTACTCGCGTAGAGAACAGTTCTGAGAATCAGTCTTTGGGGTTGTTGGCACTTGTTGCTAATTTGTTTGGTAAATACGGGATTAGGAAGGTGGTTGCTCCCAACACTGGAGCTCGCGTTTTTCCTGCCGACTTGGCTTGACACTTGACTGGGCGGGAAAGGCACGAGCTACGATGTTAGGAGCAATTACCTTCCTAATACAATTATCGCCAAGGCTGCTACCTCTATCTCGTAAATACGGGATTGTCAACCTTTGACCTTTGACGCCCATCGCCAGAGGCAATGATAGCGATGCTACAGCAGATGCCATAGCAACGTGTGCTGGGATTGCAAGACTGAAGAATTGACCACCACTATTCAGCCTGATCTACGCCGCACAGCTATTTGAAGTGGTTTTTTCTGGCCCTTTTTTCTCGCACACACCACATACTCCGGCGTGCACTGATTGTTGGTAACCACCCAGGAGACTGAGAAAGAGAAGATTTGCATTTCCTTTTCTACAATAGCCTGATGATATTACTTCCTCCGTTAAGCAAAACTTCGTTGCGTTTTTACAGTTGTCCAAATCATTCTATGGCTACGAACACGCTTTGCAAAGTGGAAAACAAGGCAGCATATGAAAGATATTTATTTACAGATGTCACACAGCTCGTTTCAAAGCAGTCCAGCTTCACTCTTCGTCTGAATCTGATGACGACTCACTCCCTGATGACATCGAGTCTGCATCCTCGCTGACTGTAGCCGCCAGCGCTGCCAGCTTTTGTTACGCAGCCTTTACAAGTTTCCAAGACACGATTATTTTGATCGTGGAGATCGCCAAGTTCTTCGCTCGAACTGTGACCTTGACGACCTCCACGGTGGCGCTGATAGTTGTGGCCACTCTCCGGACCGCCATGGAAGGAGCCATACAGACCCAAACAAACGCTCGCCATTTTTGCAGCGGTGTGTCGTGCCAGCACGTTTCCACACCCTGCAGAAGCTCCTTTCTGGTTTCCTTCGCCACGAGTGACACGTCTATCTACAGGCTGTGAAAGAACGCCAAGTCGTCGACGTTGACATCAGGATTTTGCGCCGACTGAACGACAACCTGAATGTCGAACGCTTTTGATTTTCCCTGCGCTGCAAACACAAGTGCATTGATTTTGGTTGTGTGCGGATGCGCACCATCGACTCGTGCTAGTACTCGTACAGCAGTGCCTGAGTGCTGGCCGGCTCCTGGACACTTCCTCGAGCCACGCGATCTTTCAAACTGTTTCTCATTTTCGCACTTTGGTGTCATGCGTGCGCGCCTGGGGTTGTGTTCTGGTGACATCCTGTCGAGAAACGGTTTTGCTTCGCCGATTTTCCAAAGGACTCCGCGCTTTTCAGAGGTTCAAAAGCCTGTCAGAACAATGGACGACAACTCAGCTACTCTATATAGGGGATAGATCACTGACATGTATGTCTAATGCCGACAGAAATACCATGACAAGAACACTAAAAACGCAACGAAGTTTTGCTTAGCGGAGGAAGTATATAATAGTTCAGTACAATACTCACACAGTAATGACACAACCAAGTCCTTTTCTGCCGTTACTCAGAGTTTCGTGTTAAGAAACACTCATCAGACAGCATGATATGACCAAGGCTGGCATTCACTAGAATATATATATGGAGGGGTCTTGAGGAAAGGGGCAGAGGTGATGGAGCTACAGCATTTCAATAGCGAGGTGACAAAAAATCAGCTGGTGGCCGGCTGCCAAATTCGGATGGATATGAAGAACTACGTGTTGAAAAGTAGTGATCGAGTGAGTACTCTATAAGGTTTCGAGCGGACACCTACACTATCGAGCGAGCTGCTGAGTACTCCACAAGGAGCCCTCGTTCCCAGAATGGTTATAAAAATTCATGTTTTCCACATTTAAAATTTTAAAATTATATTTTTTGTAAAGTAGTGGTAGCGACCTCGGCAATGATTACATGCAAAAAGTGTTTGCTCCCACACCGGAGCTTGATATAAATAAGAAGAGGATCCTTCAGCAAGCCGTAAAGGCATCCACACCGAATGCTTTATGTCACCAAAGCCGTCAAGAGGGGTAAGTAGTAAGTACCAAGATTGAGTGGATTGCTTCTCCCCACCCAGCGGCCGTGTAACCTTAGCCACCCGCCTCAACACTCCAAGCAGGGCCTTCGCCTCTGACCACTGGTTGCTGGAAAGCTTGAAGGCTTTCCTGTCCTTGTTGGCCATGTGTCCATGTCCAAGAAATGGTTGCACTGGTGTTTGCAGCTCTACTAGCCGTTCTAGCATCAGGAAGGCTGAGTTCCACCGTGTTGGGCAGTCTTGGACAAGACGCTTCTTTCCACTGCCCAAGATCTTCTCCTTCTCTTCCAACTGGCCAGTCTTCAGGGCTGAGTGTACTTGCTCTAAATCTGTCTAAAACTTCGTTAAAGCTACACTACCAATCTACGGCATAACCCTTGTTCTTTATCACTGCCTTCATCCTCTTCGGCATCGGTGTGACTATCCGGCGGCACAGGTCGGCATCGATGCGACTCCAGGCTGCCTTGCATTCCTCCTACATCTCCGCCTCGTTCTTGCACCTCCTGCTGTTGTCCTGGTGCCGTGGCAAGATTTCCCGAAGGTTCTCAATGGGATTGAGATCAGGGCTTTGGGCGGGCCACTCCAGTACCTCGAACGGCTGTTCGTCGAACCATCGCTTGGTTGCGCACACGGTGTGCTTGGAGTCATTATCCTGCTGGAATACTGCAGTTGGCCCCCGAACAAGTCCATTATGCTGGGTGCCATGCAGTTTTGCAGTATTCCGATGAACTGCTGATGCTCCATCCGCCCGTCCACGCGATACAGCCGGTCAACACCGGCCGGCCAACACCGCCCGCACTCATACATCCCCATACGGTGACACCATTATCCCACCATGGCCGTCTGCACGCCGTGCACGCTGACACAGGTGCCACGCCATCTCCAGCGACTTCTTCAAGCAGTTGGGTGCTGTTTTGAATCGATCAGCCATTGATAATAGCTTCAAATGACGATTTAATCGATCCTCAGTCTTCCTTTTTGGGGGGCCAGGGTGTTTGGCTGGAGCGACAGAACCCTTGTTTTTCGTCTCCTGCACGAATCTCCCGGCAGTTTGCGCCGAAACACCCAGCATGGCAGCGACTTTTGAGGATGTGGATCCATCTCTACTTATTGCCACAATGACCTCTTCCCAACACTAATAATGTCCTCCGTTCGTCCCATCGCGAGTGGAATTGAAACAATTTCCACGTGCAGTTCTGACTGTGACTTGTCAAATATATTTTTGAAGTTTCCCGAGGGAATTCCCAGTGCCATTTTGGTCGTCCATGGAAACCGTGCGGTGCACGCATGACAATTAGCACTTATGGTTCAACTTGACTGTCACGTGGCCACAGCATTGGGCTATGTATACTGTACTGACTGTGCGCGCATATACATAGTGCATGCACTGACGAAAAAAATTGCAGTCAAATCGCGTTGTTTTAGAGATCGTGTCTTTAGGAATAGTTTTTGTGCAGAAATTTCGGTTGGATATGGGTATTCTTGAGGTTTGGCCTGCGTGGATACTTGTTGTTCAAAATCTAATGCTCCTTTTTTGTACTTCTTTCTTGCGTGGTGCAGTTTTGGAATTTGCTCAAACTTCCCTGTCAACGGAACGATCGAAGCGTGAGTTTTTTTTGTCAAGGTAGCTTGCTTCTATTCCTAAGAAGTGTAGCAAACTCGCCACACTGCGTCCAAAGACCACGATAGGCCAGTCCCAGGGATGGTGGCTGAAATCAGGGTTTACCTGTGCTGTACCTGAATGGTGTGTACTGTTTTTAAATGCGATAGCACCATTCCTCTAGTCCTCAGACTATGGCAAACATGCCCACATTAATAGGGTATTGTGAAAATGCAGCTTTTGCCCGATGTCAGCTAGGGAATGCCTCATCACGCCGTTTAGTTTGCGAACCATTGCCAGGTATGGACTCTTTGTGCGTGTATTCTTTCCAGGTCATGATCAGGAAGAAGATTCACGACGTCTGGTGAACTCCTTAGAGCTGGAGCAATATGGTATGTTCACGCCTGTGCCTGGTAGTGAAACATACATACATGTAGATATCTTGCCATTAGAAAAATAGGAGAGATTGAATGGTGACCTCGTCTCTCCTTTGTGCGTAGATTCTATTCCCAATACGTACACGTACTGGGACTTTGGAATTCAATACAGTCTTCATGTTGCTTGTTGCACTATGGGACTACGGGATAGTGTTGATTGTGCTGCTCTCGTCCTTGTCCACGTTTAGCAACAAGACAGCTACGAGAAGAACTAACTTCGGCCAAGACGTCCCTGGAGGAGCTGTCATCCACGTCGAATCACGTATGTATTTTTGAATTTATTGTTCGGACCCCTCCGCATGCATGGCGTGCTTGGCACTGTTGAGATTGTTGTTACTGCCTTAGATTAGGGATCTCAGCGCATGAACTGCGCAGCCAGTTTGCGCAGGTGAGATTTTCGATCCCAAACGCGTCCAGTGCAGAAACCGTGAAAAGTAACATTTTCTCTCTCGAAATAAATCAAGTTGAAAAAGACAGTAGAAATGGCTGAATGGTGCGTCCAGGGAAGCACGTTCTACGGCCATCTCCAAGCTACTTATTTCCCAAACACTCTCTCAGAGGAACAATGGAGGATCAAAGAGCACAATATTTCACTTTTGGATGCAGCGTGAACCCTCTTCTTCTGAGCGCGATGTCTTCTCTCTGAGTGATAATGGCGGCGATGTTCACGATGGCTGATGCACTGAAAATCGAAGTTAGGACAGTCTAACCGGGGAAAACGTCTGAATTTTTCACTGAATCTTCTCTGAAGTATGTTCTTGCCACATGGCAAATTATAGGAAAATCAACCTTGACGATATCGCCTTGGCCACGCTGTCCTTTGGCGGGAATCACCATGTGTTCAAGCGACGATGAAGATGACGATTCCGCTAGTGTCGATCGTAACCATTTTTTTCCTCATCGTTTTCTAGGCCCTAGCGCTGTTACTGTCCTACAGTTACTTGTCCGGAAGACTTGTGCTGCCTAAGATCGCGTTCTTTGCCAAACTTCTTGGACATTTTGTTCCAAATTGGTTATGGCCAAGATAAAATCAGCAAAAATGGTGTGCGTAGCTACATCAAGAATATTCGTCTCTTTTCTGTGTTCACATTGCCAGGCATGGTACGAATGTCAGCTGCCTCAACAAAAGAGCAATAGCAGTATCACAAACACAGAGCTTGCTGATCTCAGAAAACTCGAGCAACGGGTAACGGAGCAGAAGAAAAGAATTGATGAGCAGAGAGAATGCATCGAAAACGCACGCCGGAAGACAATCAGCACAAAGGAACAACTAGCAAGACTGCGATCAAAGCATACATCAACAACGGAAGCAGCAGTACTGTCCTTGCAAGCCCCCGTTGACAATCTTAGCAAACAGCTGGCTGTGGTGACAGGAGGCAAAGTTGAGGAGCATATACAGAAATAACTGCAGCGCATTGATGAGAGTGAACAAGAAGCTCAAAGAAAAGGCGACGCAGCTAGAAGAATCTCTCCGTGCAGCACAGGAGGAAGTTGCAAAAGCCTACCCGTCAGCATGACACACTGCAGCAACGTGGCAACATCAGGACCATGTCATGATCCCCGTTGCAGTACACAAACTCAGTACGTCAGTGCTGCATTCAACTCCTTGCACACAACGATGGTGTAGAACATGGGCCAGCGGTCATGAAACCGTTATCACAACGCTAACATCCTATCATATTGAACGATTGCCAAGCCCAGCCAAGATGTGTAATTTTCTTGGTGAAGCGAGGCAGTTAGTACTGACTCGGCTTGGTGAGCAGCTGATGGCAACACAGAACCTGACGCTCCACCGAGACGGCACCACAGAATGGCGAAAAGTACTATGGTGCTCAGATTTCAACTGCTGATGCCACCCTAGATCTACGCCTCTCCCAAGTCAGGTCAGGATCGGCACAGCATTGTTTCGAGGCAGTACTGGACATGGTGAGAGACGTTGAGACTGTGACACAAAATGCAGGCCACAATGGTGCAGTGTTCATCGCATAATTACCAACATAAAGAACACAATGTCTGACCGGGGCAGTGTCGAGAAGAGCTGTAACAACGTGCTGCAGGAGTTTCGCCAGACGGTGATGCCTAGCGTTGTTGACGGCTGGAGTGAGCTCTCTAACGATGCGAAAGCATGCCTTGGTGTTGTTTCTACTGGGGGCTGCATTTCATCGTTGGGCTGGCAGAGCAGGCGCAGGAAACTATGCGTACGTGGGAGAAGGCAGAATATGCCAGCGGTGTGGGGCGCAGCAGCAGTCGGCAGCTTCACTACTGTAGAGCCTGGGCCAGTTCACTTGGTGCGCACGGTGTGCAAGGCCCTCGAGGCGCATTGTAATGAGCAGACCGGCAACCATGCCCAGTTTAAATCTTTTTTGAAGACGCAGGGCATTAGTACCATCCCACTGGCCCGGTTTGTTGGTACCCGTTTTAACATATTATTTTACAACGCTGCAGGCGTGTGCTACCTAAAAGACTGTTAGACAGCATTCTGTCATTTTATGACAAGGTGTTTGGCATGCCAACTCGTCTGCACGTTGCTGTCCGTGCGGATGTAGCCGGCCCCGGGTATGTCGCTGCCTGTCTAGCTCTTGGCATCTTTGACAAAAAAAAAGTCCTCACTGGCCCTCTTTGGCATGTCCTGGCCAACCCGAGCGTCCACATCGCTGACATGAGCAAAGTTTACACTGCCATATGCAACAAGCTGGATGCCTGGCAAGACGACCCACAGGATCTCCTGGACCTGTCTGCATGTCCATTTCCGGGCACCAGTGCCACAGTGGATGAAGTCAGTACAACTTTATTCACTGCAGACAGCTCTGATCAAGAAATGAGTGTCATCCTCCGGCTGCTATCCAGGTCTTTCGCCACATAGAGTACTCGAAACGTCTTCTGGCAGCCCATCTTCCAGGTGGGATTCACCATACTATGTCGACGGACTTGCGTACGGTGACATCCAGCGTCGCCACCACCAATGTTGCCAGTGAAAGAGCATTCGCTCAGCTGGACAGACTGTGTCGGGAAAAAACCCAACACATCCCTCATCGCCATCGAGGGCATGGTCCTCTTCAGCAGCAACGAGACAGGAGCCTGGCTTGAGCAGCAGAGCACTGCGCGGAAAAAGAAGCTTTTCTCCAGTGCTCTCCGTGGTGCTGAGAAGCATCGGCAACAATATCGCCAGCGCTGCGCAGAAATCGCAAAGTTCCGACATGAGGAGATCATCGAGAAAGAGGCTGATCGCCAGTCGAGAGAGAAGCGGGCCCTGGAAGCCCGACAGCCACTCTCCGTGGGCGCCGGGCAGGCTGGTTGCTGGACGGACACCAGCAAACTGGTAGGGATCGCCATCGTGTCAGGTAAGGTGGGCACACTCAAGACACAGATCAAATTCCGCAAGGTGGTCCTGCAGCAGAAAGCTGACAAGAAAACTGTTCCAGTTCTCGCATACCGGCAAACAACTCACTTGGAAACAACTAGCTGCAAATCTACTTTAACTTGTCGGCAGTACGGTGACCCCAGTCACAACTTCAGCAGTAGAAAGCAGCATCAGCGAAGTATCTTGAATGTTGAGTTCATAACTATCTTCTTTCTCTCTCAAACATTGCCTTTGCCTTGGTTTTTTCGAAAGTGAAGCTTGACGTACATCTGCCAAAATAATAATGTACTAGCAAGGTACACGAGTACTAGGTTGAAATCTCACGCCTGCACATAATGTACATGTATACATGTACTGCACTGTACTGCTAGAGTACTAGTGCCTAAAATCAACCGTCGCCATTTTGTAGCTGTGTCCGCGAGCTGCATTCGAAACTCGATGGCGCAAACACCCTGCGCATTGCACGCGCTGAGATCCCTACTTAGAATGGTTTTGTAAGAAGAAGCCAACTCATCTGGCATATTAGTTTTTGACTTGTCCCTTTGCGCCTTCCTAGGATGTTTTCACAAGGCGTGTCACATTGTTAACACATTACGTTCGCCTTCTTTTGCAGGATGCGGCAGTTTTGAACCCGTCTAGTAATTCGAATGGTGTGTCTCATGCACCGATCGACACTACCGATGCTACCAGATCAGCACTGATGGACCAGACAACATCTTCGGATGCCATGGCAGAGGTACGGATGTAGCCAGTCGAGTCCAGACTTGATCAGATCCCCTTGGTTCTGTATCACACTACACGCTTTGCAACCACACTGGTCTGACCAGCACACAACAATAAGATGCAAGCTACAGTTTCTGAGTTTCGTTTGTCACTCTGGTGTGAAATATGTTACATTTTGAACGCGTCGAGTAATTCGAATGGGTTTTTTTCCAAAGGGCCTATTCTTTGTGCGTTTGTCTTTGTTTAGCACCCTTTGTAAAGGATCACTGTATGTCAATATAATATTGTGAGTTTTGCATTCGCTCTGCAGCTTGCTGAACTTCATCAGAAGGTGGCTCGCATGGAAGAAGACATGGCCGAAAAGAATCAGGTTAGTGGTGAAGTTCTGTCGACTTGCCTAGCTAGCACTTCATACTGAGCACAAATCTAGATTTATTCCCGTAGCTATGCAGAAGACGTTACTTCAGTAACGTCTGGCGCTAGCCAGGGTCCACACAGCTTTAATTTGGTATTTGTTTGTTTGTTTGTGTCACGCCTGGCGCTATCCCGTATCTGTCCCGTACCGTACCATCAAAGACGGCTGGCCACAAACAGCTGGCCACAATATTCAAATAGGGCTTTCAAATGCAAGATCATAACGTGAAGCAACTTGGAAGAATTAGTATGTATGCGAAGTGTATCGGGGGATGCATGCAGGGCGATAGTGCGGGTTCGAATCCCAGGTTATGTCTTGAAAAAAAATAGGAGAAATTGATAAGAAAATTTATAACATCCCTATGCTTTTTTTTGCCTAGGTCGTCAAGGTAAAAAAGCATAGCGTAGGGCCCTGAGCTTCCAAGCTCTCTCGTTCACTGATTGTCTGGACTATCCATCCTGGTGTACACTTGTACACTTTGGGTGAGTTGCGGCAGCTTGGGCACAAGGGTGCTGGCTGATGATGTATATGTATGTAGTTGAAAGCTGGGTGCTGTTGTACAGTCGGTGATTTGCCATGCCTGTTTTCTACTTCTGCTCTGGTCGCTCCCTCTCTCTCCCCCCCCCCCCCCCCCCCCCCCCTCCAACGTGTGCTATTCATTTTCTGATGGCATATGATTTCTCGTTTTCTTTTCTTATTGCTTCAGACTGTCAAACAACAACAGCAGCTCCTTGGAGATCTACGAAAGCAGCTGCAGCGTCATGTGGGTGTAAGCTCTACTAGTTGTACTTTTCACCTTCGGTTATACGCTCAGTTACAGTCTCTGACCTGTGTGTTCTTTTTCATGTTTTGCAGAAACCAGTTTCGGCAAAGCTACATCCTGTGTCATCAGCTGACCTGTCACCCCCACATGGATCTATGTCGAGCCAGAAGCTTGATCCAGTGAATGACTTGTATCCTTAGTGCCTCACTGCATACTAGTTTTAAGCACACAGCATAGCAATGTGCCCTCTCTTTGCTGGGAGGATGTTACTTTGTAGTGTCATTGGGATTTCTGTGATATCAACGTACTCTCCCCCCCCCCCCCCCCCCCCTCTCTCTCTCCCTCTTCTTTTCTCTATTCCTTGCCTTTGGTCCTGTCCGGACGTGACTGGGAGGAAGTCAGTGGTGTATGAGGGGTGTGGCGCATGAAACAAACCTATGCATTCAGTGTGACCATGTATTGGTTGCACAGGGTTGGCTCACATTCATACTAGAGCCGTATTGCTGTGGTTGCCTTGTAAAGATGTGTCTCAGGCTTAGTAATACCTATGTTACCTGTGGCTACAAATAGTTGTTTTTTTGCAATGTTTCTGTTGCCAAGTCTCATACCAAGTGCTTCCCTAAGATCGGATTTTGTAGTGACGGATCAAATGTGTAAAGTGACCTTTTTATCTCCCAATCGTTTGTCATCACATGCATATACAATCTCCATCTACTGATCTAGATTGCTGCAATTCCTTAACCTGATGTGCCTATGTAGATACCTGAAGAATGTCATTCTGCGTTATATGTGCAGTACAGACTGGGAGGTATGGAGAATGTATAATTTAGCTTGCCACTGTTGAGACTTATTTGTTTTTCTTGTGTTTTCCTGTTTTTTATACAATCTCAGGAAAATTTTACAAATCCATTTTGATAGTTGCGGGGGGGGGGGGGGGTAACAACCTGAAGAGAATCATTACTGGCCATCAGGGCTTAACCCTGGGACCTTTCGTGTTAGCCTAGCAATGCTCTATCACTAAGCCGTGTGTAGTCGTTATCCTATCCGTGACCGTCGGACACTTTCTGCAGATTTGGAAACTCACGCTTCTTGTGAAACTTCACAGGGTAGCGGGTCGCATCCACACTCTGTCTCTACTTATGCACTTCACGTACAAACTAGCACACGGGGAGCCCCATTATATAAAGACTTTGAGTGAGTTGAATAAGGAAAAGTCTAAAGAAAAAATATTTACAAGATAAAAATATAGAACTGTGTTGTGAGAATGCATGTTGCTGCAGCCATTCTTTGTTTGTATCACTCTGTTCATTTTCAGGCGCAACACTTGATAAAAGCGGTTTCAACACTTTTGAGGTTTACATCCCAAGAGGAGAAGCTAGTCCGTGACTACTTTGCGTACAAGGTATGTGTTGCAGGATGCTGTTTTCTTGTACAGAGTGGGTTTTGAACTCATGATTGCGGTGCTGTCCAACCTCACCGCCTTGCCAAAGTGAGCCCTTATGCAACGTATAGATTTGGAATCAGTAGGCAGTCGATGTCCTCTAAACAGTTGGAAATCCAGTAAGGAGTCGAACTCCAGATGAATTCATATCTTGATGACAGATTCTACAGATTTAGACTGTATACTGGTCTCCGGACTGGCTATAGTGACCTGACTGCCTACTGAGTCCAACATATGGAAAGGCAATTGCCTCCCGTATAAATGTATGCATACGTCATTAGGGTTGGCTTCTCAGGTAGCATGTGCGTATGTGAACCAGTAAAGTACATACCAAATTCTCACGGCAAATCACCGGCAGCCAGGGCCGGGAGCGTTGGACAATGTTCAGCTCTTCTGGCCTGCTTCAGCAGGGCTCCTGTGCCCTTTCAGGCAAAAGTAGTGTGTGAACCATGCGCGTAGGCGATCATTGGTGCCGAGACCCTGATTTATTCAAATTCCGAAAGACTTGCCCCAAACTTTCCTAGATTGAAGACACGGATTAGGTCTGTTGATAATTCTTGTTGTTTCAAGTTGGCAAATTTAAGTGGTGTGCCAACATGTCCTCGGGTGCTTTGCGTGACGGTTCTGAAACTTCTGACACAAGTACAATTGAAAATTTAGGGGTGAAACGGTTACCCTTTAAGGTTACAAACGGGTACGTGGCTTAACGGGCGGGTTATCGGGTACCCTTAGCAGCCATTAATAACAGTTACTATACAATAGCCTTCCGCATTTCGTGCATGGGAAGTCATGTAATTCACAGCAAGTACACTACATCGGGACAAGCGCACCATGCGCACTTACTGCGCTACATGCAAAACAGTCAAAATTGAATTAATGTGTCATATGAAGCAGGATCAAACAACCACCAACACATTCAAACCATACATCGAACTGTACGACTGTGTGGATTTCTTGCAGACCTCTTGGTTCGGAGCTAAGCCTGGACAGCCACCTTCCTAACACCTGCGATGTAGCTACAGAAATATCTTGATTGAAAGACTCTGTGTGTGTGTGTGTGTGTGGCCCATATCTGTTAGCCCATGCAGTGTGTTGCAGGGCTATGCGGTTATAATGTTGAGAAGTCCGTACTATTCGGGGGCCAACCCATGCATGCTATTTAACTTTGCGTTCAACAATGCCAAGCGCAAACGCTGCATCCTTTTTCACGAATCGCAGTACATCTCTCCATATATTTTTATGTCATTTATCTTTCTGGTTGCACCATGTTTAGTATTTTGTTATTTGGGGGTAAATTATTTTCAGTTTTTTTTTCTGCTACCATGCATGAATAGATGTGCACCCTTTGCTTACTTGCTGCCATGCCATGTGCCGTTCCTGCATTTCATCATCTGTTGACCGCGATCTCATGAGAATATACAGTGATGCTTTGAAAGTACTACTTTGCGACTAATAGAATATTTCGTTCAGTTCTTATGCGTTGCCGTAGCTAAGAAGAAATTCATTTGAACCAGGTAGGACCACCTCAAGTAGGGCCACGCCAAGGCTAAAGGGCTACCAACTGACTGTGTAGGAATGCACCAAGATGACCTATGACATTCATCGCGGCATCCAGGGCAATTTAGAATGCATCTATTTCCACGATAGTCTTGTCACTGTGCAATGGCAAGGGATGCACCCGCACTCTGTTGGTAAAAAAGGTGGTCAACATTGACATCATTTTCCGATACACATCCTGACGTGTGGCTAGTGTTGTCCTTACTTTGCGTAAATACTGGTTCATTGAATCATGTTGGGTTGAACTGGACATGATACGGCTGGCTACTCGGCGTGTGAATCATACACCCAGCAAGTCTCCATTGACAGCCGTTTCCAAAACTGCAGCAATCAATCTATCTGCCTCCCTGTTTGTTATGGTGCCATGCATATGCAAGGTACACATTTACGCTACGAGCCAAGGAGTAGTCAGGTATTTACGACTACCTAATAACTGCAGACTAATCATTATGGTGCATGCAAGTCAACGCACATCCACGCTGCAAGATGCAGTATTGTGTGTATAATTTATACAAGAGTACTCTTGTTTATACTCTAATTTCAGAATTTTTAGGTGCTCAATATTTTCGGTATGAGGGCAGATGGCCAGGTTAGGTGAACAGAAATTTTAGGTACAGAGAAGCAGCTCCCTATTGGATTACGTGTGTTAGTGTTTGTTGAGTGTATTGAAATTTTAGGTATGAAACAGACCCACCGAAAGTACCGAAAATAAAAGTACCCCGAAAATTTGTGAATTACAGTATGTTGTACACTGTCAAACTAGCACCACCTTAGCACCCCTCTGATAGAGCATGACAATGTTCACGATTAAGGTTTGACGATGGCTTCCAAGTGTGACGTCAAAAGCCTAGGCATCTGATTCTAAGCTATAGTACAGTATCTGTACCAAAACATTCCTGCTCCCACAATGGGTCTACAGCATCATGTCTCTCTTTCTCCGTGCAAAACACCAAGCAAACGGTAAAGGGGCGCCGTGATTGTTTAGAACGAGTATTCGAATGCCTTGTCATACTAGTAATAGGTACAGCATTGCAAATTAATCGTTCCACTATCATTTTTACACACGGCTACCCATTCACCAAAATTTAATCATGACTTTCCTTCCCCCCCCCCAGTCAGCTGCCAAGATATATCCTGACACATGTAGTAGTCCGGGCATGAATGTAGCCTGATCATTTAAGAAGAGGATAGACGCAAGTTGCGAGTTCAAAGCTCTACTTGTACATTCACAATGGGCGACTCGTTTGGTGCGTAGAGCAAAGAATGTGAAGCTTCAGTTCCAATAATAATAATTATAATGATAAAGGTTCAGTCAGTTCAAGTACAATACATGCGCCTTGTGTGAGGAGGGGTTTGAATTGTTTCGTATTCGAAAGGAAAAGTTACTCAACAGGTATAACACTTCAAAGTACATGTAATCACAAGCCTATCAAGTTCATTCTGGTGGGTCGTGCATTCTGGTGGGTCGTGCATCAAAAACTAAAGTTGCAAACTCAACCACAGCCATCACTCAGTTGACAACAAATAAGTTACCTGACCTACATGTATGTTTTGGCACAATGTCTACATTGGATCCTGGACACCACGGACATCTGGTGACGCTCTGCGCTCTCGCCACTGTGACATCTGGCTGGAGAGCAGATGTGCTCCGGAGGAGCGGCGGCGGTTTACCAGGATGCCGTTTGGTCTTGTCGTTGGACTGGTGGACTGCGCCTGACGGCTGCTCTCTGGTACTGCAAGAACCGATTGGCTGCTTAGAAGATGATCGGCCGATGCAGTCAGCAGTACGCTTCTGCTTTTCGACATTGCTCGACCACCGCCACCAGGAGATCCGGGTTGCGTGCTACCCGACGCAGCGACACTTGTGATAGGGTCACTGGCAGCCTTCTGCTTGTTGCTTCCGTAGTGCTGTAGTAACTTGGTCACGTCTCCGTGGCCCTTCTGGATAGAGTAGTGCAACGGTGTCATGCTAAACGAATCTCTCATCATCACCTACATGCACATCCACACAGTGGTAGTGATGAGCATATGCACATACACACAGTGGTAGTGATGAGCATATGCACATACACACAGTGGTAGTGATGAGCATACGCACATACACACAGTGGTAGTGATGAGCATATGCACATACACACAGTGGTAGTGATGAGCATATGCACATACACACAGTGGTAGTGATGAGCATATGCACATACACACAGTGGTAGTGATGAGCATATGCACATACACACAGTGGTAGTGATGAGCATACACAGCATGTCAACGTGACACATGGAACGCAGGCCTGGCAGAACCAGGGGCCCCCAATTTGCTTCATTCAGACTAGTTTGATTGCACAATAGCTGGACCAGTTGAAACTGGTTCCACCAGTCCTGATCGACGGCATCGGGGCAGTCAGGAGTGAACAGACCAATTCTAGCACGATAGGTAACGCCATTTTGCATGCACAGCAACCCGTCGACTAGCCCAATCATGGAATAGATGGGTACATTGTAGTTCCATCTTACTACACTTCGAAGTAGTATCTACGTAGAGGACTAGTGTAATCTGTTCCGTATTGTTAGTGCATTGCAAGTACAATTGCATCTGTAGACCTGTACTACTTCTGTTAACTAAACAGCTTCGCCAGGGCCTGAGCTCCGTGATATGTCACTTGCCTTCAAAAAATGTATGTATGACCTGCATGGTTATCCTACCATACTTTTTATCTCATTTCTGTCCAAAGTGTGTGTGTATTCGAAGCCTTTTCATAAAGTTTATTGCTGAATTTAGACACTCTCAATAACTGTACCTTGGCCCCATGATTAAGTAAGGCCATTGCCACATCTGGACGATTGCTAACCGCCGCCCAATGCAGAGGAGTAGTCTTGCGTGCATCCGTGGCATTAACATCACACTCGCTGCACGACAGGATGTGCTGGAGCATGTCCGGAGTTCCCTCTGATGATACAGCCACATGCAATGCGGTGCGGCCGCGCTTGTCCTTCTGGTTGAGGATTCCGGGCCACTGTTCCGTAATGAACTGTACATTGTTACAGACACACACACATATACATGAACATACTGGCCATCATTCAAGGAGCAGAAGGAAGGGAAGCTTTCAAAGTTGATCGGTTTCATTTCTGGTGATGTGACTGAAAATCGGCGTAGGAATACTTACCCATCCATTTCCAAACATGGCGCTGCATGAAGTCTTCTCTAATTCGGAATGCTAACCTATCAAGCAAGGTAAGTTCAGATCTAATATGTTCTCATGTGTTGATGCGCTGAGCGGATTTAAATGTCATGCTTTGTTGTTGACTGGACTTCATTGCGATCGGTTGGGCCAGTGACTCGGAGCCGCTTCACTGAGGAGAGTGTGCGGGATGAATGCTGTCTGTCTTCCCATCCCCTCGATCAATCAATCAATCAATCAATAGAGCCGTGCTAAACATCCAGAGAGTGCTCGGTGAAGTGACTGCACGGGGACAGAACTTCTTTGATTTCGCACACCACACAGTACTTGCTACATACACAGGGTTTCCAGACTCCAGACTGTCCTATTCGCATCTGCATGCTAGGATAGCTACTTTTCAAAGGTAAACTTGAGATACACACCTTGGCACAATCCAATTGGTTGGTGCTGACAGCATAATGCAAGCACGTCCGGCCGTCCGCATCAGGCAGGCTAGCGTCAGCTAGCATCGTCTTCAGAAGGATCTGCAAGTGCTGCGGGCGTCTGAAGAGCACAGCCCAGTGCAGCGCAGTGGTCTTGTCATCGTCGTAGGCATTGATGACCTGAGAACTACAGTGCTTGGCAAGCAGTTGAAGACCAGCAGTTGTTGCTGCCTTGGTGCTCCAGTGAAGTGCAGAGCGACCAGCAATATCAGTGCTACGGAGTAGTACCTGGGTAGATGCTTTCTGGCCCAGGAGCACTCGCATGCAGTCAGCATTGCCATAGTAGGCGGCACACAGGAGTGGCGTCCGACCGTTGTTGTCATCAGCGAAGAGGTTGGCACCACAGCGGATCAGCAGCTCGCATATCTTCTGCTTATTCCCAATTACAGCATACATGAGCGGAGTACGCCCACTGTGGTCAGTACACTCGATGCCATACGCCGGTATTAGCTGCCTGGACAGAAGAAACAATGTATAAACCAACCAACCAACACATGTGCATTCACACACACAGACACACACGCGCGCGCGCGCGCACGCACGCACACACACAAGCAGCAACCATTGTCACTCATCCACATATTTTTTTCTTACTGTGGTTCAGGGGTGTATCAGCCTTGCTGGGCTAGCTTGTGCCATGAGGTCACGGCAGCGACAACAGATACATTAAAGATATTGATCCAGTTTCGTCTGTTTCACCTGATGTAGACCATTCAGACAACACGCCTATTGTGTATGACATGTCTGAGTAATGCATGTGAGTACGTTGGGATCAGGAGTGCATTGTTGAACATCCCACACAGCCATGCCCAGGTGGTTGTGTGGGGTGTTCATTTAGGAACTAGACTACGTTGCTACATTTGCATCTTGATTTACATCTATTTAGCACGTCATGGTGCCTAACCAAGTGTACCCAACGTGCCAATACAAGGAAGTGGGGGAGGCATGCATCTGACCAGACCTCGTGTTCCACCAGAAGGCACCCCTGTCTACAAGGACTGGTGCCGTGGTGTTCAGTGTGCCATGGAGTAAACACAGGTACTACTGTAGTTATGTGCACCACACTATTTCTTACTTTACAGCTGATCGGTCTCCCTTTGCAGCAGCTGCGTGTAGCGCATTGCTGCCAGCATCTTCTTCCAACATGCCATCCGGAGATTCGCGCTGCGGAGATGCTGCAACTGGGTATGAGAAGCCATCGGTGGAGAAGGCACCACTTGCAGACGTCTGCGGTCGTGATGTTAGTGCAGCATCACTGCTGGCAGAGTAATGAGACAGCTCACTGGATGGTCGTGGCTCAGGTGAATGTGGCGGCATAGTGGCATCATCGGTCTCCGGCGTGAATGTGTAGAAACAGTGATCAGCAGCCTGAAAGCCCAGAGACTGCTCCGTACTTGCAATAACACGCAGCTTGATGAAACGATTGCCAATTTCCTCGGCAGCCTCAATCGTGTCAACTCCTTGCATGTGGTGAGTGAACCACATTGCAGCGTCAGCTCCAGAGAAACAGGGGCCATGCGTTGCATGAATGCACAGGCGAATACCGGTCTCAGGATGTCGCAGGGCACGGATGTAGTCGTCCAGCTCAAATCTGGTCGGACTAATGGGCTCGGGTTTATTTGAAACCCAGGTGTTGTGCAGGACGCCAGAGGACTGGCGGCGAGTGGCCCACTGCTGTTGTCGACCACCATCAGTCCGATCAAATACCACTCCTTCGGACATGTCATCTCTGTAGTCACCAGCAACTTCACCCACAGTTGCCGATGTCCTACTTGCCATCTGCTCACGTTCACGGTCGATCTCCTCCTGTTTCTTAGCGAGAAGCTCCCGCGCTCTGGCAAGTTCCTGACGTTCTTGCTCTACACTCTGCACTTTCTGGATGTACTCTTTATGAAGCTCTTCTTGCTTCTTGCGCACGGCAACTTGAAACTCCTCGGTGTCCTCTGCACGTGAAGCGTCCGCAGCATGAGTGCCACCCACCACCAGCATGCCTTCCAGTGCACTGATCCTCTCTTCCAAGGACTTCTTTTCATTTGCATACTTCTCAACCTCCTGCTCGCGCTTCTCCAGCTCACTCATAACAGCCTCCTTCTCGCGGAACACCTGGCAACAAGGCAACAACACAAACTGTTTATCAGATCCCATCCCGTCAACACATCGTTTTTATGTACATGTACCGTAAAATCCCGCCAGAGCGCCCCTACCTCCTCGACGCTTCAGGTGGGGAGGGGCGGATGGGCGAGTCCTACTTGCCGCATTCAGTGCTACATGAAAAAGTACTCACCCTACGAAAACTGTTCGTGCATCTCGTACACCGACCAAAGGTCAAGAGCCAGGAGTCGTACAGACCCGACAAAACGCAGGGTTTGTGTGATCCCTGGTCAAGAGGGTGGGCACTATTTCCAACGGGGTTGAGCACGCGTCTGCAGTACAGAACGGCATCACAGATTGCGACAGAGTCATACGAGGATACAATCAATCACGTCCCTGACAAGAAGTCAGGGAGGGGCGGATGGGAGAGACGGGGCGCTCTGGCGGGATTTTACGGTACATGTATTCTGAAGGGTATACAGTAACCCTTGTGAATAACAACAACTCACTCGTGAATAGCCACATCAACTTAATAAGACCTAGTGACCATTGCCATTGGGCTGCATGCCACAGCCTCACGAGGAATGATAACTCTCGAATAATGGCACGTTTCTTATGCATGATCAAGGCATTATTCACGAGGTTGGCTGTACTCCGCGGGTAGAACTTCAGTGATAAGAACGGTGGTCAAGACCCGAGCATAGATGGTGGGTGGTCAAATGGCCAGTTGAGTGGTCTTGGCAACGCTCTTATGTGTATACGCAGTGTCTTTTGCTCCCAAGTACCAGTGGTATGACCGTATGTGCGTACATGTAACACCCTTGGAAAGCATAGATATCTGATAATGATAATTACATTCCAACTCACCTCAGCCCATTTGCTTTCAACACGCTCCAGCTCGCTGCGATCTACAAGCTGCCCACCTTCCCTTTGCTCTTGGAGAGCTCTCTGAAGACGCTTGATCTCTTTCTCATACTTGGAAAGCAGAGCTTGATCGGTCATGTCCTGATTGACCATGGCATAATTCTTCACCTTCTTTGCCCTGTTTGCAAAGTTCAGAGTGTTGACTGATTCGGAGTACGACGATGATGCAGGTGTGATAGTCGTAATCAGAGTGGTTTTGCAGTTGCCACCTAACGAGTCCTGGAGCAACTGGGTTAGCTGAGAATCACGATACGGCACATGCTTGCGGCTCTGCGTTGTCAGAGCTAGGATGACCTTGCCGAAAGCGGACAGGGACGAATTGATATTCTTTGTCTCCTCGAGGCGCACGCCTGTCACACCAGTTGTCTTCAGGCGCTCTGAACCAGCCAAATCCACCAAATTCAGCTTCCCAATCGTAACCGAATTGCTGCCTTTCTTGGATGCATCCATGTGTGCTCGCTCCACAATGATACTGAAGACGGCATGACTGCGACTTGATGCTACATTCATGTTGGTCTGCGCTGTCGTTCTCATAGCACCACCCTGTACCAAGAGGTTGGCAACATCCGATGGTGTTCTTACCACGTGCTCACTTAGACCTTGCACAAATATGCCGCCAGCCGCGGTGCGACGAATCTTCAACGCCTTGTCAATGGCTGGACCTATGCTAGCGGCACCCTTGCGCTTGGTCGAATGGAGCAGATCTATGAGCTTTTCGTTGTAGATCTGAAGGAATGACACTCTAACCAAATAGCGACTGTGAGCATCGGCCTTGTTCTCGATATGACTGAAGATCTGATCGCTAGCACGGGGAATAATACCCTTCTGATCACCTTTACCTCCTTCCACGGTGTGAGTCTTGCCTGTACCTGTCTGTCCATAACAGATTATACTGCCATTGTAACCTTCCAGAATGCTATCCACTACCGGAGCCACACCGCTCGTGTACAGCTCCTCCTGACCCACTGATGGATCGTAGATTTTATCGAAGCTGAAGGAATGCTGGTTGGCAGTGGTGGCAGCTGCAGCTGATGTTGTGAAGCTGGTCGGTGCTTCGTCGTCATCTTCGTCCCAGCCAGAGGACGGTTGACGAATGGTGAGGCTTGTGTTCGAATCGAATGATACTGTGAGTCGCGTTCCTCTGTCCGACACCCTTTCTCGTTCGATCAAGGGCCGTACGCGGACAGCTACCTTGAAATTCTTGTTGCCAGAGCCTGGTTTGCCAGTGTCGAAGAGGCTTGCAACGGGCAGTTTGTCAGGGGGTGGCGCCTTCTTCAATGGTGCCAGTTGGCTAGCCGGGTTTCTGACGGGCACGTTGAGGATGGCCTCCAGATCTGGTTCTGGGCCACCACTGCCGATACCGACATCGCGGAGAGAGAGCGTCGATACGTCTAGTCCGTCACTCATACCGTCTCGCTTCGCCAGTTGCCCGCACACAGGTGTGCACAATCAGCTGCTGTGTAGCGGCAAATCACTGTTCAGTCACAAGAAGCAAAAGGCGGTTTTCCGCGCTGATCTCCGAAAACTGAACGCGGCCAGCGAAGCATACCGTTTTCCAGACACAACGAAGAGCTTTGTTAGACTTGAAGACCTTGTCCAGGGCTTGTGTTACCTCTCCAGCTCCGTCTCTCTAGACTGCACACTAACTTGAGATTGGATGCTTGAGCCTACATGCGCAGCTGCTGTTGAACTCTGACGTTACTGTAAAAAGTAAGTTAGTTGAGTGAAGAAGCAGGCCAGGCAACATTTCAAGTGCACATGGCGACACACTGTCATGATGCATGCACAACTTTTACTCCAGTCCGAGGCTGACATATCGACATGACCGGCGACGACAATACGTTTTGCGAGAGCTTCGGACCAAGATTGGCAAGAACTGCCAGGTAACTGGTTAGTGAGTCAGTCACCCGACCCACATCCGTACCAACGACTCCCAGCTCACTCTCTTGCCTAGCTTGGCAAGTACCGCTGTATCAGTGTATGTCATTGTCGGTATGTACCGACTCCGTGTACTGACAGTAAACCACACTGAGCACCTGGTCCCACACACATGATCTCTTCCAAGTCTTTGGCACAAGAATACCCACTACCTATCTTTATGACAGACAGAGTGAGACTCAGTGCATTTGTAAAATAATTTAATTGCAGATGTACCACTAGTTTGCGCACAGCGGCAGCCACTTGTACCGGTACTTGCAGATCTAGCGGCGGGGGTTGACCTTGGTTGACATCAGACCCTGTACAGATGTCCTGCAAATCAGAGACGACACCACAATACTCAATAGTAGATCTACAAAGTACAATGCCTCCATCGTCTGTGGTTTGAGGCCTCTGGCTAGCTTACAAGTTAGTAGTTCAGTAATTTTTGAACAATGCGTGGTCCTGGACCTGCACTGATCTTTCGTAAGTTTCATGGCCTTATAGCTGTAGCTATATAATTATAGCCTAGACAGGACCCAAACAATGTTATGTTGCTTGCTACATCCCTACTGAGTACTGTACTGGTTATCTCTTGCTTGAGCCTATGCCTGTGTACAGGGTGTATCACTGTATGTCCACACCGACTTGTTCAAGTATTAGTTGTTGGTTAAAACGAGTCCATGAGTCATCATGAACAGTACATTGTACTGTTGTCCATACATGTATACTGCATGCAAGTGTGGGTACCGGGTACAATCAGTTGAAAACAATAATTATTATTGTTAGCCTTTATACAACATGTAGATATAATAGTGTTACAGTCGTCCCTCTCTAATCCGGCACCTTTTGCAACGGCATTTTCTGCTGGATAAACAAGGGCGCTGGATTATCAAATCCTGCCCTCCAACCCGACCCACCTGTTAACATACATGTTTGTGTCGTACGTCAATAGGATATTCCCAAGTGTATGTTACAGGTGTTGTGTACAGGTATGTTACAATGCTCCCTGACAGTATGCGATGTACAACTGCTGGATTAGAAAATCGAAAATCCGTTTTGCCAGAAACTGTGCTGGTTGGCAAGGGTGCTGGATGAACAAGTGCCGGATTAGAGAGGGACGGCTGTATAATGCAGCTGCATGGCCGTAGCACCCAGACCAGCGGATCACCGGCTAGTCCTGCCGGACCCAATTTCGGAAAAAAAGTTGACCTGCCTATAAAGTGCAAAACGGGTTTTTCGTCAATAATGTTCATTTCTGGTGAATTATTCCATTTGGCCGGATCACCTGATATCCCCCCGCTGTGACGGCCTTCAGTGACTCACTGACTGCAGCACTAGTAACACAACAAGGTAACGTTATCATGGTTATGATGATGACAGCATAGCACAAGGCCAAGGACACGCATACCTGGCAAACTATCAAGCAAGGCTTACATTATGGGCGAATCGTTTTTACTCCAATCCAAATTAGCAACAGCAAGTGAGGAAGGTGAACAAAGTCGAAAGAGAAAGAAATAGAGATAGACACTTTAAAACGGTTCACTCAATAAAGTAAATTGGTAATGTCCTCTCAGCACCGCAGTTGGTCCTATTGATTGCTATAAATGAGGAAAGATTGCATTTTCAAAGCTCAAGGGCTCATCCTTTTCTGGATGAACTGTCGAGTCAAGTGCAATTTACGAATGTTCAATATCCTACAGCGACCAGCACTGAGAAGTACATTTTTACCATGCACCTAAGTTACATCCAACCGGAAACATGGAAAGGAAAACTCAACACTACATTGGATGGATCGGACAGCGTTACTGACTTGGGTTATTTTTAGTAGTTACAAGTAAGCACGTGGATCAGCACAAACTTAAAATCCCCGGATGGTCCAGAACCTTGTCAGCAGAATCAAATGGCAGCTATTCCGATACCAGTGTCATGTAGGATGACAGGATTTCTTCTCCAGCAGATATATCACGAGATGCAACGAGCCCGACAATTCTCACCCAAACTCTGCAAGCACAGCGCAGAGACACGGTATGCATTAGGCACATGGTGAGCAGCACTACTATTCCACTTCTGCAGCCCATTCATCAACACATGTTTACACCATATTCATAACCTAGTCTGCAACACGAATGTGTCGATTGATTGCAAGGCTTGCACAAGGCTCATCACAGTTGTTGTTCTAGAACATATTCACTCCATCGACAAGTTAACTTTAAAAAGTTAACTTGTCGATGGAGTGAATATGCTCGTGAAAGCTGCAGTTGTGGACATTGAAAAAAGGTCGAGTCATGGTGAAGAGTGTTTAGTACAAGTCCTTAAAAATTTTAAGCTGTTGATGTGTACCAGGTGCACACACAATGGCCAGCGATATTATTTCTTTCAGGCATATCCGGCTAGGCAGAATTGCACACAACATGACAAGAACGTGCAAATCTTACCTTGTCATGTCCGTCTCTTCACCAGGTGAACAGCATAGTGGCTCGTAATTGAGGTTTGGAATGTAGCGGCGGTGCGCCGGAGGAAATTTCACGAGCAAGTCAGCCTCTTCGTATGACACATTTGCTGGGTTATCTGGAACCGGTCACAAGAGAAAAGAGGATATAGATGACTTGAAAATAACGCATCAGAGATACTTTGAAGCGACTGGCACCATAGCTGCTTTCCTTTGAAGCACTTAAAGAAGTGTTTGTACTTAGAAGTAGACCCGAACCATATGGACCCAATTTGAAGAAGCAGCCAAGAAGACACTACATGTACTCCGTGTAGTGGTATAAACGTATCACTCTCTCACCTTTAGTTCCGTTATTCACAATTTGCCCTATAGACAGGGGATTAATGGTGTATGCTGTCAGCCAACTACTGTCTGCAAGAAAATCAGGGCCTAATCGATCACGATGCCAGCATGATCTGTAGTTGTAGAAAAAGAAGAACACCGTGTCTTGATCCAAGAAAGCTGTGGTATATCATTAGAGAGATCGAACACCATCCTATTGGTAGGACCCAAGAAATTGCTAAGCAAAAGTGCTCTCGGTTGGGAATTTTCCCCAAAAAAATTGTTGGGATGAGGTTTTTGTAAGGCAAAGTAATGGTGCAAAATGCAAGACTACCGGTATGTCCAGTGCACTGCATATGTGGAATTGTTAACAATCATCAAAATGGCTGCCCATGCTCCGGTAGCCGCACTAGCAACTACGTCCCAGGTGAATTTTGGCCATGGCATATCGATCATGATGAGGACATAAGGTCTTTCTCAGCTTGCCATGACAGTGGAGGGTGCAAAATTCCACGCTCCACTTTTGCTGTCGCCATGGGCTGTTGCCATGGAATTTCATAATAATGTCTTATACAATCACCTCCAAAATTTGTGTGCAGTACTGGATAGAGAGTACCGGCAGTTGCACACTCTCGGGGTGATGAACTCTTGATCGCACCAATTGAGTATACTTCAAGAAGTAATACCATAATGTTCTTGTCGAAGAGGGTGAGTTGAAAGGGAATAACCAACGCGTTCTTACCTAAAAATGGATGTCGAGAGGCGAGACAGGCTTCCATCCACTAGTACACCATCGACACAACGCAGGATGAAAGGATTCCCGAGGGATTGGAAGAAAATCGGTTGAAAGGACTGATAAACCGTTCCTAATACACAGCACGACAGCCAGGCCGGTGAGCGGTGGAGCCAATTTCCGCCGATGAAAGTGAAATGTGAACAAACAATGACTTTCATGTACAGCAGGGCCTGCTGGAGAGCCGGGTCAGCCGGGTCACGCGCCCGGCTGGGGAACTGCACAACCTGGCTGAACAGATAACACCGGGTCCAGTCTGACCTGGCTGAAAAATGTCTCAAACTGACAATGGATTCCTAAAATACCGGTATTTTACGACTCGCGGACCCCATCTGTTGCAAATCTAGCGCAATCGTAGTCAGTCCACGGCCACAAGCGACAGAAACTCGGCTACAGTGTAGGGTCAACTGGGGTCAACTGGTTCGAGCGCGATCTCGCCAGCGGCGAGCAGGAAGTCAGGACATTCAAAGTCGATGGGGGCAGGCAGTCAAAAGCGGCGCGAAGAGAAAAAGAACTCACGCTTTGTCGTTTACCTTCTACGTTTGCGGACTTTGATAGTTCGCCTTGTTCTCTAAAATTTCCGATTTCCGGTAATAAATTCGCCTTTCTGTTTTCCTGCGTTTTGAGCAGGCTTTTTGGTTGTTTTTCTGCCGGATGATCTGACCCGGCTTGACCCGGCTGGCCTGCATGCGCCAGGTACACTTTGACCGGGCTGTGTTGAATGTCTAGAGCAGGCCCTGGTACAGGTAGAATAGCGGTCGTGTGGTTTAGTGCCACCCTGTACTTTGAAGGCAACACGAGCAAATTCCCATATTAAGCTAACACAAGCACCGGATGAACATGCCAACAAATCCTGGGCAAGGTACAGCACTTAGAGGCAACCTCAACGCACAACATACCTGGGTACATAGCAACTAGCTGGCCTTTGCGAATGATACCATCATTCAGGAACACTCCGCGGCCAGCGTTCGCTAACGAGCTCTGTCGAACGGCCAACGCAAAGCCGCGACAAAATTGAATCACTGGTCGTGACCGATGGTAGAGAGCACAGCCTGGGCCATATTTTCCATGGCCTGACATGCGATGTCGGCAGCCAGAATCGCCGCATTGGTTAGGACACTGATGGTAACTGTCTTTCTCAATCTTCTCCAGCATAGAGCACACAGTTGATACTTCGTCAACGATGCTGGACGCAATGACTAAGCGCTCATCTACGGACTGATTGGTCCGCCTGACGGCTCTGGGGGCAATAAAACATGATAGCCAACCAGTCTTCAGGATAACAGAAGGAAGACCTTTACACTAGTATTGGCAGCATTGGCAGAGGACAAGCGCTAAGCCAGTGACAGTGAGGTAACTCTACCGTCATGTATAGTGCTGCTCAATGAAATCTGATCAAGCGAGTCTCTGCCACGCTGGGAGCTGTGCAGCCCTAGCCTAGTGGCCTGCGAACACTGGAAGGTTCTGCTGGTGCAGGGCGCAACTCAAGCTCACGCGGTCGGATTTCATTGAGCAGCACTGTACATTGTGAACTGATGTGTACCCGTTGTGTTTGCATTTATCCACAAGCTTCTGTAGGAGTTGCAATGACGATTCAAACTCAAAGAGACCAAGTTCCTCTGGCTTCGCAGAGTGAAGATGATCGAAGGATATTTACGAAGGAGAGTGGTGCATGGTGAAACGGTGCTGAAATATGTGTTTTTTTTTACTTTGTTATAACTTCACAAAATCCAAACGGGAATTTATTCCCAACAACAAGGTAGCAAAGAGGGTGTGTGTGGGTGGGTGTGTGTATGGGGGGGGGGGGGGGGGGGGGGGGGAGGACTGGCATAGCAGAACAGTGTACATAGCCTAGTTGGGCACAACTTGCAACTGGGTCTTACTGAGATGTCCAGTTTGCAAGCAGCCATGGAACAAAGCGGTGTCGATAGCTCCTCCATGACATCACTCCCCGCTAATAAGACACATCAGCACTATCCACGCAGCCGCTAGCAACTAGTGAATTGGCTGAGGACATCAACAAAAAAGGAAAGGACGAAACAACCATGGCAAACACTGTACTTACTCGAGTAGACGCCCCTCTTGAATAATAGCCCCCTTGCAATGACTGTTTAAAATGAATAGAAGCCCCTCTCGAATAGAAAGGAGGACTGCTATTCGCGGAGCATGGGGTGACCAGGCAGTGCCATGTTCGGTAAGATCAAGTGCGTCCAAAATATCACATGTATGTGCATGCATACCGGTACATGCATGTATCCAGGTCGATGCAGTGCATGTGAACTAACCCAAGGTCGAGTGGCATAGCAAATTAAAAGTTTAGGGATTTGATTGGAATACCGGTATGTATCGAAACAAAGGCCCTCTCGAACAGAAGCCCCTCTTAAATAGAAGCCTCCTCAAAATTGGCATTGGATTCGAGTGAGTATGGCAGGAGTACATGTACATGACTCAGTGACATGTGTACAGTGTGCATATGCATTCGTGACTAATGATATTCTGTGGAATGAAAGGGTCTCCCGCGCACAAAATGCTGGTAGGTTGTGGAAGATGTGAATGTCGCCCCAGCAGATGACATTTTGAGCGGCTAAGTCACGTTTAGAGAATGGCGGACGTCTCTATTCCAAGGGTGTTTTACCTAGTACAAGGCCTGAGCATTGGGGCAACAACAACAACAAAAAAGATAGCGAGACTGTGTCTATGCCGACTGCAAAACACTCCACAATAATTCACGGTGGAGTGTTTTGCTGTCGGCATAGACACAGTCTCGCTATCTCCATAGGTGCGTTCCATCAATTATTGATGGAACGCACCTATGGCATTCTGCTTAGAATGACAAGAGACCTATCGCAGCCTACCCGCCAAACACAAGTCAGTCAAGAACACACCTGCTACGCGCTCCGCCTGACTTACATCCTAGTGTCCATTCACCTGCCTTGGCAACAGAACATGGCACAAGCGTAAACAACAGTAATCTGCATGTGAGCCAGGCAGCAGCTACTAACGTTACTAGCAACAATGCTAAGCTAAAGTCCCTGACAGCGTGACTGTCATGACCGATGGTCATGCCCTTCACCATGGCTACGCTGCCCAGGAGGGGCCTAAACAAGGCTACTAACTTAATACTAGTACATGACTATTCACTCCACATGTAGTCATGTACTCGCCGCAGTACCAGTGCACTCCACATGCAGTCATGTACTCGCCGCAGTACCAGTGCACTCCACATGCAGCCATGTACTCGCCGCAGTACCAGTGCACTCCACATGCAGTCATGTACTCGCCGCAGTACCAGTGCACTCCACATGCAGCCATGTACTCGCCGCAGTACCAGTGCACTCCACATGCAGTCATGTACTCGCCGCAGTACCAGTGCAGCTGCACGCGCACACTACAATGTAGTAAGCGATCAACACATGAGCAGTCTTACACTGTCTGTGGCTGTATGCGGCTCTCAGCTCTCTCGCTCCGCACATACCAGCCGGTCTGCGTTACATGTATGGTCCAATAGCTAGCAGTCAAACGATCCCGCATGGCCATCATGGACACACACACACGTGCACGAGCACACACACACGTGCACGAGCACACACACAGATACGCAAAAGCGCTGTGGGCCCTGGTTAGCGCCAGACGCTACTTGTGACATCTTATGCATATGAGCAAGAGTACATAACCCCCCAGAGTGTGCAACGCCGATCCAGCTCTGTGTAGGGTCTTGGTCGAGCGGAATCGGATCTTCTGATGTCATGCGTACACTTCACACCAGCGCAAGGCCGGTCTCGAGGCAGGGCACCATTGTTTTTGATCCAAGAGTACCCGCGAGTCCCCGGGTTCCCCTCAGATGTGTACGGTATTATGACGCAAAGATCCGATTCCGCTCGACCAAGACCCTATGCAGAGCTGGATCAGGCGTTGCACACTCTAGGGGGTTATGTACTCTTGATATGAGATAGCGGTAGTGATTTCGGCGATAATTTTGTAGGACTGGTGTGGGGTGCGGGCAGCTGGGAGCGGACATCTGTCTTATGCATCATATTCTGGCAACTTTTCTCATGCCGGCATGCACATGTACCTATAAATAATAATTTCAAATGATTGGACACTAGAATAAGTTATACTAGTACTTCGAAGTATCAGCTACGCACACATCGAATAACTGATTTTATGTCACGGTCGTGGAAATGGGCCTAACAATTAATTGTGTTTTCTAGATTGCAGTATTTTACTTACTTTTTACTATGCGTGCAGGAGCTTGCTGAAGCTGTTCTAAATAGTACTGTCATCCCAAGCCGAGGGTTACCATGGTGTACTGTGGCCTACGGAGCAATTAGAGTGTATGTCCAAAGCAGGGAGTACGACTAGTACGAGTACACTGTGGTTCAAAGTATCTCGGTTGTGCTAGCGTTGCGATGTAGCAACGCTGAGTACAATAGCCAATATCAACGACAAGCATGAATGACTGCTATAACACAGCAAACTGTACTTTTCTTGTTCCCTACAAACATCACCGGGCCTTGGACTAACTAGCTGTGCCTGGTATACGAAAAAGTGCGAGCTCTAAATACTAATACCGGTAGACTAGCAATAGTGCCAGTGGTGAGTTCCGGTAGTACAGTGGTGAGAGATTTTTTCTTCAGACTTTTCACGTTTGCAGTGCTGCCAAAATATTTTCGCCCAAAACCGGACACCCTTTTTTACCGCTAGCGATACACCATGATACACCGCCCATGCATGATCCACTGTGTGTCGTCTCGTATACCTCGAGTACGAGTACGTAGAGCTCCTAGATCCTGCATTCAGCGTGGGCAGCTAGCTCCGCCGTTGCTATAGCGCCTACACAAAATTAATCATGACAGTCATAACGATTAGTAAATCGCTCAGCCAGCTCAGGTCATCATGGTCATTCAGATCAGACTCATCACATCACGATCGCATATCGAGCTCATGCATAGTCGTAGCAAGAGTGGTTTAATATGTACTCTTGATAGTAGTCTACGTAATGATCTGATGTGTAGCTAGCTCAGCCTACAAGTACAACTGCCCACGCGTAGATCTACGCTGAATCATCTCCACCAGGGAGTCGTATTTTACGACTCCCTGATCTCCACATAATTATAGTCATTTCATGTTTTTGCTGTATTAAAAAAGTCGACAAAACAACACATTTTTCTTCAAAATGTGAGCAAGTGACAATAGCTCATGCTCAGGAGGATCATCGTTTGCTCGCTTTTTGACTCTCAACCAGCTTCTCATTCCGCCAGACCAATGGTTGCTGTAGGTGCTCACACTCGATTCTAAGATCAGGCGAACGGGCTAGCTGCCAGATTCTCAAACCGTAAGGGACAGATGCAAGTAAACTGTCAGGTATTCGCTGTAACTTCTCAGCAGTCATCCCTACAAAATTTTCTTCTCTTTTCATTTTCAATCAACTAAGTTACTTCCGCATCATCCACCCACCTAGAGAATCTGGGCTGTTACTTTCAAGTCCTACCCTGCTAAATTCTAGCAGTGTCGTTACTTGCTGTTCATACATGCACAACCGTCTTTCAGGAACCTACCAATACATCTCCAGGAAACGCATAAAAATGTTTGTGTCACAGCCACAACCCGTTTAGACCTAACTATAGGCGCCTTGTTGCTTCTCACAGGAGTGACAGGGCTACACGGCATCTATGGAGGCTACTCTTGTATCGCGTGGTGACTTTCGAGGACACCTGGAAGATCGATTCACCGAACGCTGTCCAGACTATGCTGAGGTGAGAATTGTGTAATTTTCCATGCATTCCAGTACAAAATGTCACTCTCACTGGCTGTGGATAGTATAGTTGGTGAATGTTACAGGTATTCTAAAATCAATCTACATGACGGTACATAGTATGGCAAGTCGAATTTTATTTTGTGTACAGTAAGTAGACATGCATTACACTGTATATACTGTATATACTGTATAGTGTAAGACGGCATAACGGTATACGGTAATTGTTCCTATGGATAAAACAAGAATACCAGAACCCGCCTTTGAAAGAGCCTTGTTTGACTGGCCACTTGGCAGTTGCATTATAGAGGAGTCCTTCAGACAATATTCAGGCTCTATGTACAGTTACATGTCGTAAGTGTCCAGTGGTCAGTCATCCGGCACGTCGCCGGTTACCAACAGCGCACTGACAGCTCATATACTGTATACTTTCAGTACTGCTTCAAGTAATTGTGGACAGTGAGCATCATGAACGTTGTTGTTGTGTAACATCACGTACAAGTTATGTAGATTTGGAGCACGACAACTACTCCAGCATGATACTAGTAAGAGAGCATCAAACAAATACATGTAAGATCATGCTCTACAGTGCATTTGATGCGTGAACAGTCAACACAAGATGTTGCTGCAGTTATCAGAATACCCATTTATCCAACAGCGTCCAGTTCTGAGGGTGCTGGATAACTGACACACAATGACACTCCTGTGAGTCCGCACCTCCCAGTTTTATTGAGAACTAGCATACTTGACTTGGCCTTGTCAAGGACAGCAGTTGCCCTGAGGCGAGTTCTAGCTAGCGTGTTGCCGTTACATGCATACTGAATGATAGCCGGAAAAACACACTTGCACACACACTTGCATGCACGCACACACACACACACACAGAACAGAACAGGTTTACTCGTATGTCACATGACCACCAACTTAGAAACAAACAGCTGGAGCATACAACGCTGAGCATTCAATGCGCACAAAACGCTGTATGTCCATCGCACCCTGATTGCTCCAGTGTGATGGCTGTAATCAAGAGTACATGAAAACCAGAGTGTGCAGCTTGGGGCCTTTTCTGCTATGGGTGTCTGTCACGGCGAAATTCCGTGATTACATCATATTTGGCCCAGATCTGAGGCGGGAAGTGGCGTAGTGCGTACAACTGAGCTGCAGTTGTGCAGAAAGAGACCTGCTTGAATCCTGCTTGTACGCACTACATCACTAAAATGATGTAATCACGGAATTTCGCCGTGACAGCAACCCATCCGAGCTGCACACTCTGGTTTTCATGTACTCTTGCTGTAATTCACAAGACTTCACCATGGAAAATGTCACAGTACTTTTTGGCCATTTCACCACCACTGTGACTGTATTGTTGCTGACTCAAACTTTGCTGTAGTAATGTGTACATGATTATAAATTGTCACTGGTGTACTTGCCATAAAGTAACTCAACTTACTTTATGGTTGATAAATATGATGGTAAAGACACACCTGGCAATATGGCGGTAAACACACGCCTGCCCACACACGCTCTCTGTTGTAGTTGTATCAGTGATGGTGATCACCACTATTGTACTTCAAGGATTGCCAGTGGAACTATTTTTGGTTTTGCCCGTGCAAGAGGCTTTTTGGGATACTCCATCAAAGTCTGTGAGTTGTAGTCTGTGAGTTGTAGTCTGTGAGTTGTAGTCTGTGAGTTGTAGTCTGTGAGTTGTAGTCTGTGAGTTGTAGTCTGTGAGTTGTAGTCTGTGAGTTGTAGTCTGTGAGTTGTAGTCTGTGAGTTGTAGTCTGTGAGTTGTAGTCTGTGAGTTGTAGGCGGTGTTTACATGAGGCGTTTCAACCCGGGTTGAGTTCGACCCGGGTCAGATTTCAACCCGCCATGTGCACAAAATGAATGGCGCGTTTACATGACGCATTGCGCTTGACCCGGGTTGAAATTTCGCCCCGGGTTGATTTCAACCCTCCCCCCAAGGGGAGGGTTGAAATCAACCCGGGTCAAGAAAATCGTACAAACGTACTTCTGTGCGTATCTCGCGCCAGGTTTGAACAGTACTGCAGATGCAAATTTCGCGCGAACGGATTCACGTGACCATACAGGACTGTAGAAGTGGACTTTTGGCGGCATGTCAGTATTTGACCCGGGTCAACTGTCTTCATGTAAACGCTCACCTCTTTTGTCTGTCGTACAGACTTTCAACCCGGGCTGAACTCGACCCGGGTTGAAATTTCTCATGTAAACACAGACGTATTCTGTGAGTTGTAGTCTGTGAGTTGTAGTTTGTGCCGTTCTTCTTTTAATGTGCTACGATCTTCGGGTACTGTAAAACCGGAAAGTTTAACGACCAAAAAGTTTAACGTTTTTGTAATTTTGGCATGATAACGTGCCGAAAGATTAGTGATGGCTACCTGGCCACCCAGAACATGCATCGATGTATGCGCATCTTTACCCAGACATCTTGAACCGGGTTTGGGATAACGTTTCTTCAAATAACGAAAAAGAATTGGTCGTTAAAACGTTAGACTTTCCGGTTTTACAGTACTTGGTGAAATCCTAGCCTGTTCTGTGCCCACTAGTACTGTGCAGGCTAAACACTGTACACTGTACACCAGCCAGTCTACTAGCCACTCATCACTAATAACTACTGCAGTGCTCAGTACTATTCCTCCAGGACTTGGCTACATGCATGTGCCTACTAGACCTGGTACATACCGTAAAGTCGCGGGTAAAAGCCGGGCTTATAAGCATAAAAGCCGGACTTATAAGCATATAAGCCGCTTTCTGCATCAGGCTTTAATGCAAACCATGCTTATATGCACCACTGATATTTTTGCCAGGCTTCTACGCGCGACACGCGTAGATCTACCACTGACTACCGGTAAGGCGGCAGTTTTACTATGCACCGTACATAGCGCATGCACTCTTGACCTACCCGATCCGCGCTTGCATAGAAGCCAGGCTTATATGCATTTGACCCGTTTGATTTTCAGGCTTCTATCCGCGATGTGCTTGTATGCAAACCCGGCTTTTATCCGCGACTTTACGGTATACATTGCGGACTTGTATGATGAGCGAGAAAAAAACACACCAGCCCCCACTCCGTGTCGCTTCCTAGCTGGTGTTTCAACTGGGTCAGATCTACAATAATAGAGGCTGTTAAGCACAGTACATGTTCAATGAGAAAGGTCACACTTGCTGTGCCGGATTGTGCGGAGTTCCATCCACAGGAACACCTGCACTGGCATGCACGTGTTGGTTCAATGGCGTATTTTATTGTACACGCTGAAGTCACTTCACAGGTAGAAAAATGACAGTGGCTGGGCCGATGGTACTTTACAGTGCATTAGTTATTTATGGTGAATTGCGTTACTCTACATTGTAATGAGATTATAGTCCGCCCTTTAGGCCTTTGTCTGCCCTTCACCTGCTCCGTAATGATTTCATTCGATTTTGTAAGTTGCAGGCGAGTGCAAAGCCAGCATACCTACAGTCCATTCATTGGAAACTGGCACCCTAACTTGTTGGTGTCTCCCGCACATAGTTGTAGATATCATGAAAACAACGTTTAATACATTCTGCATTGTGTGACCCGTGCAATTACTCCTTGCCACATTTCAGGCCACAAAAGTCCAAGAACAGGGAAATAGAAATTCAGCCAGGTTTTGCAAAATTAGGACAGGTATGCCCTGGAAAAATGTATGGAGAAGCAGATCCAAAACCCAGCATTTTGAGATTAAAGTGGATTTTTGATCCTCAATTCGGCCCGAATCCGACTTTAAAAAGCCAGCGGGACTGTTTCCGATGAATGGACTGTAGCAATGTACTGTGAAAGTGGGCATGAAATCTTTAGGTATGAAGTAGGTATAAACAGTCCTTTTTGGATGTATTTTTTGCCCTTTGCAGGTTGGTGAGAAAGTTTTTGAGCGACCTGTTATAGTCCCCTGGCCTCCAGCGGATCTATCCCACCGTCACTCCGGGCACAACCACCATGGTTCAGCCAGTGGTGATGGCAACGCTGGTGCCTTTGACCGTCGTACGCAAGATACATGGTATCGCCGTGACAACAAGTCTCGCTATGATGATCGAAGCTCGGCTAGTAACAGCGGCAGCGGCAGCAATTATCAGAATCGCCGCTATCGCCGTGAGCCATACCGTGATCTGGATGATGTGCGGGAACAGAAAACAAAGTATGAAGAACGGCAAGATGAAGCTGAAGATGTGGCCAACTTCTTGGATAACTACCGTCGCACTATGATGGAGGCCAAGGACCATGAGAAAAAATCTACTGAACCGTCGGGCAAATCTCCAGGAACATCCAAATCTAGTCTAGCTGACACTGGAGCAGCGTCAGCACTGGCTTCTCGGCAGCCTAGTGCTGCTGTTCCTGGTACCTCATCCAAACCGGGCCATTACAACCTTCTTCAGCATGTCTTAGGATCTTCGTCACGGCCCACTAAAACTGCTGAACCTGCCCTAAATGATGCTGCCTTGGCCCCTTACCGGATAAAGCCCGGTGCGAAATCTCCCACTTCTGAAGAGCGGGAGGTTGGCACAAAACACCACCCGCTTCCCCATCAAATACCAGGAGCGTTGGGTAAGAAGCGTGTTCAGCGTGCTGCACAGCTGGCTGCTCGCAATGGTTCTGAGGGATCGGAAAAAGGCGGGCAGAAAAAGGTGAGCGCTGCTGCAGTTGAACGCTCGCGGAAAGCTATCAGGGATGCTGTCCAAGCGGCTGGCGGGAAAGCAGCGGCTGGGTCTGGCACTGCTAGCTTAGCCAAGCATATTAGCGGTGTATCCTCACCACAGAAAACACCTCGCAGTCATGGTACGGTTAGTCCTGTCAAGGCCAGTCCCAAGGCCAGTCCTGTCAGCTCTCGTAGAGCATCGGCTTCGTCTCCGCACAAGGTGTCCTCGCCGGGTCAGAATTCTCCCGGCCAGCTGAGATCAGAGTTGATGATAGATGAGTCCAGGATTGTGCTGCGCGTCGCCGGTATGAGTTCTCCTGCGAAGATATCCCCTACTGTAACGCGGTCACCTCCAGAAATGGAGACTGTCCCTCCTCCTGTTATTACTTCAGAGCCACCACTGAAACTCAGCATTCGTCTTCCACCTCCACCGCCTGAGTTTGGCAATGACACCAACAGTGCTTCAGAAAAGGTCAAGAAACACCACAAGAAACACAAGAAGCACAAGCGCCACCATGATTCGTTGGAGATGGCACCAGCCGGGAAGAAAGCCAAGCTTCACTAGCTGTACTGTATGGTGTCGCCTTGCCAGGCATGTTACCTGCACTACCTCACCTTACTGATGATTTACTCAGGGTCTTTGTGTGTGTGTGTGTGTGTGTGTGTGTGTGTGTGTGTGTGTGTGTGTGTGTGTGTGTGTGTGTGTGTGTGTTTGCCAGTGTTGTTGTCAGTTCGTGTTTTCTCTAGTGTTGTTTTCTGTGCTAGACAAAGCCTCATTTTTCATGTCTTTAACGTTATTTACTTCGTGCTGAATTTATCATGCTTTTTATTCTTACGCTGATTGAAGAAACTTAACCTCCGAAATACCCTGACTATAAGTTTGTTGGAGCTGATATAGCTCACAATCGTCTTGTCTCATGAAATCTAGCAAAGCTTAGCTCTCACGCCCACGAAAAACATGCTGATATTTAAGCCTCAGAGTGCCACTCTGTCTTCATAGTTCTGATTGCATATCTCTGTTTTATTTCCATCATTCTCCTACCAACAGTTCGATTGGTTGTGTTCGATCTTTAGAACTGACTTTGCCCCTGTGCAGTGTGGATTGTCCTACTGCTGCTGCCACTGGCTGGGCACAGGGTGTTGTAATCCGGGTGGTTTATCCACTTGAAAGGGTCTGTGCAAGGGCTTCACCAAATCGCTGTTCAGTGTGTTTCCACTATGGATTTCGACCGTCATGTTTGTGCTACGCACTCGCGATTTGTTCGCCGATCTCTTTGCAACCTAAGTGATATCGTTCACTGAAGATGCTTTGAGGTGATGTCACATACGCAGGTGATGCATTCGTTTATTTACTACTTGTAAGACCACATGCCATGCACGTAAAACACAAGTGGCTATGGATTTCGATCGTTATGTTTGTGCTACACACTCGCGATTTGTTCGCTGATCTCACTGGCTGCGTTCGATTATGCACTTGAATCGATTCATGCATCAATTCAAGTCGTTCGATTTTCACGTCGTGAGCCCTGGAATCGATTCGGAATCCATTCACCCTAGTCACATGGGGTGATGGGAATAGCGCGAATCGATTCATGAATGGATTCGCGTGCATAATCGAACGCACTCACTGCAACCGAAGTGATATCGTTCACTGAAGGTGCTTTGAGGTAGTGTCACATACACAGGTGATGCACTTGTTTATTTACTACTTGTAGGACCACATGCCGTGCACGTAAAATGCAAGTCATGTACCGATGCGTGTATCCAGCCAAAGTTTAGTGCTGCTCAACAATCGTGAGTTGCACAAGCCGCTGTGAGCAGGTCCAACACTGGGCTGTACTGATGCAGGGTGCATGCTTATCGGCGAAATTGGATTTCATTGAGGGTGCACATGTGAATAAACTACAATGAATAGTAGTAAACACATCGGGCATCTAACTTTAGAGTAGTTTTTATGCTTTGGAGCCAATGGATCATGAAAGAGAATACATTCTGAGTTCAGGTAGAAGTATGAAACTGAAACACTGGAACAAATAACCGGTTTGCAGGCATGGACAAGAAGTGCCCTCAAGACCAGTACATTAATTAAAAAACCCACACAAACTGTGGAATCGAGCATCCATCAATGGCTCAAGAAAAGGAAAAAGAGCAGCCTGCGAAAGAAAGAAAAAATGCTTGTTTCAAGACAAACTCTACCTGGAACCAAGCCGGGTTAGTGTGCATGCAACTCCATGTGATATGCTGGCAGTGCACATGCATGGAGAGAATAGCTGTACCAAAATCACGAGGATTATTGATTTTTAAATTAAAAAAGAAGAAGAAGAAGAAGAAGAAGAAGAAGAAGAAGAAGAAGAAGAAGAAGAAGAAGAAGAAGAAGAAGAAGAAGAAGAAGCAGTAGTTGATTTAGTGTCCACAAGGGAAGGAGCATCAACAATGAGATTATTAGACCTATGCAAGGAAAACGCATGTACCGTTACATGTATAATTATGCTGACCCTGGTTGAGATGATCATGCACAGCACAACACATAGTGGGAAAACAGAGCTGTAGGGATTTTTGAATGAGATGCAGAGATGTGGATTACTGGTGCTCAACAGACAGCATTTCGAACCACTGCCTCATGGCGCTGCCCAGAACGTCAGCCAGTGAGTTGATATCCCGCAAGACAACGTAGAACGGGAAGGGGAAGTCCTCCATGTAACCCGTCACAACAGGCTGAACAAGAGCAAACAATGTAGACAGAGGTGAGCCAATAGATAGAACTACAGTAAGAACAACAGCGGGTTCGGCGACAACAACGACAAGGTGCTACGAGCTGGTAAATAACTAAAACAAGGCGATCAAAAGTAAGTCTTTTCCCTGTTTCAACTCCAATAGAGCTGTCATCAATTTCTTCGTGCAACTATGGCACACATAAACATGACGACAACAGTTCAGTCAGGTGCTGAAGAACGGGTTCAGTCAGGTGCTGAAGAACGGGTTCAGTCAGGTGCTGAAGAACGGGTTCAGTCAGGTGCTGAAGAACGGGTTCAGTCAGGTGCTGAAGAACGGGTTCAGTCAGGTGCTGAAGAACGGGTTCAGTCAGGTGCTGAAGAACGGGTTCAGTCAGGTGCTGAAGAACGGGTTCAGTCAGGTGCTGAAGAACGGGTTCAGTCAGGTGCTGAAGAACTGGATCAGAATCGTAACCTTGCCTGCTCTTATTGTTCATGTAGAATTGAGCCACCATGTTCATAATTATGGTGTCCCGTATCTGATAAAAGTCTAGCCTGTTTGTTCTTCGACGCATCCTTCTCCGGCACCTATTGATGTGACTACATGCAATGGACTGCAGTTTTTGTCTGGTCTCTGGAGGTTATCTACCGTCAGCATTCAATGTGTGCCACAGTAACCATACCAACGACACCATCGCAGCTTGAATACATGATGAGTTATCGCAATAGCATTGCTGAAAGGAACGTTTTGGTCAACTCTGAGAAAAGGTGTCAGGTCGTTGAATGTCTCAGTACTCCTTGTCAGTTTTGTGCCCTGTTGTTGCACTCGCTGACTGTGTATTATCTGGTTACTTTGGTGGACAGCTAGTCATAACTTGTAACGTATTTTTCTTCCTCTTTTTATCCACCATACGGAGAAGTTGGTGGTATATTTGTGATGCCCATTGCATGCCTACCTTGGAGCCTTGAGCAAAGTTGAGTTGCTTGATATCCATGACAGAATCCTGCAGCAGGTGAATGATAGGAAGCGATGTCAGAAACTCAGCACCATTACTGAGCACCATGGCAGGTTAAACTCACTACTAATACATGTACACCAATTTCTAGCACCGATGGAAAAGCAAGAGACCGGTGATGGCACAGAGGAATTACACGCGCGGCGAGTGGCCGCAGCATTGATGTCACTATCTCTCTGTAACTATAGAAAAGGAGCGTTCCATCAACATCTTGCCGCATAGCAGAATGCAATGTACTGACCTTGTTCCCGACATTGTCTAACACGACAAATACAGCGAATATGCCATGTTGGATCAGCGTACGTACAGCTCGCTTCACGGCCTATAGACAGAGAAATACACACAAAAGACCCAGCTCAACACCTAGAAGTTATCTATTGGTACAATATAACTTGATAGCACCGGGGATTGATTAGATTCCAGACTTCATCTCCATACAATAGAATGATGGTGTTGTCAGTCTTTCAGTTTAAATTACAAATATGAAGCTGTCACCTGTGTGGTGGGTACGCGTTTTTGAGCTCCAGTTCTTGAAACCTTTTGGACAGCCCAGCCGGCATTAGGCCGGACTGGAGGTAAGTAGGTAGGTTGTAGCAGTAGTAGTAGTAGTGGCAGCAGTTGCAGTAGTGTAGTTAGGTAGCTAGGTTGTGCACAACGAGAATCTTTGCGCCATGGGTGAGCTCTCAAGTGCGGAGCAGGTGAAGCTACTTTGTAGCATTCCCGGAATACATCACAACGTGGTCAGCCTTGTAGATACTTTGAATGCTTTCGTCAGTGAGGCCAGAAACAACGAAGTACGCCTCCAGCGGAGAGTAGACGAGCTCGCCGGCCTGGTCTTGGATTTAAGGCAAGAAATGAAGTCGTTGAAGGAGTCCGCCATTATGGCAGTCAAGCAACCATTTTCAAAAAGCGAGCTGGGCAAGGAGATCAAGAGTGCAGGTAGTAGTAGTACTACGAGTAAGAGTACCCGTACCAGTAGTCCTGGACAGTCAAAGCCACGCGCAAGTGACAGTGCAAAACTGCCAAACCAGCAGGTAAAACACGTGGGAACCCACACTGAACCCCGTACCCGTAGCGCCGCCACACCCTGGCACGCAACCAAGACAGTGCCCTCTGGGGACACAGAAATGGAGTATTCTGAGTCTGATGCAGGGGATACTGGACTCCTGCCTGTCAGTGTCAAGCCCGTTTTCGGTGCTACTGCTGCCAACGCTGGGCCTAACCAGGACACCCTACCGGCCGCTGCAGGTAGTGTTGAACCTGAAACTGGCAACACAGAGCGAGAGGAAGTGGATGCCATAAATGACGACAGCTGGCAGCTGGTCGCTGCAGCCCCACCAAGACGCCGGAGAGCAGTAGTGTTTGTTGGCAACCTTAGCAGCACCTGCACAATGGAGGGTCTCACGGAGTTTGTGCACCGCCGGTCTGTAGCAGCCACAGGGAACATCATAGACGTCCACTCATGCAATGTACACACGGCAGCTAGCGGCAAAGTATCCGCCAGGGTCACCATCGATGCAGCTTGCCTGGCCACTGTGACCTCTGCCAACTTCTGGCCTCGGCCTCTCTACTGCAGGACATGGAAATTCAATCCACCCAAGAAGAGCAGCGGCAACGACAAGGCCCACAGCAGCAGTGATGGTGGCAGTGGCGACGGCAACGACAATGCCCACAGCAGCAGTGACGGTGGCAGTGGCGACGACAGCAGCGGAAACGACTGTGGCAGTGGCGGCAGCAACAGCAGTGACGGTGGCAGTGGCGACGGCAACGACAATGCCGACAGCAGCAGGGACGATGGCAGTGGCGACGACAGCAGCGGAAACGACTGTGGCAGGAGCGGCAGCAGCAGCCGCCGCAATAGCAGCAGCGACAGTTCTCCCAAACCCGGCGCCGAGTTAACTCGGACCCCTGGGCAGAAGTCACGACCCCACCAGCGTGGTTCTCCCGCTGAAGACCAAGCTGCAAAGCGCGTGGCTCCAGTCAGCAAACAGTGATGTCTGCTGCCAGCCATATACCCCTGCTAAACCCCAATGCTACCCTTCCAGCCTCGAAGGTCCCGGGGCTCCCAAAGAACAACCAACTGCAACAACCTCAAACTGTTCGTCACGAGCCTCAACATCGGGTTTTTGAATATCTGCAGCCTGCGCTACAAGCTGCATGCACTGGACAGCCTTGCCCACCAGCACAACTGGGACGTCGTTGGCGTTGCTGAGACCTGGCTGGATAGTACAATCTCGGATGGCGAAATTTGTATTCCCGGGTACAGTGTTGTTCGCTGTGACCGGCCCGATCGCCAGGGTGGGGGCACATGCCTCTATTACAAGACATCACTCCCAGTTACCTATCGTTCTGATCTGCACAATAGCCACTTGGAGGCTACCTGGATAGCTATTGGCGGAGGGCAACACCAGCACCTCGTTGGCTGCCTCTATCGCCCACCAAATGCAACTGCTGATTTCTGGGGCCACCTGGACACAGTCCTCCACAATGCTGGCACAATCACGCCATCAATGACACTGGTGGGTGACTTTAATATCAATCTGGCTCAATGCATGACCAGTCGTCCTCACCAGCGCTTCTGGGACCTTATCGGATCGTATGGGCTCCGCAACTACGTCCAGTCTGCCACACGAGTCACACCCCGATGTCCGGATGGAACGCTGCTTGATTTAGTGCTCTCCACCGTGGGTACTATAAGTCATTGTGAAGTTGTACCCTGCACGATCAGCGATCACTTCCTTGTGCATGCAAGTCTGTCTCTACCCTCCTCGCAACACCCACTGCAGCGGAAATCAGTGCGCCTCACCCGCAAAATCCGTGCCATTAACCTTGCAACATTTCGTGAAGATATTGCCTCGTGCAGCCTCCACTCCTTTCCCCCTGCTGCAACTGTAGACGAGATGTGGAATGGCTGGCATGCCAAGTTTATGTCGGTTCTCGAAAGTCACGCTCCCCTGCGTGAAGTCAGAATCTCCACCAGGAGGACTCCCCCGCCATGGCCCGACCGTGATCTATTCCAACTGAACATGCGCAAGAATAGACTTCACCGAAAGTGGCTACGAGATAAGACTAACGTGCATCTACATGAGGAGTACAAGCGAGCCCGTGCAGAAGCCTCAAATACTTACCGGCGAAAACGCAATCAGCATTTCCAACAGCAGTGTCGTAATCACTCCTCCAACCTGCGGATGATGTGGTCCGTGATCAACTCTGTCACTAGCCGTTCTCGTCAACATCATCAGCCAACGTGTGACATCACAGAAGTCTCGGATGCCTTCCACAGCATTGTACATGATCTGTCCCGTCCGGCGCAGCTCCAGATTCCCATTGGTCCACAGCCGCAAGGCTCAATGCTGACCTTCCAGTCAACCACCCCAGATGAGGTCAAGCACCTCCTGGAACGGATAAATCCCTGCAAAGCCACAGGCAGTGATGGGATTCCTGGGTGTCTGTTACGTGCTTGCGCTGACCTGTTGGCTCCATCGCTTTCAGTGCTCTTCAGCTCATCGCTGAGGCATGGTGAAGTCCCTCTGGCTTTCAAACATGCTGTAATAAGCCCTCTCTTCAAAGCTGGCGATCCATCGGTAGCTGCAAATTATCGTCCTGTGTCGCTCCTGCCGATCGTATCCAAACTACTCGAGAAGATAGTCCAGAAGCAACTTGTTGCACATCTGGAGCGATCATGTGCCATACCACCGACTCAGTTTGCCTTCCGCCGTGAGCACTCCACAGAGGACGCCCTAGTTGTAGCAACAGATGCCATCTTAAAGGCCCGGGACGACAAGTTGACCACAGGCGTCTGCCTAATCGACATGTCAAAAGCCTTTGACAAGGTCAATCACAGCCAACTGGTCCGGGACCTATTCGATCTCGGCCTGGACAATGCCTCCCTTCGCTGGTTCTGCAGCTACTTAAGCGATCGAACCCAGCAAGTGCGCATTGGCCCCACCTACAGTGATGCTGCTAAGTGCTCATCTGGTGTACCTCAGGGCTCGGTCCTAGGACCGATCCTGTTTAGCATGTACACCCGTGATGTCCCTGCCATAGCCCATCCTGCTCCATCTCTGCAATTTGCCGATGACATTGCCGTGCACTGCCACAGAAAATCAGTGCTAGCCACATCAGCCTGCCTGTCAGGGGCCGTCACCAACGTCGCTGACTGGCTCAAGCATCGACATCTGCTTCTAAATGACAAGAAGAGCCAGGTCCTGTCAATTGTACCACAACGCAATGCGGGTCAGCATGTCGCTGTCCGCTGCAACCAGACAGAGCTTCCCCTGAGCCCAACAGCAAGGTACCTCGGCGTGACCCTTGACGCCGCTGTGAAGTGGGACCCCCATGTTGACGCGATGGCGAAGAAAGTTGTGCAGAAGATTGGAGCATTGTGGCGGTCCCGCAGATGTCTGAGCCTCAGTAGTCGCATCCAGTATGTGAGGTCAGTCATCATGCCTGACCTCCTATATGGGTCTAACGCCTTCTCTTCCTCCCTCAAGGTTTCGCAGCTTGATCGCCTTCAGGTCCTGCAGAACCGAGCGGCGAGAGCGGTATACGGTTTGCCGCCTCACACCTCGGCTCAGCCTCTGCTCGAACGGATGTCCCTGTACAGAGTTCGCGAGTGCTACGCCCAGAAGCGGCTCGTCCTGGTGTGGCGCTGTGTCAATGTGAAAGCCAGCAGTGTCCTCCAGGACCTATTCTCACCATCAGCTGGCAGCACCACCCGGCACCAGGTTTCCAGGGGCCTCACTGTCCCCTCGGCACAGTCAGAAGCCGGCAGATCTCGCCTGGCCTTTCAGGCAGCCTTGGCCTGGAACGCTCTCCCAAGGAGTGTAAGGGGGATCAAGGCTGCCCAGCAATTTAAGCTTGCCTCCATCCCCTACACCTTGCAATGAATGCTCTGTCTGACTTTTCCCGTCCACACACCACGTCATTTACTCTTCTCTGCGTGCTTGTGCGCTTATGAACTCTTTGTGTTCCCTCTGTTGACGCTTCAAAATCGCTCTATTGACACTGCAAAATCGCTCTGTTGATGCTGCAAAATTGCTTATCATCTCCCTCCCTCACTCTCTCTCTCTCTCTCTCTCTCTCTCTCTCTCTCTCTCTCTCTCTCTCTCTCTCTCTCTCCCCGTAGCTCTCTCCCTTTTGAAATTCGCTTCCATAGAATTGGGCACCATTGCCCGTTTGGCCTTGCGAAGTAAAATAAAAATCAACAACAACAACAAAATATCATTCTATGTACATCTGGTGTCTCACCAGGAATGGATGCAGAGAATGTCCGTCTGAATTTGTTTGAGTTCGATACAGAATGAACATGAAATTTTGAGTTTGCTTCACCCCTACAAGTAATATAACGTTGGATGAACTAAAAAAAAAAAAATTTCACGGTTCGCGTGAGACTCGGCTGAAAGCCGAGTTTTCCGCATCCGCCGTGGGAACGCCACCACCCTCTAGGATCAAAGGCGCAGATGCAGCGCCTAAACGGTGGGAGGTGAGTAGATCAGACCCACCACCAAGTGGTCAAAGACCGAAGTCCCATTAGCTGCATCCATGTTTCCCTCGTGCCAGGCCACTAATACCGCGATTAATGCCGATCACTCTTTCCTGACGATGGTCATGAAGACCGAAACGTTGAAACGATACCTCTAATGGATTTGTGTAAAATGCAGTGCTCTCTTGAGTGCAGGCAGGTTGCCTGCAAGCTATTCAAGTATACACACGAGGTTGAGAAACTTAGAATGTAAAAAAACAAGTTGTCCAAGTCATGAGCCCACACCTGCACGTGATTGCTAATGATCTCTGGTAAAGCTTGATGGCAACAAGAAGTTTTGGCAAGGTCTAAACTCTAAACTGAGCGGAGTCGCACAGTCCTGTCGATGTACTCTTGCTAGCATACCTGTTTTATGATGTAGTTCCCATCTCAGACACAAAAGTGACACCTCTATGAATCACATAGCACATACAGTCCACTCCACTTCTAACAAACTTGCATGTAGCGAATTTGGTCACATAGCGAACCATGATCTATGTCCCTGTTTGAACCCATACAAAATTGACCCCCTTGTAGCAGACTATTTTCTTTTATAATGAAGCATATATTTCGCACCTCAGTAGTTATGAAAATTAACTATAAAGGTTCAAATGCCTGCACAGTAGTCTAGCAGTTTGTTACCTCCTTTCCTTCGCGGAACACACCACGCCCATCTGACAGAATAATCAACAGCTGTCCCGGAACAGACGTTGGTGTTGAGCCTTGTTGTGCTCTGGCTGATGTCAGCAGTGACGTTGAAAACGTCAGTAGCTGGAGTGGACAAAAGAAACAAGACACAGTAGATTTGTTAACTTGGGCACACGCTATAGATAGGAACAGCTTCTTCAAACCTCGCTACCAGTATCTGTACTGATTAAACACCCATCTGGCCACCCAAACACTAAAACTAAAAGGAAAGAAGAAAACATTGTTTGTAAGAAACACACAAGTAAAACGTGTGGACAAGAATTTTATTCAAAACGAAGCAGAGCTTACCACCCTGTCCCAACTGGAATCTTTCATTTCACGAAAAATATTGCTAGACACAAACAGTCCCTTGATATCAAACAAGTACTTGCTTGCAGATGTAAGTAACAGCCTTTACAACCACCCGCTGACGAGACATAACAAGGTCGAAACAGCTAGCTGTCCAGAGAGTGAGGGTCTTTACAATCACGTACCTGTTTGAAAGAGGTTTCCTTCTGTTGAAAGGTGAGGTTCTGAAGCAGGCGAGCTCCGCACTCCTCAGAGAATGTTTCTTGCAGAGGATGCAGTAAGTCCACTGTCTCTCCAAACCTACAAAGGAAAGAGTAAGCTTTGTTGATCCTATTATCGATGGCAAAACTAGAATTCCCGTGATCATGATGCCAAAATCAGAACTCCTGCCCTCTTGCCACTCCCTCCCACCACCACCGTTACCGCCGCCAACATTGCCCCCCCCCCCCCCGCCGCCGCCACCCCCCCCCCCCCCCCTCCCCCTATCAAGTCTCCTCAGCCGTTTCCTTACTGTGGCAGACTACCATTATGCTAACTCATCTACTGCTGCTGAGTCCCTGATGTATGTCACACACTGTTCACTCTTTCTCAACTTCATCGGGCTACCAGTAAGCGGACTTTCTTGAGAAAAGCCTACGATCTGTATGAGAATAGATACCCAACAATCCTGTCCGGTGAAAGATTGATCCATATCCAGAGTGTCACCGGTTAGCTTCAAAGTGAGTGCAACATATCTACATCTATGAAGACTATGAGGAGAACACAGAAGAAGACTTCTCACAACAGCATACTGGTAGTCACATACCGGCAAACACCGACTTGTCCAGCTTCCAGCCAGCGCAGTGCACTGGTTACAACAGCCAGCGCTTCAAATGTCATCTAGATGTGGATATAACACAGAACACATACAGCATGTTTGGAGTGGACAACATAGAGAGTCAGAGGGGGTATCGAATATAAATGGACTGCACCACATCTTTGAACAGCCAATCACCACAACAGTTTATTTCTACGTGAGGATGATTGGTAAGCAATAAAGAAATAGCTTGGCTTGTGACTGAACTAACTAGCCACATACATGTAGCTATACTGCTGGTGGTCATAACACTATGATAACAGCTGTAGCAGCTCACATTGCCAGAAACAGCAGCAGAAACAGCAGCGGCAGCAGCAACAGTTCTGGCAACAGAATCAACATTACCCACCTGCTTTGCATGACAGTCCGTCATACTGGCAGAGTCATCGACAGCGAGTAGGAGCTGATACTGGCGCTTGCTGGGTTTGGTGCGTCTTAGCCATATGCGATCCTTGCGGAACTGGCTAGCAACGTATGCGACTACCTTTCGCATGTTCAATCGCTTACCAGTGCGATAGTCACCCCTGTTGAAGAAGAACAACATACGGTTAGTTTGTGAAACTAAACCGGGGAAGAGCACACTCTCTATTATCACTGCCCAATGTCCTGATCTACCAGTACTTGTACTTGTGTTAGATGTACAGTAACATAGTAGACCAGTCACTTTGAGCTTCACCAACCAGATCTAACAAGGTCCTAACAAGGTCCAAGCAGCTAGCTGTCCGGAGGTTGTTGAGTGTACAGTAATACATGCAGAACATAGCAATCTGGTTATTACACAATTTGACAGTGGTGGTAAGGTGGATTTGGTTCAGAGTTCCTTGACCTGTATGTTGCAGGACCGCTTCTCACATGTGTCATATTCTTCACAAGTTCACCTAGAACATTAAAAAAAGATACAATCAGCCTGAATGGAGTAATTTCAGTGCCTGAGAAATGCGCACCTGGGTGCGGAACACAGAAAGCAAAGGGAGACTTACTTGAGCTTTGCCGCCATTGTTGGTTCCAAGACCAGTCTGAGCTGCTCACATAGGGTCTGTGCATGGCGACTGCTCACTACCTCATACTGATGCCATAGGTGAGCTGCAGCAGCAGGCTAAAGAGCAAAGCAGAGAACGTGTACACAAAGGTTACAGTATAGGCAGTATCCAAGGCAGAATGCAGTTGCGCTTGTATTTTCAACAAGCTACACTTTCTCAGCAATATACGATGTACACTACCCCGTGTAAAGGAGAAACAGAAATAGGGAAAGGCGAATCATGGTGCCAGACTAACTCACCGATAGTTCTTCAGTAGTAGCGGGTGATGACCATGTGCTAAGCTGATGCTCCAGCTCTGCTCGAAGTTTCTCCATGGTCTGAAACACAAATGGTAGAGTGAAATATCAGAGCACATGGGAAACATTACGTATGCTAACAGTACTGAGGTACAGAGCGCAATGGGCTTGACAAAAGCAATAGAGGAAAGGCAACAATGGAACAGTGGTGACCATAATACGAACAATGGTGCCAAATTCGTACGGAGATATATGCATGTACTTCGAAGTATAAGCTGTCGGCATTTTCATGCAGTAGAAGAAACAACAATTCTCACACTTACTGCCATATCAATAACATCACCCTCATCCAGCCTGGATGCAGAAGCAAAGCTCTTGTTCTCTCTTGTGCTCTCTGGTTCTTCTTTTTCCTGCTCTGCATCAGAGCCAGACGCCTGCTCTGCGTTGTCCGCAACGCTTCCGTCACTCTTTTTCTGCTTGTTACCATGCTCAACAGACTAAGTACAGGCAGCACACACATACACGTGCACCACATGCATGCACCACACATGCATGTACACACACACACACACACACACACACACACACACACACACACACACACACACAAGCGCGCGCACGCATGCATGCACAGCACACACAGCAAAATATTGTCACATTACAAGGCTAGCAGGCTAGCAGAGCAGCTCTCAACTGACTATTTTAAAATAGTTACAGCGAATGCTAATCTAAATTATCCAATTATCCAATTTGTGCAACTGTAAACTTATGACTTTCTGTTGCTCGCCCTTAGCTTGAAACATTACAGCATACCAATAAAAAAACGTACTGATGGACAAAAAGTAAAACTAGGGTGATCTGTCACAGGACTACACTCTCAGCAAGTACACAATGTCCACACACAAGGCATGTACATGCAGATCCATTTACCTCCTTCTTGAGCTGTGCAGGAATGTCACTTTTCTCCTCAACATCGTCATCGTCGTGCTGAGGCTGGAGTTTGGATTCATCTACTCCATCCGCCTCCTCCCCAGTCAACTCTTTCTCCTTCTTTGCTATTTGCTTAGACTCGTTGGCATTCGCTGCATCCAGTGCCGCAACATCTTGAACCGAATGCTCCTCGTCATCACCAACATGACGATGAAGGTCAGCCTCATCCATCTCATCATCCCTCGCTCTCTGCTCTTCCGACTTCTGTGCTGAATCGGTCATCTTACGTCGCTTTGCTGGGTTTTCCTCCTCTTCCATCTGGCTGCGATCGTGAGCTGATCGGTCCCGTCGCCGCTGAGCCTGATCAGGAAGTTTGTCACTTGGGTTGGCCTGTTGTACAACACAACATCATATAGCAGAGTCCAATACACCAATATTACAAACAACACATCATGCAGCAGCGTCCAATGCACCAATACTACGAATCATGACATCGCTCCAGTTGCCATTTTTCTGCACTAGCGTTTTCGGCTTATGCGAAAGCTATACATGCTGTGTATATCTACATTGCATTGATGCCAATGCGGAGAAGCTTCTAATAATAGCGTTTTGACTCTTGGCTGGCGCACAAAGCAGTCAGCTTGCCGCAAGTGATAAACTAAGCCTAGTACAGTGCTGCTTAATGAAATCCAGCCAAGTCACTCAAGCACGCGCCGGGCGTAGCGCAGCCCTAGGCCTGCGAACACTGGGCTGCAAAATGGGGGGGGGGGGGGGGGGGGAGAGAGATACATGCCGCATCACTGCATAACATGAGCTAATACTGGATGGGAAAGAAATGTTATGAAACATACCTGTGATACTGGGGCAGAATCTACACTCATTTGCCCTGCAAAACAATGAGCACAAACATACAGATATATACAATCAAACATGATAACGAAGGAGTCAGTGATACGTCAGCACATGTATGATAGTTATTAGAGTGCGCTGCCTAGTCAGTTTGAGGTAATTAGTGCTAACACCATTGGACACCTAGTCGAATGATCATCTTGGTAAGGACACTGCAATGCTCAACACCCAATTGGATGGGCCCCGGATTAGCTCTATGTGCTTAGGATATTATGTACGTCGCTCTTTCCGAAGGCACAGCTATGCCATCGCTTTGAATTGAGGAATGCAGTGTGAGTTCGCATGCGTCAATAAAATAATAGAAACGTACCATCTTGACTGTCCATAACCTGACGTTGGTTAGCTGACTTGCCGCTATTGTCCTCATCCATGTTCTGCTGCTGCTCCTCAGCGGCTGCAGTCTCCTCGCTATTCATAGCCTGATCTTGGGCAGATGACTGAGCACCGTCCTGAATTCAAAGCAAAGAGAACGCATAGTACAATCAGATGGGCTTAGTAGCTTTTATATTACAGTGACTAGAATCAGCACTGTCGATAGACTGAACTAATAAATTTATTAAAACCCCCAGAAAGGTGATGTTACTTCTGGTTCATGATTATGATGGTGAGCCTAAGAATATGCAAGCTGACCGAGACTAAGACTTTTGATGGCTGGTGGCCTGATTCTAATTCTTCAGGGGAAAGTCATAGAAGAAGTAAATGCGGATCGCATGCATATGCTGCACTGCCCGAGGAATTCTGAGAAGGTTTGCGTGGCTGAGCACACATGTTACACAAACAGTAACTCAAGCCACATTCCAAGTACATGTACATGTACAGGACATGATAATGGCTGGAGAAACTTGAAACCTTTGCGACAACCAGCCACAAGATACATAAACATAATTATGCACAGCACACTGCTACTAGCAGCTTCTCACCTGAATGACGTGTTCTCCAGTGTTCTCATTGGCATTTGTCTCATCATTGTTATTAGGACCCGCTTCCTCGTCATTCTTATCTGGATCAAATTCTTCTGCCTCCAGCTCAGGATTGGGACTGCCTTCAGCCTGAGTTTCAGTCTTGGACTCTTCTAAACCGCCCAAATATCACATAGAAGAGAAACAAAAACAGCCAGGATTACAAAAGATACATGTACTTCCACTGGAACTTTCTTCATATGCACAAATATGAGGAATGATGAATGAAGTGAGAATACAGTAGTGATGACTGCTATGCAGACCTTCAGTAAGCAGTAACGTTATGTCTCAATCCTTCCCGGCAGGACTGGACAGAGCAGTCCGTGACAAGTAGTACCAGTAATACGCCGTGCCTGTGCAGGGGGCGGTTACGGGAGTGCATGCATGCAGCTCACCTTCATCATCACAGTCCATGTCCTCCTCCTCATTCGGCTCTGTTGACAGGGAAAAAAGAAAATGCAGACATGTTACACATGCGAACACAACACCAGCCATGCCAGAGCACGAACTACCGTTAAAGGACATATTTAAGGATAAAACCAACAACTTACCTGCATCAACTGAGGAGCCTGCAGTTTTGGGCACGTACCACTGCAGTGTTCTGGTCCCATAGTGACGTCCGTTTCTCTCACCTCGTCGTCACGTCACCATGTGACCGTTACTTCAATCTATCATTATGTATGTATGTATGTATGTGTGGCAACGTTAGTGCGAACTTCTAATAGATTGTCTGCTTCCCGCACTTGTCTAAATTCTAGCGCCATCTGTGTGCATGTTCCAGCAGCACTGTATGTTTCGTTATCACCTTTAGAACTTTTGTCACCTTCAACTTCTTTGGGTACTCCACTTTTCTATGTAGAAAGTGCGCAATTGTGCCACTTTAAATATACTCATTCCTTTATCTGCTATTCATTCGTTATCGACCTCCACTGAGGAGCTCTTAATGAGCGAAACAGCCGTCTAGAGGATATGGAACATCTACCCAAGAACGAACTTCCTCGCTATGGAGTAGTGTTGTGAATGTGGGCCAAGAGTGCAGTGTGGAGAGGTGGACGGTTCAGATTATTTTCAAATGGCCGAGTTTGTCGCTACTTCTGAGTTCCAGAAGGTTCTAGGGCTCTGGAGATGGCGGCCATCTTTGACGCAGAGCAGCGTCGTTCGAACGGCGCGAGTTCCGTTGCGACGCCGACGCCTGCGGCCATATTCGCCGTCCGCGGGTCACCTGCACTCCCGCCAGCAGCGTCAACGATGACATCAGCCTCAGCCTCAGGTGGTAATGCTGATCAGATGTTTTATGTTGGACACAATTTTGCAACGGCTTGATTCTATTTCTCTTAATCTGGGCTCTTCCTCTCCAGGTACTAGTTTGCCTCTTACTCCATCAGTACCCGTGAACGGCGGCCGTGGTTGGAGCGACAGCTACCAGGGTGCGCAGCAGGTGCGTCGTTGTTTCAACTGGGCATCCGGGGCATCTGGTGCACGCCTGTCCAAATTACCCAGAGGGAACAAGGAGACGAAATGGCCCGCAAAGACGACAATCGCAGGGAAACTAGCTGAGGCCGGCCCTGCTCGGTAAGAGCCAGTCCCTCCCGCCAGTATACCGGTAAGTAAGCCGAGCATTCTGTGTCCTTCTGTACCTCGTTCTCTGTTTGAACTTGTTTTGATCTCTGACTCGAGAGAAGTCAAGAATACAACATGGCGACGAAGTTATTCCGAATCCCACAAGCGTCATGAGTAAGGACGCCATTGAACTGTTCTCAGTGAGAGGAACGGCCGCTGAAGTGCAGCATCGATGGAAGAAGTGGCTCCGAGCATTTACGTATTTCATCGAGGCCAAGGCAATCACTGAGCATGGCCGTCAGCGCAGTATGCTACTGCACAAGGCAGGACTTCAAGTACAAGACATCTTCGAGGACCTAGAAGATCCACTCACCGACGCGCTGGCGGACGACAATGTCTTCAAGGAGGCGGTGAGAAAACTGAACGCCCATTTCGAACACAAACCTAATCCAACGTTCAAACGGCATATCTTTTGAAAGATGATGCCTGGGCCAGGTGAGAACTGCTCCCAGTTTTGTGTCAGGTTGCGGGAACAGGTAAAACTGTGTGATTTTGGTGCTCAGGTAGAGGAACACATACGGGACCAAATAATCGCAACATGTTCGAATATTGAGCTGCAATGGTCATTTTTGTCTAAATCCAATCTGACGCTTGCTGTGTTGCTAGAGAAGTTTCGTGTTCGCGAGTCGTCCAACATACAGGTGTGATCAATGTCCATGATGTCAGCAGCACCAGGAGTGTCGTCCGCAGCGAGCAGCATCGGCGCGGTACGGACCACGCCGCCACGCCAGCAGCCGCCACATGGCCCACAACGCACACCTTGCACACGGTGCAACAGGACTGCTCATGCCACATCGTCTATGTTCTGTGTTTCCGTCTCTTAGTGTTGTTGTCGAGTTGTCTGATCGTTGTGTCACAGCGCTCGTGGATACTGGTGCAGGCGTCTCCCTCATCAGTCTACGTTTGCTACGCAGCTTCGACGTTGACGCCTCAGCACTCCAGCACGATGGTGTTCGCCCTCTCCTCACTGATGTGACGGGTCAGTCCCTTAGTACTTGTGGTGCTGTTTCGTTGAAATTATGTATCGGGTCGTTTTGTACAAATCGTGCATTTATTGTTGTCGATAGTATTACACATGACCTCATCCTTGGGTCTGATGTTCTCACTGCATCTGGATGCCCGCTCGATCTGTCCTGCCGTGTGATGCATGTTGGTACTACCACTGTTGTTCTATCTGTCAATCAGCCTGCCTGTGTCGTTGATCAGCAGAGTGCGCTAGTTCTGATTCGAGTATTTCTGATGATGCTCCGTGTGCATCTGCGTCTGATAGTACTCGTCCGTGTGTTTGTGCCAGCTACTATAATACTACTGCTACAGAGTAGACTTAGTGGCCTAGAGTACTGGTCTCAGACCTGACCAAAGAAAAGACAAACATGGCCCAGTGTGTGGCTAGGTAACATTTAGGCATACCACAGGTCAGAAGCCAACAGGTGCAAGCAAGCAGTGCCAACGGTACGTACCAGCGTTGCGATCTTCGCCATCGTCACCGTCAGCTTCATCTTCGAGATCCAGATCGTCAGGCAGGTCTAGATTGTCAGGAACGTCGTTAGGCTGGTTGGTCAATGGGTCTTGCCGATCATCAACCTCATCACCCTGCACACATGATGAATAGAGAAAAAAATACAATGCTTGACTCGTCACCAACACACGCACGCACGCACGCGCGCGCGCGCACACACACACACACACACACACACACACACACACACACACACACACACAAACACACACACACACACGGGCACGCACGCGCGCGCACACACGCACATACACACACATGCCTACACACACCATCACGCAAATGCATCACTACACCAAGGGAAATATACAGAACAACAAGGGCAATCAAGGCATGTTTGCTGCTACTCAAAGGGAAATATAAAATGAAAAAGCAAACAAACAGTCCAGCCACATTATGCACAATCAACTGAACACTCATACCATGTATCACTAATTTCATATGACCAAGAGTCCATATTCCAGGATCAGAATAAGAGGTACTGACCGAGTTGTCACCATCTTGCTCCATGACCTGTTCATTGACATCACTGCCATCATCTTCCGGCTTCGGCTTGTCGTCTGGATCCTCATTTTCTTCGTCATCAGCACCATGCTTGTCATCCTTGCGTTGACCTTTGCCCTCTTCTGCAATTACATATGCACAGATATGGGCCAAATATCTAATACATCTATCCATGCAAACACATGCAATGAGAGAAAGCATTTCTTGGTGTCACTATAGTTGTCATGAGTAGCAGATAGCAGAACAAAGATTTGAGATTTCAATCACACAGGACTAGATGATGATGACATACCGGACACATCAACGTTGGCGACCATTTGTGCTTCCTCTCCTGTTTCTTCGCCACCGTGCTGCTCTTCTTCGTCTTTGCCATCCTGCAGACAAATCCAAACCACACAAGGTCAAGTCAAGTCAAGTGCAAGGCTCAGTAAGACTAATGATAGCTTGCATAGCATCCTAACACAGTAACAGTAGGACCAGGTGGTGCCCTACGGGTAGGATGCTGCCGACCCTACTGAGAGATTCAAGTGCTTAGAGAATTATACATGTACTCTTACATCCTATACATGCAATCGGCCAGACACAATGGTCTACTCCTATACATGCAATCGGCCAGACACAATGGTCTTACATCCTATCCATGCAATCGGCCAGACACAATGGTCTTACATCCTATACATGCAATCGGCCAGACACAATGGTCTTACATCCTATACATGCAATCGGTCAGACACAATGGTCTTACATGCTATACATGCAATCGGTCAGACACAATGGTCTACTCCACGCTACTACTTATAGGAGCGCATCCGAAGTGTAAGAACTGCATCAATTGACCCCTTTCTGCTGTCTGTTTTCATATTCTCCGACAATAATGATGTACAACCAATGTACCATGTCTATGTATGAGGGTCCCACTGGAGCAGGGGTGTGTAGTCACTGTCTATGCAAGCTAACAACCAAACCTCTTGCCACCACACACTGAAGAGAACATGCAGACATGTAGCGCAATACATACAAGCAAGCAGGATAAGCTCTAATACCTTTTGGTCTTGCTCATCATCGGAGTCATCTCCCCACATGCGCTCATCAAGTTGCTCTTCTCCAAACTCGTCAACGTCACCCATCTGCTTTTCAAGATCGTCTTCAGTCTCGGTGTCTTCATCGTTGTCCTCGTCACCTTCCTTTTCCTGTGTGTCATCAGCGTCTTGCATCTGGCCTTCAAAGTCTTCACTCATCTCTATGCCGTCCTCTTCTTCTTTGATAGGATCATCATCACCCTCATCTGTCTTCTTCTCTTCTTCCTTGCCTGCCTGGTGGCTATCCTCCAGCTGCACAGTAAGAAAGACCAGCACAAAGTCATGTAAGGTGAACAAAGACTGCAAATGTGCAGGTCACTAGCCTTACAGTGATCAATGTGTAACAAGATACAGAGTATAGGCACACAATATAGGATGAGTAATTACGTTCAGAACTCTGAATTTTGTAATGAAACAATCCTCAGACAAATTATTGTTTATCTCGAAACTCGAAATTATGACTGCTCGAGTTATGAGCGCAATTAATTGCTCATCCAATCCTGTATACCATAGACCACCAGCAAGCACAACGTGAAAATGGATGGTACAAACACTTCCGGACCTATAGAAGACATGCATTCTTCAGGACCTATAGAAGACATGCATTCTTCACGACCTATAGAAGACATGCATTCTTCACGACCTATAGAAGACATGCATTCTTCACGACCTATAGAAGACATGCATTCTTCAGGACCTATAGAAGACATGCCACATGTACAAGTGAATGCAGTAAGGTTGCTGGAGACTGTATGTACTGTACTGTACGTACATACCGGTACACCTTTTTGAGGACTGACATTTGAAGCAATGCTGACTATAGAGTCACAGCCCAAGATTGAACTTTGGAAGTAAGTGAACAAACACTATCAACGGTGGCTGTCAACAGCACTCACCTGATCTTCTGTTTCGATTTCATTGCTGACATCCTTCATACCCTGGCCCTCACCAAGACCAGTCCCTTCTAGATCTTCAAACTCCTGTGCACCACCTTTGCCTTCTCCAAACTCCACTTCATCAGGTCGGCAAAAGCCCTGTAACCACAATAAGGAGGATATTGTGTACGGCGAACAAAGTAGTATCCCCACAATCATGTACATGTACACAAAGCCTGGCAGATAGGAAAGCAACGGAGGTACTGCACCTGACTTCAGCACTGTACGGACCCGGATCCCCTTGCTTACCACATGCCGGTCAAGGTGTAAATAGTGTGGACAACTATAAATAATGTATCATGTTTATAGCATACATACTCAGCTACTACAAGTTGTACAGGAAAGCCCTTACATCCTCACCGTACCAGGAATCTCTGAGGATGGGGTTGGCCTGAAAATTCAAATACTATAAAAATGAATCAAATGTATCCCGGACACCGCTCCATCGAGTGTCGTGAGGATGTACGGATATATAATGGATGACTCAGGGGAGTCTTCACTTGTTGAGGAAAGGAAGTCCTTGACAATTCAATGGTCAAATATAAAAATGACACACACAGGTCATGTCTGATGATTGCACATGAAGCTACAGCCTCTGATCAGAAGGATGCATTTCCACCCGCCATCAACAGATGCTGGCATTGCACACAAGAAGGTAATATCATGGGGCGAAGCAAAAGCAACATACCTTGCTGGCAAGCTCCAGGAATACTCCCTGCATGACGGAGAGCAGCTTGGCAGACGCACGGTGCAGCGAGAGAAGTTCAATGTACAGGCGATGACTACACTGTATCACTGTCGCCAGCGAAGACTGGCAAAGGAGAAGCGCATCGACCTTGGTTTTCTGTGTACAACAAGGTGCAAAGGAAACATACAACAACAGCTCTCATTCTAGCAGAAATCTTCAATCAAGTAGACCTTGGCATGTGAGCATTGCAAAATAGGGCAATAGAACAGACTCACCGGTAGCAGAATGAAATTGATGAGTTCATAAATCATAATCAACAAAAGGGCGCAGTCTTAGGATGCCAGTATTATGTTAACTATGCCTGAAGCACATTGATTGGAATAAGGGTCCAGACATAATACGTACCACGGTGTCAGCATCAGCTCCACCATAAATCTCAGCTGCAATTCTCAGCATGAGATTCTCACACAAATCACGGAGCTGTAATGAAAGAAAAAGAAACACGTTCAAACACCATAGAGCCATGTCAATCGCACATCAATATTATCAGGGATCGATATCACATTCTAAATTGCGATGCACCTGTAACGAGTTGCGACCAGACAATTTCGGTATGGATTGTCCTTTTAATTAAAGCTATGGATAAGATGAGCCGTGCCGTCATTATGTCATGTATGCACGAACACACGCACGCATGCACACACGCACACACATGTGAGAAAAATTCAAAAATGATGGCAGAGATTACCCTACTCAGTAGCACAGAATGTGATTATCTATTGCTAGTGGTATACTCCCAAAAAGACTGCTGTATGATACAAGAGCAACGCACAAGAGCAATGCAACAATCTGAAAGGCTCTCTAAAAGGTATGTACAGCACCTTGAACAAGTCAATGCATCGGATAGCAGCCTCCAGTCCAGTGATAGACTTGGTTGTGAGCAGGTCTTCTTGGTAGTCGGAGTCATAAACACCATCACTGTCCTCAGCCGCATCTTCCACATCACTGCCCTGGTTCCTCTCATCAATACCAGGACCCTCTCTATCTCTGGCAGCCTGAGAAGCGCCTGAAGTTGATGCCGTTGCATCAGGAGATATCCACAGGTTGTGTAGCTTCTGCGTAGCAAGCAACAATAGCTTGGCAAGCTTGTCCAGGTCTTCGTAGAAGTCCTCCTCGCTTTCGGATGAGGTGTCATAGTCCACTGGGCTATTTGAATGGCTCTGAAAGGGTACTAAGCCAGCAAGGAATGACTGGAGAGTACTTAGTGGCTTGAGAATTCCATAGTTATCACTGTGAGCATATATGCAAGCATTCAATCAGAGAGGCAGACAAAAAAAAAGACAAGAATAAAACTCCCGTCCTACCTTGCGAAACAGCCAATCAATCAGTTACGTGACCAAAACAGTGGCAATATTAAATCAGAAAATCTTTGTATTGTAAATTAGATGCAGGTGACTTAGAGAGATGCCATGGCCCTGTAAATTGATATACATGTATCAAAAAGGGAGTTCAAAGTTCAAACCTTTGAACAATTCACGACGTAACACTACACTATGATCACATAAATGACAGAAGCACTTTTCAGAATGACACATATCAAAATTCAAATTCAAATGCGAAGAATCCCATGATCACTCTTCGCATTCCCGTAACGTGCAAGAAACCTGTTCTGCTTGCTGTATGTTCACGCAACAAAATCACGTGGAATGTGAACTGGGAATTTCTCGTTCCAAATTCGCCAGTTTTCTCTCTAATTCGAATGATACACGACCGATTCGTCTGCATTTTCTTTGCGTGCACCACACCGTGGAGAACATCACCTCCTCGTAGAAATCTGGACCCAAAACATGCAAAGCCGTAGACTCTAACCCAGACACTTTTTCTCTATGTGATATCTACATTTCACGCGAAGCAGAACCTCCATAATGTGTGCATGTACTAGTCTACATTTCCTTGCGCCACTTACCCGTTAACCAAGTCGGAAATGAGCTCTCCAGATGAATCCTTGAGCGTTGCCAGGAAGCTCTCGGCCGCTTCAATGGGACCCCTCTTACGCCTTTAGCAAGGAGCAGGGAGCATTGCAAACAGAGCAAGATCACACAAAGGAACATTCTAGATTCACAAGTACATAGAGCGTACACATTTAGTTTTCTTACTGATACAGTATCACCGAGAGTCACCAGAGATTGCACATATTCACCTCTGTTCCTTTACATAGCTGAATAAGAAAAAAGTATTTTAGGCCGAGTAAAAAAAATTACTAGATGATCGTCCTTTTTTTTGGAAAAATCGGGGAGGGCGGGAGGATTTTATTTTTATTTTTTTACTTTTTACCCTCTCATGCACACAGTGTACACAACAACATCAAGGTTTTTTTTCTCTTTTTTTCTTTTTTTTTCTTTTTTTCTTTTTCTTTCTTCAGCAGATCGATACTGACGTTGTGATATACTAGTAGTATGTGGTCCATATAGTAAAGAAAGTATTAAACAAAGCGTGCACATGTTTCCTGCATCCGCGATCGGTAAAAAACCAACGATTTCGGCAAAAACTCACGATTTAAAAAATAAAATATTTCTTGGGGCGCTGACAAAAACTGGGGCGGACGGGGACGATCATCTAGCTTTTTTTTTTACTTGGCCTTAGACTAAAATTTATGGCTGGCGACTGCAGACCAAATTTGCTCAAAGCATTGCAGAAACAGGTGTGCGAAACACGTACCAGCGGCTCATGGATACTGGCCGTCCATATCAATGACATTTTAATGTCATCGATACACAAGCAGCAAGTCTGGATTCAACGTCGTGTAGCCAAAGCTGCCCAACTGCACCACAGTATGATGTCACTGGATTTCATTTGGACAACTATATCTCTTCAAAGCTCAGGGGCAAACCAACCAGAAAAAAGAAATATAACATGTGGATTGTCGTTTTCTCTAGGCACACATACCAGGCGAATATGTTCGCTGCAGAGTGTCCCGCCATCTCCCGTACAAGGTTCATCTCCTGATATACAACGCGCACATCTGTCAGGTGATTGTTCAGCGTGGTCAGCCATTCCTGTAGACATAAAGATAAATTCAACCAAAAGTCGTTTGGACATTTGCTGTTGAGGATTTACTACAGACATACATTGCCCAACTATTCCAACACACAACTTGTTCTTTTCTGTACTTAGTGTGTGCTGTCAAAATATTGGATTCCAGTTCGGACATTTGCAGAAATTTAGAATATCTATCAAGTCTACAAGTTGGGGAAGTTTCGAGCAAAATGCCGGTCGAAATAGTCTACCAGTGTCAGATGTTCTTCAAATCCAGATGTTATTATAGCTGTGGCAGTTAGTGGTTAAACCACTGATAGCAGGACATTGGAGCAGTGCAGCTGTAAGGCTGGCATCTGAGCTGCACCTCCAGTAACTACTGACAGTCCAAGAGACATGAAGTCTCGCATAGCAACCTCATAGTAAGGAGTGCATGTGCAGATACAAGGCACGCCGCAGTTGCCTATCAGACAGTGCACACATGTACATAGTACATACGGAGACTTGGCGCGACACGCGCTCAACATGCTCTCTGCCATCGGCACGCTGCAGACGCGGTATATCCTCTGGGTGGAGAGGCGTAGGGTGACTCGACTCTTCCGATGAGCTCTCTGGGCAACAAGCAAGCAACAGCTGCATGTCCACCAATGACTGGAGAGAGCACTCTGTCAGCCGCTTGGTTAACTCCTGCAGGTGGGTGGCAGGACACGGCGAGAAGAATGGGTATAGAACATGAACAACATTGCAGCAGATCTGAGAGCATAATTTACTAGTGGCTACACTTACAGACTTTTACTGATAATACCGCTCAATAAGCCAAACTAAGCGGCAACGAAAACCCTCTTCCATGCCCAAAAAGAAATCACAAGACGCACCATCAGCTCATAGACACTGGCTACGGAAAGCTTTGTAAGCCATTGTAAACCCTGTATCTTTGAAAAGACAGCTCAGCCAAACAGGCACACATATAAAACAGAACTCACCACACGTGTGGAGTAGTCCCTTGCTTCAGTGGATGCTAACAATTCCGGAGAGTAGTCTTTGAGTTCGGACAGGATCAACGACCAAATGCTGTTGGACACAGAAAATACAAGGATGAGAAGTTAGAAGAGAAGCTAATTCTCCTGCTGTAGTCTCACGATGTTAAATATGTGGGTTGGGAAATGAAGGGGGAGGGGATCTACTCTTACTGGCACAGAAGCAATTCGCTCACCTTGTGATTTTCAGTTGCTTGACAAAACCTGATGCCAATTCACGCTGTTCATGAAGGAGAGAATACAGGTGAGCTGCCAAGCCACGGCACCTCTCCAGCTCCACACGTGTTAGTTCCTAGCCAGCAGGCAAGGTGCAGCACAGAACACGCGCACACGCACACATACACACACACACACACACACACACACACACGCATGCACACACCCACCCACACACACACACACACAAGCATGTGAAATACAGCCAGGGATATTCTTCAAGCAAGAAACAAGCGGACATCACAATACACGATGCTGTTATGAAGTTCTTAAGCAAATATATGTGCTGTCCTAGTGTTCCTCCTTACTTTGGACGGTGATGACAGAGCAATCTCCAATGCAGGTGATCGCGTTGCACAGCGCATGAAGTACTTATGACAACCTGTCCACACGGAATCTGCATAGCCAATGCAACTCCTGTGCCAACACAAAGAAGACAGAAAACGACAATGAACAACACAAGGGCGCTTCAGTGCAATGCACATTGGGTCAAGTAGCATCAAGTAGCATCAAGTAGCAGGATTCACTCACTGTAGGTCATCTGGATACGGCCCAGCACCCAGTAGCAGGGCGTTGCTTGGTTCAAGGAGACATGGCAGTCTCAAAGTGTGCTCGTCCAGGATCGTAGCCGCCAAGCGAACTCCTTTGCGGAAAGACAGACCTACAAAGAATGGTGTACACAAGATACAAGTCAAGACACAAGGGTAACAGACAAAGGCAACCGCACACCTACCTAATCAGCCAGCCAAGGAAATATCTTGTATTAAACATTGATGTCACTCATGCACTGTGCTTCTTTCTGCAACATCCCAGTCATCCCATTATTCCCATATCATTATAACAGTACACGAGCAAAATCATTACCAATCGTTTTGGAGGCCTTGAAGAGACTTGTGAGTGCATTGCGCTTCTGTACGAGGATGCGCTTGAACGACTTTGTGCGTTCTTCCGGGGTCTGTGCAATGCAAATGGAGAGCAGAACAGTACAACAATGAATAGTAGATGGAATGAAATGAACGTGGTGACACAAGTGCTTAGCCTAACAGAGTGTCGTTGTTGGTGTGGCAGACTGTGGGTCTTAAAGCCCAGGGAAGATCAAGGAGATGCCAAGAGGTGTCACTTTCGTAATAAGCAGCAGGAAATACGAAACTGGATATTCAAACAGTTATCGAAAGAAACACAACCAACGGACATGGATTGTTGGACACCTGTAGTGGTTTCATCTTCTGCCACCGTAAATTGCTTCATTCATGCTCTTCACTCATCTACCAGAAGTAGTCACTGGTGAATTCTGGAGAAAAAACGTTTCTGTCAAAACGAATCGGTGTCCGTTGGTTGTGGACTGGTTGTTTTTCTTTCGATTATAGCCTTCTTGTCTCCAACTAGGATATCCAAAGAGTTAAAAAAAGGAACTTACACTTCCTTCAACTGGTAAGTCTTGCAGGTGCTGGATAGTAGATGCAATCTCACCTGCCAACAGCAATAGTAGCAGTAGTAACAAAGAAAGGCAAGTACAAATATATCGGCAATTGTTCACTCAAGGCAGGGCCGTTGCCCCCGGTTTGGCAGGTTCACAGAGACGGACATTTGCTTCAGCATATTTCTTCCAAGCATCTACTTTTGTCCTTTGCTCTTTCAGTGCACGTGTTCGTATCCATCACCTCACATTTCCATGATGGTGATGATTTCATTGTCAGATTGGCTGCACTAGTAGCTCATGGATATTACTGTAAATCATGAATATGTAACGAACAAGTAAATCTAACGAGTTAACGAGCAAAGATTTGTCGTTATTTTAAAATTCGTTAGCAAAAGTCGTATGATTTGGGCCTCGCACGATTGAAATCGATCATTTCACATTATGGCATGCAGCGCGTGTTCAACGGATTGTAACTCGGTCAATTCTCGACGGAATTCAACAATCGAAAGATCTAGATGATAGCAGAGACGCTCAGCAGTCGGCTCGAACAACTCCGAAGTCTCTCAGATGACTTTTGACGAAGCGGCAGGAGATCGACAAATTTGAATTTTTTACGCTCTTACGCTGGATAAATTTCATTTTCTTTATTCTCCTGACATCGAGGTATACTGTGATGGACAACAATGAATGTCCTTGACGAGCATTCCTAGTATTATTGCATCTGTCTGAGAAAATCGTTAACTTTTCAAACCGTTAACCTTCGAAAATCAGAAAATCGTTAACTTTGCGGGTCGTTAAAATAATATGATTTACAGTATTCACTATTTCTGACTAGGTGGCATCACGATCTTTAGGTGATTCTTTGGTGTGCAAGACCAGCTGCACTAGATGGGTCTTTTAGGGATGTGATGAAAGAGAGTTTCCTTTCTCTGGCCTCTAGAAACTCGTCCAGTTCTCCTCAAGGAGGAATGTAGCACCGTGTGTGAGATATTGCATACGATCACCAGACAGCCTCGTTCTCTAGCTCTCTCTCTCTCTCTCTCTCTCTCTCTCTCTCTCTCTCTCTCTCTCTCTCTCTCTCTCTCTCTCTCTCTCTTTCTCTCTCTCTCTCTCTCTCTCTCTCTCTCTCTCTCTCTCTCACTCTCTCTCTCTCTCTCTCTCTCTCTCTCTCTCCCTCTCTCTCTCCTTTGATCTTCCTTTCTCCATTCTTGATTATCACCAACTCCTCTCTCGCATTTACCTGAGCTTACAGTCTTCTCCTTGGACCTTCGTGTTTTCCCGCACTATCTCTTTTCGCCGTACACTGGCTACGTTGCTGGCGATCCGCCATGGCAACCCTCGTGCCTTGATTTGCTGGCCGCATGCTTCACTGCTTTGTACTTTGAGTGTTCTCCATCGAGACAAGAGAGAAATATTTTCCTTACAATAATGAATCTTCGAGTCTGATTCTAGAAATTGTAAATTGGTTCTTCGAGCCTCTCAGACGATGGTTGACGCAGTGAAGCTGACGCTCGCCAAGTCGAAGACGAAGGCAACCTTCACGAACCTTCGCCGCGGACTACTAGTCGCCATCGACGAACCAGATGTAGATAAAGACAAGATCAAGTACCATCTTGTTTTAATTGAGAACGGCCTGAAAGCCGTGATGGAGATCATCACCGAGTTATCCAGTGCATATAGTAGTACCAGTCAGGACAGTGTGTTTCTTGATGGTCTCTGCAAGGATGCTGATGATCTGGAAAAGCAGTATACGGATGCTGTTACTCGTGCGAGTACAGTTTTGGCTAGCATGAGCCGTTACAATAGTACGTGCACCAGCGAGGCGACGGGTGTGCGGTACTCACGCAACCCTGATCGAGTACGAGAGTATTTGGAGTCTGTGTCTGCGGCGAGGACAGTGCGTGCTGCACAGGATCAGTTACAACAGGAATCCACACACGTACACATGCAGAGTAGCACCACATGTAGTGCGAGTGACAGTGTGTCTTTGGGTGCACCTACAGCTGCTCTGTCCAGTACAAGTAGACCTACCCAGGGCCAGGCCGTCCCGCCGTATGAGTACCATGAGTACGGCGTTGACCAAGGTCCGCCCGACATACGTGTCAACGGGGACCCATATGCGGCGCTCACTGATGACCTCGAGGTCAAGCCTCCACGTGGCCATGGGCTGATGGTCGCAGCTACAGAGAGCCTTTCAAATCCGAGTTCAACATTGCCGGCTCGGCCGCCGTGCACGGAGTTTTCGAACTCCTTGCCGCAGCCGTCGTACGCAGAGTTTTCAAGTTCCGTACAGCAGCCGCCGCACGCAGCGCCACAGCAGCCGCCGTACGCAGCGCCGCAGCAGCCGCTGTACACAGCGTTTTCAAGTTCCGCACAGCAGCCGCCGCACGCAGCGCCGCAGCAGCCGCCGCACGCAGCGCCACAGCTGCCGCCGCACGCAGCGCCACAGCAACCGTCGTACGCATTGTCGACGCCACACCAAACTCGGAGCGGCTTCCGACCATACAGTCAAAACCCGACGCTGTCATTGCAGTCAACGCGTTTAGCCGTTACGCCGCAATTGTCGCCACCTGCACTGACTCCCCCACCTGACAGTTACCCAGGTCAAAGTCCACACAGCGCGGCACCATCTGGTGTCTATCGCCATCTGAAGAAGATCACCATCCCAATTTTCAGTGGCGACAAGAAAGGACCGAAGGGGAGGAAGGCGTATGACACCTGGCGTACGGCATTCATGGTGTGCGTAGATCAGCAGCCGTGTGACGGGAATGGTCTTAGAGACTGCTTCTCCCATTCCCGTTGGCCTTCCAATCACATAATTACACTCTTTCTGCGTGCTCTGTATGGTGATCCCGAATTACTTATTATTATTCATGCATAATGGACAACTATTTCTCTACACACTATCCACCTTTAGGAACACACTTTATTTCTACACATCCTTATTCTACCTCCCACACCGTACTCCGAACACAGCAGGGAGTCGAATATGACTCCCTGCATTAATTATGAAATATGAAGCTGGCCACGACGAGGGTTTCCCCTCAGTTCTTGGTTAGTCCAGAAGGAGTGAGTTTGATTTGTTGTGTCGACTGGAGCTGCTAGTATGCTTCCTGTTACATGGTGTCAGAACTCGTCTTGAGCATTGTTTGTCAGGCTCTTGAGACTCCACGCCCGTGCTGTTTGTCAGCAGAGTTAAGAACTCGGGATTTCCGTTCGTCGGAGAATTGTTGTAGTGGTTCCGTTTGTCGGATAATAGTTTTAGTGTTTCCGTTCGTCGTAGGATACTTTTAGTGTTTCCGTTCAAGGCGTCGGGGGATAGTTTTGTGTTTCCGTTCGTCGGAGGATAGTTTTTGTGTTTCCGTTCGTCGGAGGATAGTTGTTGTGTTTCCGTTCGTCGGAGGACAGTTTTAGTGTTTCCGTTTGTCGGAGGATAGTTTTAGTGTTTCCGTTCGTCGGAAGGTATTTTTTACTTTGATAATTCCGTTTCTCGGAAAGTTTTTGTTTGTTTGTTAGTCAGCATGGACGTAGCCCAATTAGCTTTTGCTCGCCAGGAGCAGCTCCGGAGATTTATCAGCCGAGTTGAAGCTCCTCCAACTCCGCCAGTGCCTCGCGGGCCCGCCGCTGAAGAGCATTGAGGCATTTGGCTACTCAGCGTCCGCGTACTCAGCCGCGATAAGTCGCCTGGAGCACAAGTACGGTGGTCTCCGTCGTAAGACGGCTGTCCACATGACCGCACTCTCGCAGTTTACGCCCATCTGGGATCGGGGCACTGCCGCAGAGTTCGAGCGATTTGCTGACTTGCTGCAAGTCGCGATCATAAACCTGCAGGATGTTGGGCGATGTGGCGAATTGGCTGCAGGGACATTCTGCACTCAATTGCAGCAGAAATTGGGCCCGGAGTTGCTAACCAACTACAACAGATGGCGATGTGACACAGGTGCTGAAGAGTCCGTACCCCACCTACTGCAGTGGGTGCTGCGCGAAGCAGACTTCCGCACGGAGGCGGATAAGACGCTGCACAGCATCGCCAACACAACACTGGACTCCTGGTCACCGCCATCCGCCAAGCCTTCCGAGTTCGGACCAGCTACGGCGTCTGCACTAGCAGTGTTGTCCACCAACCCTTGTGCGTACTGCTCACAGGATCACGCTGCCGCACAGTGCTCCGTCATCACTTCACTCACGAGAAGGAAGGAAATCGTGAAATGGGACGGGCGCTGCTTCGTGTGCCTCAAGCAGCACCACATTGCCCGCAACTGCCAATCAACGTTAAAGTGCGCCAAGTGCAGCCGGCGACATCACGTCAGCATCTGCGATGGCACGCCAGCGCTTGCTGGCAAGGGCAAGTCTTTCGGCACGGCCACCAAGTCCGTTCAGTGACGTGCGTCGCCAACCAAGGACCCCTCGACTGAAGCGGGCACATCCACAGCTGTGAGCACGGTCGGCAATGGTGGAGCTGGACATGATCATGAGTTAGGTTAAACTTGTTACTGGATCAGGCAAAAGTCTCATTAACCCACATGCATGCACCTGCTACCGCACACCCAAGTGTGCGTGCACACGCCCGCTAGGCCTTGTGGCCAAGCGTAATAATAATTATTATGTATACACACGCATGTATTCCACATTGCAATATGCTTGCAAAACTTGCTCGCACCAGCACACCAAGCATAGAACCTAGTTGGGGGGTTTGCCATTATCTTTTTTTCACATTTGTCACTCTTTGAAATTGATACTCAAAGCCGGCATTTTAAGTTATTTACCGTATTTTTCCGGTTGTAAGTCGACCTTTTACGACTAAAAATAGAAGGAGAAAGGGTGGGGGTCGACTTACAACCGGGATTCGACTTATAACCGGGAACTATCAGAATCTTACACAAAATGACCTGCCCTGCATGCATGAGTGCACCATGTGTACACATGTTTGCCAGTTCATTGGCCTTTTTCAAGGATTGGGACGTTATACCCTCCAATAAGGAATGTTTACATGATTTGTTGATGTGTTAGTAGCAGGGAGTGGTTGGTAGTGCTTCGTTGGGTGAAAACTTTAAAACGCAGAAATGAGACCTCCGGATACGGGGGTCGACCTATAACCGGGGTCGACTTACAACCGGTAAAATACGGTATGCGCCGCAGTAGTCTCATTTGAATTTCCTTGTTTCTTTCTTTCCTTTTTTTGTCTGGGTGTCGACCTTACACTGATTGCAATATCACGTAGGAGTTGAGGCATGCATGGTTCTGATCGCCTCAACTGGGGGGAGTGTGAGATATTGCATACGATCATCAGACAGCCTCGTTCTCTAGCTCTCCCTCTCTCTCTCCTTTGATCTTCCTTTCTCCATTCTTGATTATCACCAACTCCTCTCTCGCATTTACCTGAGCTTACAGTCTTCTCCTTGGACCTTCGTGTTTTCCCGCACTATCTCTTTTCGCCGTACACTGGCTACGTTGCTGGCGATCCGCCATGGCAACCCTCGTACCTTGATTTGCTGGCCGCATGCTTCACTGCTTAGTTCTTTGAGTTTTCTCCATCGAGACAAGAGAGAAATATTTTCCTTACAATAATGAATCTTCGAGTCTGATTCTAGAAACTGTAAACCGTGAAGCCTGCCAAGGCGACCACTTGTCCCAGATGACCACTTCAACTAGGACCAAGGGGTGTTATTTCCAGTCAAATGACACTGGATAAAGAGATCACATGTGCACAGTGACTACATATTGAAGGAACCTTGAGCGGTCGCCTTTGACAGGTTTCACTGACAACATACCGTACAGTATACTGTCAATTCACTAAAATATTCATTTTTAGGACAATGCAGCGCACATCACTGCTGTAGAACACCCAGCCAATCCGGCCTGACAGCCAAATGGAAAAGTCAGCACTACAAGACGTACAGGACACAACTAAACAGACACATTCTCACAAGGAGCATCATTCAAGGTAGTGAACATGTCTATAAGAATACGACATACCAGCAAACTCGTCCACACTCTCAGTCAGCTGATGATGCGGGCATTTTTTCCATAGTCGTTCCTGCAGTTTTACAGTACGAGCTGAGAGGGATGGAAGCCGCTTCACGAGCTCAGACATGCTGGGATCTTCCAAAGTTGCCGCATCAATTGACTGGAGTAAGCAAGCATACGGGAAGTCATAGGTGATGCGTATAAATTGTTGTCAGGAAGAATAGATGTTGTCTCCGCATCACACACACGGACACGAACACACACACACACACACACACACACACACACACACGCACACACACACACACACACACACACACACACATCTAGCACGGCATCAATTCTGCATTGGCCATGCTCGAAGTCAGATGTTCTGCCTGTCCTTCTTGTCCGCAGTTCCTCCACAGCACAACCAAGTACAGGATAGAGTGCAGTAGAGGGTTTGTTCTCCGGTTCATTGTTGCTTGTACATAGTAGAAGGTTAATACTACCAGCATGTACATGCTTGAGTGAACGCCAGTACATGTACATTACAGTAAATCAACCCATGTCTGTATTGTTGGTTAAAGATTTTGATTCAACTTCTACCCACGCACCATATAAAATACGTGTTGGCACTGTACCGTGCACTTACTGTTGAAGGTGTTGCGGTGAATTTCCCGATAGGTCGCTGCGCAGAAGTCCCAGGTTCTTGTTTGACATCCGCATGGTCAGAGGAGATAGCTAGGACTGAGCTGGTTCGCAGGACTGTGCTCACTGGTTCCGCCAGGATATTCTGCGATGTGCACAAGCAATGAGAAGAAAATACGACATGACTTGGTATGGTGAACAAGGTGCCATTTCTCCCAGACTATGCATTCCTACCCCATGTATCAAGTTCAATCTTTGGAAGCATCAATACGAAGCATAATGCAGCAGTTCTTGCATAATCACATACAGAACTGTGTACACGTACTAGCAAAAGGATAGTATAAGACCAGACTTCGCTTGCCTCAAATACAAAAAATGTAATGGTACAAGTTCTATGAAGAGACTAAAGGCAGCGATTTGCTGCTTTTGCCCAAACACAAAACAAACAATGTTGCGTGTGAGAAAGCAAAGGGAAATACGAGTCGACTGTACTTCGTCAAGTACGAGTACACAACCATCACCACACAGGCTATGGCGCGACGTATGGCGACACTGAAAAGTAAAACATGCTATTCGGCTCACCCTGAATTTCACCACATAGGAGTGGAGCTTGCGGTGCGTTTTCTCTGTCGCCTGCTTAATGGCCCAGTAGTTGGCATCATTCCACCTTGCAATTCGAACAAAGCCCTGCAGTGACAAATCAGGTTCAATCATTCATGGATTTCTAGCATTATTCAGTTGAACATCAGTACACTCGAGTGGTTAGTAAGTCACACAATTCACAAAACTATGGTGACTGTAGTTCACACAATTCATAAACCAAAACTCTACGTTTATGTTATAGAAAGAAACACAACCCTTCCTCTGCCAACACTAAAGAGACAGATTTGTTGAAAACAGAAACATTTTCCTAGGGAAATCCTCAGTGAATACATTTGGCAAAGAGAGCAAAAGAGAGTGAAGTAGCTCACAGCGGCATAAGATAAGCTATGCGAGCAGTGAAAGAAGTCAAAGAAGGAGGGTGAGCTGAGTAAGCATGCATACCTTGAGCTCTTTTTCCAGTGGTGTTTTCTTGTGCTGTACCCACTGACAGACTTCCGGTGTGAACTGACTGTAGTAGTGGTAAGCGTTCCACAGTATGGGACACAGCGATTCTGGACAGTACGATCAATTCATCAACAAATCAAAAACAAACAAAACATTTGAACAATGTTCTTAAATTGCGCATCAAGATGCAAAGATCACATGAAAAGCAATGTTTCCAATATCGCCGACTTTGAATCGGATTAGGGTGACTACCTTGGCTCTTTCGATGAACACTCAGCATACACTTAGCATACAGTAGTACAGTGGAGATCGGATATAACGACCTTGAATATAACGACAGATTGAGTTTGACGAAGTGATTTACCATAATGCCGGCGCTTATCTGCTACTATCTGAGTGTAGAAGGTCTTGAGCATGCGGAGTCGCGATGGGAACTCTCCGACAGGTGAAGCCTCAATAAACGTCTGCACTGCTTCCATGGTGGCATCAAGATCCTTGTCTTCATCGTCAGAAACTGAATTTGGAAAACACACCACAGAAAGTGCAAGCCAGAAATTGGTGAACAGAAGTACACCACGCCTAATAGAATTGATTAGTTTTCCACCTGTCCAGTAAAGAGGCACAAACTAGAAGGGAAGAGAGTTGGACTGTATGCCCCGCAGCATTATCCCAGCCCCAAAGTTAGTCCATCACACGCAGCTCTACTGGAAAAAGAGATGAGCAACACACTCACCAATATTGTGATAGTATTCAATGGTATAGTCTGGGTTGAAAAGCAGAGGAAGACACGCTGATGCGCAAATGTGCTGAGGTAATTCTATGGTTCAGGTAGCCCCGCTATAAAGTTATCTAGCAATGTGCAGTGAAAACTTACACAGCAGTTGATTAAGATGCATCCACCAGCGACTAGCCTCAGCCGCAACACGATGAGCACACGTCTCCAAAATGGAAGGCCAAAACCTAGAAAGTTGGGCAGCACGCAAGCAAGCAGAGAACAAAATCAGCATTAAAAAGAGTAGTCACAGGATCAACGACTCATCACAAGTATAGTTATTAGTGGTAACCTGAAGTCTGTCTGTCTGTCCGTCTGTCCATCTGTCTGTCTGTCTCTCGGAATATCCACCCAATCATCCACCCACCCACCACCAAGAGAAATTATAGAATGTGACAGGCAACTCACTTCAATTCTAGACGCCTCCAGCGAAGAATCAGATCAGTAACAGCTTCAATGTGTGTCTGTAGAGATACTGCACGAGCAGCATAAGATTCCCAGTCCTAGAGAGAAAACACAACAGACATAAACAATAAAGGCCAAGGATGGTGTCATGCTGCTGTGATTTCCAGCACATAGTATTACAGACCGAGTCCTGATATTGCATACCCTCCAGAATCAGGGTAATGTTGATATGGTAATGTTGCATGACGTGTAGCTAGTCCTAATGACCACATGTGCGTGCTCCATGCTCTTCGCATTCCGCATCATTTGCAGTTGGCAGGTACAAATATGCAACTTTGCACATCTTTCTCATTCACCGTTCGAGGGTTGGGAATCCATTCTCTTGGCTATCAGCAACTCTATTTCAGTTCACCCGCCCTCCATTACACTGCAGCCTCTAACACTAACATTTCATTTCAGAGAGCATGTCTTGGCAAGATTCAACTTGGGAAGGGTACTAGTAGCTCCTTCTTTTCGTGCCTATCCGACAGAGGAGTGGCTACTATATGTCTCACTCCAAACTACTTGGGCATGCATGCTTGGCCTTGCTCATCATGCTGTCCCAACACAATGGAGTATACCTCTACATATACGCTAGAGCAACTGTACCATGGGTTCTGGAGAATAAAGCTAGTCAATAGCAGTGAATCTCCACAACAGCAGTCGATTGGCTAATTCGGCACCCGCTATTGTTGATATGGTGCTTGAGGTAACAGCAGTAACATACTGACTACATTCGATAACACAAACATTACTGCCCACCTGAGATTTCTGCAAGAGAAGTTCTAAGCCTTGAAGAACCTTCATAAGCGAGCTTTGAAGTGGGAATGACAGCACCCTTCGGATGACAACTGTCAGCTAAAGAAGAAAACAAAACACAGAGAAAAATTGAACGAGTAGTCTTCTATAGAGGAGAAATCAATCACTTACAAGGTATGGCAGTGAAACCTACTGCACACCTCACCCCTAGCTATGAACTATGGCAATACAAATTAATGCAACACTCAACGCCAGCTACACACAAGGTGGAGCCGTGCAGACAGCAGTGGAGTTGTACATGTACTTCAGTACTATTTACTATGAACATCATGGGGGTTCCACAGCAACAAACATATCACTTCATAGATCCTGATGATAGCATATGCTACAAATTGGAGATAGTGGGCATGTCACAGCAACAGTAGTACCAGATTTCTGGTGACGGCAATGGGGTGGTCATTTCAATAGTTGTAGTCATTGTGGTGGAGACTATGAATGTGGAAGGTAGTTAACATTATATCAGTGCTCACTAACCTGCAACAATGCAGGATGCTCCGGCCATTGCTCAAGAAATTTGTTGACAGCATCAAGGAATTGAGTGAGCACAGGCTGTGCTAGCTGCACTTCCGCCGGATTGGGGTCGTGATAGATGTCATAGCTGAGTGAACACAAAGTACAACAAATACACAAACAAACACACAAACAGTTGGAATGTCATAACTATGATCATGTCTCTAAAACCAGAGCAAGTTATAGATCATCATTGTTGACAAAGTTTCTGAAGCGTGGTTTTGTTAGTTTGAGCGTGGAGGTGGCATGGGATTAAGAGCTGTAGAAGATCCAGCCAGTAGTAACGTTGCTGTAACTTTCGCAATGGCTACTTGGAAGTGTGTCTTTATTGACCGCATAAAATGATGATGGAAAGAAAGAAAAGCATTCAAGCATTGCACCCGGGAGGCAAAAATGCAATGCAATGGCTACTGCTCTTACAGCGCTGGACTAATCACCGGGGATAAGGTCTCCACTTGCACAGACAACCAGTCAGGATATGAATGTTGCTTGGTACAGATGTGTGTCCTGCAGGGTCTCTTAGTTTAATAGCTACTCTTTTTAATGTTTTTTTATTGTGTTTAATACAAGACATGGAGTGCTGTGCAGACTCACCCGCTAAATAATATAATAATAAAGGGCAACCCGTTTGCATCGTTCCCTCAAACCAATGAATAATAAAGGGCAACTTGAGGATACATGTACAATTAAAAATTTAGAAGGGAATGGAATGGTCAAAGGGTCTTTGTTTAAACAGGCTACGATGCACCATTCTTCATCAGATATTCCCAATTGAACCTGTTGCCAAACCCCAGTCTTCCAAATGATGGCGTAAAATGGGCCACAAAGGAAGTGCCCATTGAATTTTCAGTTCAAAATGACGGAACTTTGAGTGCATTTGAGTGCACATTGGTCATATGGAGCAGAAAAATTACCTTGTTTTCGTATCTTGGGCACACGGAATAGCTACCTGAGACGGCTTGGACTGAATGAAACAGATATGAGGAGAAGAAATTGAACACAAAACAAAATTGTTGTGTTCTCTCATATCGGGGAGAGCACACCACTACTAACAGTACAAGGATACGTTTCAAGGCAAAGAATCCTTTCCTACATCAATGCAATAGAAAAAGTAGTAGTTATGGAACATGACACATCAGTATATTAGCATGACTGTGCTAGACTACACAAGGATCTAGTGGAATGTACAGGGTAGTACAAGCCAGCATGCTAGCACTAGCACATGCGCATGTAGAGGAATGAAATAATGTCTAAACTACAGAACTATGGATAAGGGGAAGCGCAAAGCAATAGCACAGCATTACAGTACACAATTAAAAAACAGGACACAGACTTTGATATAACTGTTAATACTACAACAATGACAAGCATCACAACAAGTACTACTAGTACATGTAGGCATTTTGTCATCTCTTCGGCATTTCTAGCTGAGAAGCAGTATACTTTGCTTCGCTTCATGCTTAATCCTATGCGTAGAGCCGCTTTGTTCACAATGCAGTGCCCCCTCTCTCCCTCTCCTTCTGCCAGTGAATATAATATGCTTGTGTGGAAGAGACTGGTCCAAAAATAAACAGAGTAACACGCGCTTGTGCATAACAGTTCCGACTACA